TCAAGCGTTCATTTTGTTTACAGATCGACCCTACTCATGCTTCCGAGCTGTGTGGTCAGGCTTGCTGACGGAACACCAATTGCATGGGCTTTCATGGGTGAGTATGTGTTTCCCATCCAATTGTCGACTGGTGAGGCTGACACTTTTGCTTCCGCATGCCAGGGCTTGATGGGACATTGATATCACTCCATGTCGAGGTCAGTGGAAACAGAATTCTGGCAGCAAATGGCCTCCTCAGTTGTAACTGACATCATCCCCGGCAGGAACCATACCGCCGTCTTGGCCTGGCGAAAGCAGTGGCGTGCAAGCTAATGCGAGACCACCTGAGAGACTATGGCGACGATGGCTGGGGCGCAGCTGATGTGTTCATGATGAACCACAACAGCCAGGCGCTATGCAAGAGCATTGGTGGAAAGCTTAGTTGGATTTTGTCATGGTATGACGAGACGGAAAGGCGTGTGAAGCCGTGACTGACTTGCCACAGGGCCGAGATAGATCTCTCCAGCGTTGGAGATCCCATGTGAGAGCTTGAGAGGGAGGATGCTCATAACGTCAACCCACGTCCACATAGGTCACAAACCAGCGAAGTCACTCAGGTCTACGGCAGTTCCCTTGGCAACAAAATTCAATTTATTATCGAGCGCCCGCTGCGGTCAGGCGATGGATCTCCTGAAAGAAGAATTTCAAGTTATCCGGGTTGACAAATGGAGTAATTCCTAGAATGTCCTGTCAACGAGCCATCAAAAACTAGATTGAGACAGGCCGACTTACCGTGACCGAGGTTTACAATCCAGCCCTTCTTACGGTTTTCCCAGTCAAAGCCTTTCACCATCTCCGTCACCGCCTCGGTAATGGCAGCGTGAGTCCCGTACAGAACACCCGGATCAGCGTTCCCCTGTATTATCATCGGACGGTCGCCAACCGTCTTCACTGCCTCAGCCGGATCGTGGAGCCAGTCGAGACCAACGACGTTGTAACCCATGTTGCAGGCGGCGTCCAGCGCGTACCAAGCGCCCTTGGGAAAGACAACCATTGGGACCTTCTCTAATCCCAGCTCTTTGAGCCTCAAGGGAAGGTGCTCCGCGATGTACGCCAGGTAAGGCTGCGAAAACTTCTTGAACGATGAGGGTGAGAGCTCCCCGGCCCAAGAGTCAAAAACCTGGACAATCTACCGGACAGTGTCAGCTTGAGCTAGGGCGTGGGAATCAGTGTCAATACCTGAGCTCCCGCCTTGACTTGCAGCGCGAGATACTCGACGCAGAGCTCTGAAATCTTCTGGAGAAGGGCCTTCGTTTCGTCGGGGTACTTGTAGATCCACGTCTTGCTCTCCTTGAACAGCTTAGTCCCGCCGCCCTCGACCATGTAGCAAAACAGCGTCCACGGAGCCCCGCAGAAGCCAAATAGTGGCACGCGGCCCTGTAGCTTCTTTCTCGTCAAGGTAATGGCCTTGTAGACATAGTCAAGTTCCTTTGCCACATCGACCTTTCGCTGCATCAACTCGGCGTACTGGCCGTCGTCGGGGCTCCGTAAGGGATTGGGGAAGTGCGGGCCCTTCTTGTCTACCATCTCGACAACCATGCCCATAGCCTGAGGGATCACCAGGATGTCGGAGAAGATGATTGCGGCGTCAATGAGCCCTGCATAGCGCTCAATGGGCTGCAGCGTCAGGGTGGATGCGACCTCCGGGTCCCTGCAGCACTCGAAAAAGTCCCGAGATCCCTTCGCCTCGTGGTATTCAGGGAGATAGCGGCCAGCTGCGCTGACAGTCAGCGCGCGTGTGCCAGTGCGGCAGGGGAAGACGACGGGCTAGGCTTCTCACCCTGCCGCATCACCCAGATGGGTGGACGCTCGACAGTTTGGCCTGGAATTTCCGTGTCAGTCCTTCAGCCATGTTCGCATTGCCTATAAAATGCTGGGCTAAAAAGGGGGGAAAAAGTAAGAAGGCAGAGCTACTTACCCCATGCAGCCCTCAAAAGCAGGTCGTTTTGCAACGGCGGAAACGAGTGTTCCTCCATCGTCGGCAGCGTTTTTTACTGACTCTGTAAAGATCCCCGCTAAAGTCAGCTTGGAGATGTCATGGATTGTCAATTGATGTCCAGCGCGGGGCAGCTGAAGCCACACACCCGCATCTGCAAGGGGCCGGGGTGCACTTGCCGCAGTTCTTTTATGACACCCACCCACACCGCCTTCCAGTTTTGCTCGTGTAGTTCCCCACTGCAGAGCCAGGGGTTGGGGCAAGATGGAGCTTGCCCATCTGGAGCTTGCGTTTTTTCCGAGTGCACCTGCAATCAGTCGCGACGGGACTTCAACGATTCGGTCGTCGACCACCGAAGGCCAATTGATCTGTCACTCGCAACCCGCATCTCTACACCAACGCATGGCGTTTCATCAATGCGCGGCATAAAATAATTCCGGATGGAGCTGGCAACAATCGTCGACCGCAATCCCTTCCCCGATGCGCTTGCCGGCGATGAATGCCCCTGCTTCGCACTGCTGCCGCGCTCTCCAACGCCAGATCGTACCCTCTCGAGACTCAGTGTGGATCGCCGACAGCTTGCTAGCCAGCGCATTTGAGCGATATTGTAATGTCTCTAGGACCTGGAACAGGAAGGCTAGCAATGTCCCGGGGCCGCTCGAGAGCCAACGCCGGCTGGGACGGCGACGCATGGGAGACATCAATGCCTGGCAATGCCCCCCGACACCGCCCCCCTGGGCATTCTCCGTGCCCCTAAACCTGTCGAAATGGACCTGGGAGCCACCCACATCCGCCTACGCTGTCGAACAGGGCCAGTCACGGCGCGACCTCATGCCCGGATGGCTGCAAGAATTACTGCCGCAACGCGCCGAGCAGCCGTCGATGGCCTTGTCCGTGCTGCCGCTGCCCGATGTGAGCTTGTCGACGGCCCATGCAGCGCCAGATCGTCCGTCGTTTACCTCCGACATGGAGACCTTCCGATGGGCGGTTACGCACGCCACCGATGCCACCCTCGAGTCTTACGTCGAGAACATCGCCCGGACATTTCAGCATCTGATCTTCTTGGGTGAAATAGCCCCTTCCGATGTCATGCCGCTGGCGTCAGAAATCTGGTCTGCTCTAGACTCGAGATTTCGAGGTTCGGACGTGGGCTGCCGCCTCTGCCTGTCGCTCTCCATGGCCATCTTGGCCGGTGCAAACACTTCCAGGGTGTTTGCGGTTTCCCTCCTTGACGCCCGGTTCTGGAACACCGTTCTCACCCAACTGGCCCGGCTTCCTGCCGGCGATGAGCTATGCCAGCTCTTTACCCAAGTTATGGCGGCGTTACCTGCAGCCTATCAGGGCATGGCTTCCGAGGGTATCCTATCCGTGCTGAACCGGTTTTTCTCAAGCTGGAGCTGCTCAAAGGATGAGCCAGATGCGGCCAGCATCGCCCAGCTGCTGAATGCAACTATGTCCGGGCAGTCGTCAGGAGCATCGTCTGGGAGTCTTCGCCAGGCCATAGCAATTTCAACAGCTCTTCAGTCTTTCTCTCCGGAAGAGCCGGGCGGCTTACTGCGTGCTGCCAATACGCTCGTGCTTCGCCAGACAACTATCTCGGCAAGGTTGCGATACAACTGGCTCTGCGTGCTGGCGCTATTACCACGCGTTAGTCAGGACTTCTGGTTTGACTTGGCTGCCGTCCTTTCAGATGCATCGCGAGAGACTAGGCCCATGACGGGCGTCGAACTATGCTCGCTGCTGCTGACTCAATGGAAAAGTCGAGGATACATCAAATGCCCTCGGAGATTCTATGGTACATACACGCGATACAGCGCGGGACACGATGAAGCAGCCATTGCATCCCTTTTCATGACAATATTTCGCCATGAGCAACGCGAGACGCACACGGGCCTCTACTGGAGCGCCTGGAGGCTCCTCACCAAGCTGAATCTCACTGACTACGCGCTCCGCTCTCTTGCCTTTGATGCTGCATCATTCGAATTGCCTCTGTCGATGCTGCAGAATCTTGCGTGGACCTGTGACGACCATCGCATAGCAATCCGCATTCGCGACTGGTACATGAATGAGCTCCGGCAGCCACGAGGACCTGAGTGGAACCCCGCTGTTTTTGAGAAATACGCCAAGAGGATTGTTCTCGACTCAACCCTTTCGCCCAAGGAGATATGGCGTGTCTTGGGTATCAACGCGTTCGAGAACCGGAGGAAGAGCACATGGGAGAAGACTCGCCGGCATCGTGGCACATACGGGAAAAGCAGAGTGCAAATCGTCAAAGAAGTGTCGACAGTATTTGCTAATGCACCTCACCTACCGAATCGAGTGGCTTTTCGCCACGTATACCAAGCCTTTCGCTACATTGAGGCGATCGAGGGCCGCGTTCCTCTGGCCGTCATCATGGATCTCTATCACGTCCTCACCAGAGATTTGGTCCACCGGCAGCCAGGGAGAACCAAGCGCTTGTTATGGTTTGTTACAGTGCTCCAAAGGACGTATGGCGTTGAGCTTGCGTGGAATTGTCGCCTTGCGCTGAGGCATTGGCGACATAGGTTGAAGCAGGCGTGGCTAGACATGGGGGGCAATGGGGGCCCATGAGCAGCAGAGTCCAGGAAGAAAGAAGTATATAACGGCCTGCCAGAAATTGCGGCCGGATCAACAACTTGTCGAAATCAAAGAAAGCCTGTTACCGCCCTCATATCATCAATTTGCCGAAACCGTCACTCTACAGCGCCTGAACCGCAGATGATGCAATATACCCGCGTCGATTGAACTGTAAGGTACCGTATGAACTAGATGTCAACTCCCGTCAACAAACCCGGGGAGACAGGGGGTTGCATAGAGATACTTGCGGTCGGGTGGCTACCGTTAGTAGGTCCTCTAGCCCATCTCTATGCGCACGCTGCTTCCGCCGTTAGCGCTAATTGAAGCTGGCAGGTTGTGGATTGTTCCACAGCGACAGACAGTGCTTACAAGTCCCACAGCAGGGGCGATTTGTACCAAGATGCCTCACCGGACACAAGCTCGTTCAGATTCTTTGCCTGCTTTCCGTGCTCCCGCTCTGTTCACCCAATGGACGTGTATTTTCTCGATCATTCGCGTCTTCTGCCTGGTAACCCCCTGTCCCGTCTTGGGGTCTCGATCGTGATGACAGGTTGCGTCCATGGAGATGACGGACAAGGAGGTTTCGTTCTGTCTCCATGTGAAATCCCTGCTAGCCTCACCTCGACACTGCAGTGACCCTCTAGCCCGACGAATCAAAGTCATGAAGGGACATGGACGTCTACAGGCGCCTCCCGAGCAGGGCTCTCCTTCTTTCCCTTACCTTCTTGGATAAAACGGGCGGCATCCGGGGCGAAGGACGTCTCAGAGCGCCCTTCTAAGTGCGATTGTTGGGGCTAGAAGGTTCCTCCGCATAGATTTCATGAGGGCGGCCATCCGCCGCCGATTGGGTTGGTCACCAAGCTCAAGCTGTTACGCAAACCTAGTACGGTACATATTCCATGACGCCCCGCGTCACACACACATACAGCATCAGCTTTCTTCCCGGCGGATGGCCCTGGCAATGGGCCTTGGCAGTGGCCTAGAAAGGGAATGGAATCGGCCATGCTATGGCCACTCTCCTTTTTTCCGCGAGGGCAAAGGGATATTATATGGGTTGTCATGCAGCCCCTACATGTTGCCGAGGGTGTTGCAGCATGCTCGAACGTATCAGGGGAAAATGCCTGCTGCTAAGCGCAGCTCGTCTCAGCGGAGAACAAGACGGGCACCGCACGGTTCCCCATATAGGACGGCCCAGCGAGTGAATATAGTAAGCTCGAGGGCTTACTGATGGTTCACCCACGGTTTGATGGCGGCAACAGACGGGTGGCGTTTTTCGAAGGGTCCCGATACAGTGGGAAGATCTGTGAGAGGCTAGCGGTGGCTCACAACACTGACTTACTCGGCACACATACACAAATGTTGCATGTGCTGCGAGTCTGCGAGAGAAATATAGTCACAGCCGAAGCCACGGATGCACACATTCCAAGCGAGATAGGTATTCCCCAGGGCAGGCTTTGTGGGGGGCAAATTTGTTACGTGACACAACCCCCCTTCTGCCCCCTAACGGTCGGATGGGTGTCCCTATTCAAGGCAGGCAAGTCCTTGGCCGGAACACCAAGACGCACAAAGTCCCTCCTTTCCCAATGTGCGAGACCTGGTCTGTCGACCGGCCCTCGACAGCTTTCGGCAGCTGGCTTGGGTACCGCAACCGGGTCCCCTGGCGCTGATACGGCGCTTGGGGCGGAACCTGACGGGCCACCGAGCACAAAGCTCGCTGCCAGAGAGGGGAGTCACCGGGTCATGCAGCTAGCTGCGTGCCCTGAGCTCAGATGGCAGCCCCTCCTCATTTCAACATGGTCATTTCCTTGAAGACCAGAGGCACCTTGGCTGACCTTGAGCTACCTTGGAAGCTTCTTTGGCGTAATCCTCGGCCTTAAAAGCGGATCTAGAGTCTCTGTCATCTCCATCTCCGACCCAAATAACGCGTATACGATTGGACGACCCAAGAGATCGGTCTTTGATAGCTCCTGCATACACATATGTCTTTGCGCCCACCGGCCGTTTCACCATGGCTAGCTACCGGCTCTCGAACCTCGCTCTTGCCACCGACTACCAACAGCATCCTGTTGCCGGAGTCGTCGCGCCACGCCAACAAAGCCAAGGCGACTATGCAGCATGCCCGCTGCAGAGGGCCCAGATGGCCCCTTGTTCAGTTGACGCTAACGTCTCTGCCTTGGTAGGCCCTCAAGACACGGCCATGCAGTCTGCAATGCCGCGGGGCAGCTTGGCCGAGACACCACCACCGTCAGCGGGACTCGGTAATGCAGCTGCAGGCGCGGGAGAGAGACAAGCCTCTGCCGCGCCGCGCCCAGACGAAGCAACCACCAACAGCCTTCACGCCCCGAGGCCGATCCGCCGGCGGAGGCGCATGATTACATCGTGCCTCGAGTGCCGTCGACGTAAACTTGGGTGCAACAAGGAGCAGCCCTGCCATAACTGCGTCAGGTCCAGGAGGGACTGTCTCTACATTGGGCCTAAGCTCGATGAGGTCAGCCTGCAGCGCCTGACAGAGATCAAGGAGCGAGTGGGGTCTCTGGAGAGGCAGCTGGAGAGGGACGTTGCTAAGGGGCGTGGGGGGCCTGCTGGTGGCGGCGGCGATTTCTGCCAGCAGAGGATCGTCGCCGACGATGTCGAGGATGACTTTGGCGAGGAGTGCGACCTGCAAATTACGCCAATGGTCGCGCTGGACCTCACGTACGAAGACGACTGCGACGGCGCCGGTCCTGCTGATCTTATCGACTTGGGGATCCGCGTGGGGAGGATGAGGATTACGGAGCGGATTGGGGGGCTGAGTAGGCCGCGCATGTGGGAAGAGGTATCCATCCTCCTCAAAACACCAGATGACGGTGTGCGAGCGTTAACTGTGTTCTAGATTCAAGCTGGGATTTCTGACACCCAAACACCCACCGGACACGGATCCCCTCCTGAACAGCTTGACAGCGCTCTTAGGGAACTCCCTGACTTCCTCAAGCCGGGAGAGTCGTACATTCCGCCGACGAGCGGATTGTTTTTTGGCCAGGCTAGCGAGCCCTCAGCGTTGCTGAACCTGCTGCCAAGTGCGGACATGGGCACCCGCTTAATGCATCGCTACTTTGAGGCAGTCCATCCCATTGCGCGATGCGTTCATCGGCCTTCCTTTGAGGCCATGTATCAGTCGTTTTGGGATGATGTGAGACAAAACATGGAGCCACGCGCTTCAATCCAGGCGGTGGTATTCGCTGCGTGGTTCAGTGCGGCTGTCAGCCTGGACGAGATCCGCGCTCAGCACGAGTACGGCTACTCCAAGACGCAGCTGATCCTCAGCATGAGGATCGGTACTGAAGCGGCGCTAGCCAAGGCCAGGTTCCTCAGCACGACGAGTGTCGATACGCTCCAAGCCTTCGTTATGTACTTGGTGGGTCTGCTGCGTGAACAAAGGGGGGCCTATCCATATGAGGTCACTGGCTGATCAAGATACAGCTTCCACTCTGCCGGGACGAAGTCTCCAGGGCACACTCTGTCCTCGTCGGCGCCGCTGTCAGGATGGCTGAATGCATGGGACTCCATCGAGACGGGTCGGCATACGGCCTCACCCCGCTGGAGACGCACGTTCGCAGGTTGATCTGGCACCAGCTCTGCTTTCTTGATATCCGGACCTGCGAGGCCCAGGGACCCAAACCAGCCATTCGACGAGGGGAGTACACAACGAAGCTTCCGCTCAACTGCGACGAGGCCGAGTTGACGCCGGGTACCATGGTCGCCCCTGCAGTGACGGAGCGCTGGACCCCTGTCCTCCTCAGCATCATTCGGTTTGAGATCAACGAGATGATGCGGACCATCTGGGCGGACCGCAACAAAATGGAGATGAATAAGATGCTGCTGACGACGATGCTGACCAAGGTGGAGGAGTTCCGTAAACGCATGCTCGACAAGTACAACGGGCTCCTCGACGAGCGGGTGCCCATACAGAAGTACACCAAGCTGGTCATGCAGTTGCTCCTTTACCGCCTGCACGCCATGGTACTGCACCCGTATCATGCCAACGCAACGCACCCCCTGCCGGACAAGCTGAACGGGTTGCTCATCACGAGCGGCATCGTCATCATCGAGACGGCGATCCAGCTTGAGTCAGGCACGCTGTTCCGAGACTGGGCCTGGTACCTCGGCGCCTACCAGCAGTACCAGATTGCCCTGCTCCTGGCAACCGAGATTTACTACCGGCCCAGCAACAAGGATGCCCAACGGATCTGGCCGTGTCTTGACTACGTTTTCAAGATGGACCCGAACATGCCGCGCGAGCAAAAGAGCCTGCAGATCCTGACCGAGATCATGGATAAGACGAGCGTTTACATGAGCATGCGCAGGGTCCGCGCGCCGACGGCGATATCCAAGGCTGTACTGGGCAAGCAGGCCGTCAAGGAGTCTACCCCACCGCAGCAGCGATGTCCGCCACCTCCGCCCCCGCGGCCGGCCACAATGCATACTCGTGGGATGCCCCAGTCAGCACTGCAGCAGCCGCAAAAGATGGGTGGTGCCGGGGCGGAAGCGACCATGTCCGCCGACATGTCCATCCCGCCAACTGCCGCCCCTGCTAATCAACGCCCCCTCTCCCAATGCCACCCGCCGCCGCCTCATCTATTACCTCCGCACATGATGTGGGCACAGCAGTCGATGGGAGTTCCCCCTCCTACAATGGTCTTCGGCGGGGTGTCCAACGGGGAGGTGCTCTGGGGTTTTCCGCCCAGCTTGAACAATCACGGCAGCCCGAATAGCAGCGACGGGGACAGCGTGGCTGGTCAGGTGCAAGGGCACCATCTTGCAAGTGGTATGCCCGGGCCATCAACCGGCGGGTCCATGAATGCTATGGATAACATCGACTGGGTGAGTGCAAGATCTCTCCATCAGACAAGCCGGCTGTGCACTTGTCTTTACGGAGGCACTGTTTACTGATGACGGGCCAGGACGCTCTCAACATGCTGTTCCCGACGGATCCGCAGACAGGCGAGCTCAGCTTTGAACCGTATGTTGATGCAGGCATGGGGTCTACGGGGGCATGGCAGAGTCAATGATGGTGAGAGAGCTCTTTGGGTAGTGTTAATACAGTTCAAGGGGATAAAGCACAGGAATAGTATTGGCCGATTCTCTGGTCATTGCCTTTCACTTTTTGTAATTCTTACTTGCTCGTTGTATTAGGTCGTCCTCGTCGATGAATATCCTTGAGTTGAGGATCAGCACAAGTACTGTACCTATATACAGCCTGATCCTACGGGTCTAATCTCTATTCTAAACCGTATCCAATCCAGATACATCCCAGTCCAAATGCCTTACCCAAGTCTACTGATGCTTCTATCCAAGACGAGATCACAACCTCACGCCGCTCTCCCACCATGTCCTCCCGCTATGCCACCTCAATCCATACTCGCCATCCCATCGCCACCACTTTGCCCCGTCCCCGTGCAACCCCAACCAGGACCCAACCAACCTCAGCGGCGACACGGGCACGGGCTCAAACAGCCACAGCCCGGCCCGGCTCATGTCGTCCACGAGCCCCCACGCCGTGAAGTGCAGCCAGGCGGCAACAAACAGCAGATTCGCCGCCCTCGTCACCCAGCGCGGGAGGAGCACGGCACCACTACTAGTATGCCCTCCAGCCTTCCCCTTTCCACCACCACCACCAACCACAACATTCACCAACCCGAGCAGCACCCGGCTCAGCCCCATCTGCAACGCCACGCCAACAGGCTGCAGCAGGAAAAACACGACGGGCGTCCACGGCACCGTGCGCGTGCTCGACACGGACGTGACCCCGCCGGCGGCATGCAACAGGCCGCTCTGCAAAAAGGCTAGTGCTAGCGTGGCTAGTCTGGCAACGGTCCCGGCCCCGATCCTGGTATGCTTACCATGATGATGATGATGCTGATGCTGATGATGATCATGGCTGTAATCACCACCACCACCACCACCACCACCACCACCACCACCCGGAGAAGCGGAATACCACGAAGAAGAAGAAAAAAGCCACCTCCCCGGCGCAAGAAACCCGCGCCGAAACGTCTGATGCCACCACCCGCCCCAAAACCCTTGCAATCCACCATCAGCAACATTAGCCAAAAAGCACCCAAACAGCGCCGGGTGCTGCCAGAGATCGGCGCGGGCGCCCATGAGCCGGGGGCCGGCGACAAACACGACTAGCAGCTGTGCCAGAGCATGGTACAGGTGCAGGCCGGCGACGATGCCCGCCATGGCGGCTACATTGCGCACCAGCGACGGGTATTGGGGAAGGTGAGGATAGTACTGATAACAAGCCGGCGGGCCGAGGATAAAGTACGGGTCCTTGCGGACCGTGACGGTCAGCAGATCGATGACCATCCACGACACGGCCAGGGTGGTCAAACGGGAGCGCAAGAAGGAGGCGTAGGTCGGCCAGCGGACGGTTCCGGTCCGTTTTGAGGCGAGGGGGATCAGGTCGAGCCGGACGGGGACGGGGGCTTCGTCGTCGTCCTCCGGGTGGTCGCCGCCCACAAGTGAAGAAGGAAACGGCGGGTGTGGGACGGCGGGGATGGCATGGTTCCAGCCGGTGCCGCGGAACGAGACGAGCAGGTCGGCGGTCCAGCAGAGGCGGGTGAAGAACGGCGAATCGGACGGGAAGCGCTGCCAGTAATACTCCGCTTTCCCGTCGGCGAGCGCGGCGGCGACGCTTTCGTCTGGAGGTTTGATCATCATCAGGTCCGGTTCCGGTTTCTCCTCCCCCTCGTGCTGCTGTTGCTTCCTCCGTGGTCTGCGCTCAACCCTCGCTGCCTCCCACTGCGGCCGGGTGAAGATGAGCAGCGTCAGGGACCATAGGGTTCCCCATGCGGCCATCAGGCCCGTGGCGTATGCCAATGCCTCATTTCCGGCCGAGGTCGTCTGCATGACACGGGCGTTCAGGTAGACGATGGCGGCAGCGACAAGCCAGCGCATGCGGTACAGCCATGGCCGCTGTGTGTGTGGGATGCTGAGGTATAAAAGGGGTAAGAAGAATGACCCGATGAAGGACCATGGGAGGACCAGCGGCTTGACCTCACCGGCTGCAACGGCCGCGTGGAAAGCGGCCCGGTAGTTCTGTTGGTAGACGGCGAAGAGGTTGAAGTTGCTGTCATCGGCTCCGTGCCGCGTCAGGGGTTGGCTGTTGTGCATGGAAACCCTCCGGGAAAGGTGCAACTCTGCTGGTTGGTTTTATACGGTATCGTGCCGTGTGTTAGTAGTTTGCAAGCGGAAGTAATCTGGACCAAACCGGGTATTTATCGACTTGAAAATGGAAATCAGAAAATCGAAGAGAAAATGCAGAAGAAAGAACAAAGAAGACTGAAACGCCACTCAGAAACGAAAATTCCTATTTACGAGTCAGCTCTTGCAGCGGGAGGCGACAGGTACGAAGATACGGAGTTTACCGCAAGCCGCAGATCCCCTTGCCGGATTGCTGCGGTGATCTCAAAAATTCGATATTGCTGTAAGCACAAGTCCAGAAACCGCTGGTCGATCCTATTCAAGGCGAGAGAAGTGTAGCAGTTCTGTTTACTAATCCCACCTATCCACAGCCGAACCCATCGCACAGATCAGATGCCACCAAATGCTATGCAACAAGAACCAAGAGAGTCAAGTCAACCCATGCAACAAAACCTAACCCCTTTGTTTAACCATCCGTCTAGCTAGGCCACTCAGGCACGACCGGATCCCCAACTCTCACAGTCGGGAACTGCCTCTCCCTGGTAACCTCCTCCTCCCCTCCAACCCCCATATAGCACATATGCACTCCAAAGAACACCATCCCATCAAACCGTCTCGTCTTGGAGAGCGTGACAAAGGGCTCCTGGCCCCTCTCGCCCGTCTCCTGGTTGATACAAACCATGTGACACCGCCTGCACGCACCGAGCATCTCAAACTCGTGCTTGCTGCCGATGCGCACGGCCGACCAGGCGTCCTCGGCATATGGTAGTGCCGCCGTCGTCGCCGTTAACGTCGCAGAGGCGCCGGATGCGATGACAATGTTCGCTCGAAACACGTCGGGTGAGATCTCGGCCGCCCTGTCCTTGCCGTTGCGGGCCGCAATTTCCCGGTTAAGTGCTTCAACGCTGGCGAGAGTGATTGCCAGGATGGGACTCTCGTTGGATAACAGGATTCGCCTGGGGGCCACAGCCTTTTCTGTGTCCGAGTCTGGCGGGGAAGGTGGGGTAGGGAAAGTGCCTGGCATGTGGACGACCCCTGTGTTGCTGCTGGGGAAAAGGGGAAGCTGGTGCTTCTGAAGGTGGGCTTTGGCATGCCGCATGCTTTTGCCCTGGCCGCCTGGTGGAAAGCGCGCTAGGAGGCAAGGCACGCCAAGAACAGAGGAGAAGAAATGGTTGATCGCTGGTGAAGAGTATGTCTGGGCGAGAATCTCCTCCCCACAGACCCTAGAATGCCTCGATCGAAAAGCCGATGAACGAAAGAGCGAGGGATTCTTCGAAAGGGGGATGCAAATCTCTCGAGGCAGGTGTGGCGGGACCTGTCCGGCGTAGGTGACTCGCAGTTCGCCTCGTTCGAAATCGAGGGATGGTCGAATGAGAGCCATGTTGGGATGCCGTTTCTGGCTCAGTGACTGCCCAGTGCCTTGGTGTACCAAACACCACTCCCTATCCCACGCAAGACCCTCCGGTCTTACCTCCCAGTCGACTGCTGGTGGGACTTGGAACCCACCACAGCTCTTGATCGGGTATATGGATATGCTGTGGATATAAAGAGGCGGTGAATCCTGAAGACTCCCCGTCACCTCTGATACCCTCGGAGGCGACGAGATATCCCGGTAGAACTCGGCGATGAAATCTACAAAGCTGTCCACGTCAGATATAGTGCTCATAGCGCCAAGACTGGCCCTGATCACGCCGGTTGGCTTTCCAGCCATGATATCGTTATCCGTTCCGCAGCGGAAGCCAGAGCTAAAGTTCTGTCTCATCTCCCATGGCGCAAGTCCTAGGGCGCTCGCGATGCCTCCAGGGTTGCACACGCCGCCGGTACGGATGTGGAAGCGCTTGATACTAGCCATCTTTTCGATCTCAGCCAAGCTCACCCATGCACCCAGACCGTTGCGGATGTTGAAGGCCACGATGGGCCCACTCTCTGGGCAGCAGTCTGCTGCCTCTGGATCCGGTGAGTAGAGCGTGCAGACGGGCTCGCCGTTACCGTGCCGCAATGATCTGAGTCCGCGGTACAATCTCGCAGAGAGGAACGATGTGTGAGCTGCAACGTCCAGCATTGAGCCGAACAGCTGTCTGTAAACATGCATAGCGGCGTCAAGTGCAATTATGCTATGGACGGGTAGGGTTCCGTCCTCGAGCCGCTCGTGCAAAAAGTTGCTCTTGGGAGCGTGCCACTGCTCTTTCAAGCAGACAACCATGTCCACAGAGCCTCCGCCAAAATACCTCTTGGAGCTAAAAGCCTCTTCCGCCTCACGCCTCACGATCAATGCGCCCAAATCAGGAAAGCCAAAGATCTTGTAGAAGCTGAGTACGGTAAAGTCAGGGGCGGACTCCGCGCGACTGAGGTCAAGCGGAGAGGAGCAGACTAATGCCGCGGCATCCAACAATGTATACGTCTTCTTTGCTCCGTGGCCCCGAAACTTCTCGGCCCAGCTCAAGGGAAACCGGCGACCGTCCATGTTGGATTGGGCGGGATATGCCAGCAAGAGGGGACGTTCGCTTTCATCGCCCCAACACGGCCGACCCCCAGCGAGCCACTGCTCCGCTTGCTCGTCGTCAAAGCAGAGGCTATTTCGAGCCTCTTCACGAACGCCAACAATGCTAGTGTGACTTGCTTGATGGTAGGTATAATCAAACCCGTCAGGCAAGGCTCGCAAGGCTTCAGCAACCAGCTTGATTCCAGCCGTTGCGTTTGCCACGAACACGACGTCAAAGTCGGCCGGATCTGCATTGAGAAAGCGGAGCACGCGGAGACGGATGTTCTCTATCCGCTCCGTGGATAGCTGGGATGACGGCGAGGCCGAGTGCGGGTTCCCATAGAGATTGGAGGTCATGTCCTGAGCGAAGCGGTCCATCAAGGACTTGGGGCAGAGCGTGGTGCCGGCATGGTCGAGGTAAACAGATCCTACGGCGCACCCTTAGTTAATGAATTAGGTATTAGAAGACCAATTGTGTCGCACCATGCAGCATAGGATACTCCTCGTGCCTGAACCTCTCGACGGCGGCATTGTAGCCAGCGTGTGTTTCGGGCGCTGTCATAGCGTTATCGGCAACGGCCGTCATCGTTGTGTGCTCGCCTCCAGCGATAAGGAAGCGGTCGTGCTGCCTGACACTCTTGGGATGTTGAACCGGACATATATTTGGGTATACATGGTTCAGGAGCGCGAATGGCTAACTCTCGTCGGTCCCAGCCCGAATGTCATTTGAAGTGCAGATTCGACTCGGCAGCACGGAGTTCGCCCCCTTCCACCTGACAATATCGCAGTATCGCGATGATGAGCAAGGTGGGGAGTGGGGATGCTTTCCCTTATCTAGCCGAGGGCTAAAGGTGCACTAGTAATTCTGTAATGTAAATACCGTAATGTCAAACGTACCGTCGAAGCTGAGGTAAAGTAATACAGCTGACTAAGCATCCTGAACTACCGGCCCGGTTTTAATGAGACGCGGTAATGCGCGCCTTCGCGTCCCCAGCACGACGCGCTCGCGTAGTCAATCCATGTACTTCGTACCAGCGTGTAGCTACCAAGAACTCTCCTTCCATGTCTCTCCACCACAGCTCAGCTCTTTCCTCTCCAAACACTCACCACCGCCAATTGCTACTAGCAGAGTGCAACAATGGCATCTACGACCTTGGGAAAGAGGACACGAAGCTCCAGAGAAGTCGGTAAGTGCTGGCGCCTTCCGAACAGCAAGCAAATCAAGCAAGACGGTGACTAATAGTCAGCTGCAGAACCCATCCCCGGTCCCGCCTTCTCGGCCAAGCGAACACGACGGACGCCTAGGAAGATTGTCGAAGATGAAGAGAATTCTCCGGCAGTCACGGCCGACGACACTGAGAATCAGGAAAATCACCAACCCTGCCGCAATTCTCAGGACCAAGACAGGTCGAGACGCGCCTCGATCGCCACCACTGTCAAGAACTGTACGTTCACCGCCCTGTTGCTCTCAAATCTTACTCACTAATATATTCTCACAGTGAGCATCGCGCCCGTCACCCCCTCAACACCGCGCCACTACGATGTCTTCGCCAAGGGGACCACGACTCCACGGCATCGTGTCATGTCCGTCGGCAAACTCTCAAAGCGGATGACGCCTCAGACACCCTCCACCCCGACATCTTTTCAGACAGTCTACCATCAAGCGAGGCAGCTCTTCTCGCGCAGTGCCGATCCTGGTCAACTCGTTGGACGCGATGAGGAGCGCGCACGTTTGAAACAGTTCCTCGAGCGCTGCAAAACCTCACGTCCCAGCGGGTGTCTCTACGTCAGCGGGCCGCCTGGAACGGGCAAGAGCGCAATGGTGAACCGAATCACCGAGGAGGCAGTGTCGGAGACAGCCGCCGTCCGCAGGGCCTACATCAACTGTATGAGCATCAAATCGTCCAAGGACCTCTATGTCACCTTGTTGGATCAGCTTGGTGGCGACAGCGACGTGTCCGAGTCTGATGTCGTTGCGGGTCTGGAAAAACTCTTTCTTCGAAAGAGCAAAGCCCCTGGGGGCTTTCTCGTTGTGCTCGACGAGATCGACCACATCCTGACGATGGACCTCGAGAGTCTATACCGCATTTTTGAATGGTCATTGCAGCAGGCTTCACGACTTACCCTCGTGGGAATTGCCAACGCCTTGGATCTCACCGACCGGTTCCTTCCGAGGTTGAAGTCGCGGAACCTCAAGCCGGAGCTTCTACCATTTCTACCCTACACAGCACCGCAAATTAAGACAATCCTTACCTCCCGGCTAAAGACCCTCCTACCCGAAGGTTCCGCAACCCCCGATTTCATTCCCTTTTTCCATGCTGCTGCTATCGAGCTCTGTGCGAGAAAGGTCTCCAGCCAAAGCGGTGACCTACGCCGAGCCTTCGAGGTCTGCCGGCGAGCAATCGACGTGGTCGAGAGCGAAACACGGATGAAGCACGAAACCGAAATCAAGGAACAGCTCCTGCAGATGAGCCCCTCTCGCAAACCCCTCGGCGAGAACCGGAATCCCGCCGCCTCGTCCCCGCCTCGCGCTTCTTGCGCCCCGCAAGCCCTCCCAACATCAACCGCCCTAACGAAATCTCTGCAAGCCCTCACCCCTTTGACCGCGCCGCGGGTGACCATCGGCCACCTGAACAAAGTCACAGCAGCCGCATTCAGTAACGGCGCCACTCAACGGCTCAAGACGCTCAACCTGCAGCAGAAAGCCGCCCTGTGCTCGCTGGTGGCCATCGAAAAGCGGAACCGCGCCGCTGCCTACGGCTCCTCATCAGCCCTTACCCCTCCCACCTCCTCGATTTCTACTCCGACGACCCCGTCCAAGCCGCCGCATGTTTCGGCGCCGACCGTCAAAGCCCTCTTCGAAGCCTACTGTCGCTCGTGCACGCAGGACTCGCTCCTCCACCCGCTCTCCAGCTCCGAGTTCCGCGAGGTGGTGGGAAGTCTCGAGACACTCTCCCTCATCGCCCCTGTCGACGGCAAGACGAGCTCATTTGCCGCGCTGGGAAGCTTCACCCCTGGTAGTGGTGGTGGCAGCGGCGGTGGGACCGGACGGAGGGCCAGGAGGAAGAAGGATGTGTTCTTTGGTGGTGACGGTGGAATGCCTGGGAGCGGGCAGCTGGCGGACGAGAGGAGGGTGGCTAGCTGCGTGGGCGAGAAGGAGATGGAGGCTGCTATCGACGGCTTGGGCGCGGGGATTCTGAGGAGTATACTCTCCGGAGACGCATTGGATTGAAGCATTATCCTGATGATGGGAGGGGCTTGTTATGTATTCTTGTCAGCCTGCTGTTAGAGCTGGGGACTGCATTCTGCATTGCATGGCTGGCAAGGCGTTTCGCGGCTTTTGTTTGGGACTTGGTTTGACTTGGAACGGTGGAGGATCAAGATACATAGTATCGTGTTGTATACTTACATGGCCTTGGCTCGTTGGACGGCCAGCACTGTACAATCAAACCGGCACCCCATTGCTCTGATGGGTACAGGTGAAACCAGTGTCCTATCATAACTATATCTTGTGTTGAACGGCCAGTTCGGTTACCTGTTCCGCGTGTATTGTGTTGATCACCGGCTGTGGTTAAGCTGAGAGATGTCCGGTTATCACCCGGATACAACAAGATTGTCATGCGGTTCTCGTCCCCGGGAAACCCAGTTGTAGTTCGGATTCTAACCGTTCGATCCCCGGATCCAACTCCCTACTCTCTCGTTCGCCTACACGATTAGCCCTCTATCCCCAGACTGATGCCACCACCCTTACGCCATGTCAAAGGCACTGGTATCAACCCCACTACTATCCCCCGGGTACTAGGAGATTGGTAGTGAGCACCTGTAGAGTTAGGAGCATGCAGAAGGCAGTTCGGCGGAACAGAACCCGTTCACTTAGATTTGACACCTAGGTAAGCAACGCAGGCAGGTAGATAGGTACATAACAACTCAACCAGCGTATAAACACCTAAACATGCTCAACTAGTCATATACTTGTGATTTTCCCTTCGTCCGCATTGCCCAGTACGTATGTATCAACAACCTTTCCCCTCCCACCCCACCCCACCCCTCCCCGGACGAGTTCAACTATGCGTCGGCATAGCGACATCCGCCTTCTGCGAGATAGCATCCGCCCCAGCCCACATGGCCGTGACCGTCTTGAGCTGCGTGTAAAAGTTGACTCCCGGGCGGCCGTAAAAAGTACTTGCCCCGCCGCCCGCAACACTCTTCTTGTTGCCCGTGAAACTGAACATGGGCAGGGGCACAGGGATGGGCACGTTAATACCGACCTGGCCGGCCTCAATGCTGCGGCGGAACGACTCGGCCGTGGCGCCCGACTTCGTAAAAATGGCCACACCGTTGCCATACTCGTTTCTGTTGATCAGCTCGACGGCCTCGTCAAGGGTATCGACGTTGAGGCAGACCAGCACGGGCCCGAAAATCTCCTCACGGTAGCACTGCATGTCGGGGGTTACGTTGGAGATGATGGTGGGCGCGATCCAGTTGCCGTTGGGGTACTTGGGCGGCTTGTAGCCGCGGCCGTCGAGGAGGATGGTGGCGCCCTCGCGCTCGGCCGAGGCGATCAGGCCCTCGATGCGCGCCTTGCTCTGCGGGGAGATGACGGGCCCCAGGTCGGCGCCGGGCTCGAACCCGCCGTTGACGTTGAGGGTTTTTGCGCGCTCGGCGAGTTCCGGCAGCCACTCCTTGGTCTCGCCCACCATGACGAGCGTCGAGAGCGCCATGCACCGCTGCCCCGCGGCGCCGAACGCGGCGCCCACGACGGCGTTGAGGAAGTGGTTCTTGTTGCAGTCCGGCAGGACGGCCGCGTGGTTCTTTGCGCCGAGGTTTGCCTGCACGCGCTTGCCGTTGGCTGAACCCCGTGTAAAGATGTACTCGCCCGCCTTGTTGCCGCCGACGAAGCTGATGGCCTTGATGGCGGGCTCGTCGAGGATGAAGTTGACGGTGCGGTGGGCGCCGTGCACCACGTTGATGACGCCGTCGGGGAACCCGGCCTTTTGGCAGAGCTCGGCCAGGATCATGGCCGCGCCCGGGTCGCGCTCCGAGGGCTTCAGGATGAGCGTGTTGCCCGTGACGGTCGCGATGGGGATGCACCAAAGCGGGATCATGGCGGGGAAATCTTTGTGAAGCAGGTCAGCTGCACGTCTAGGGGCGACATATTAAAGGGGAAAACGCACTAAATGGGCAGATGGCCGCAACAACGCCCAGCGGCTCCCGGTAGGTCCTCGTCTCCATGTCCTTGGCCACCTCCAGCACTTCTCCCTTGAGTAGCTCCGGCGCAGCGCACGCGGCCTCGGCAACCTGCAGACCGCGCAGCACATCGCCCTTGGCATCCGCAAACGTCTTGCCCTGCTCGAGCGTGATGCTCGCGGCCAGGCGGTCCCAGTTCTCGCGGATGAGGGCTACGAATTTGAACATGATTTGCTGGCGGTGCAGTACGCTGGTCTGTCGCCATGTCTCGAACGCCTTCTGAGCCGAGGCAACGGCCGCCTTGAGTTCCTCATCGGTATTCTGGGGCACGCGGGTCACAAGGTTGTTTGTTGCCGGGTCGTGCAGGTCGATGAATTGGGTGGTGCTCGAGCTCAAGAACTTGTTGTCAATGAAATAGGGCGTGTCGTGCACCTCCTGGATCTTGTCGTGAGTAGTTGGGTAGCTGGTGCTCGTGCTCGCAAGGCCCGCCGCTGCCGAGGCGGGACGCAAATGTTGTGCCGTGGCATGCAACCTCCTCACCGCCGTCGCCGAAACGGTTGACTTGGTTGGCGGGGCCATTCTTGCTGACGAGCCGAGTATTGCGGCGGCTCTAGGACAACTAGGTGATGAAATTTGACGACCGACGGTGGCAGATGCTGAAGCGGCCCTGGTCGCAAGGCGGCGCATTGTGTTGTTGCGGAGAGACTGAGATCGGTCGTTGATGAATGGGTGGGATTAATTGGGATCCGGGAAGCGGAAAGCGGTAAACGTGGTTGGGGCCAGGAAGCTGCGAAATAGCCGGCGTCTATAATTAAGCACCGAATTGCTTGGGGATTCGCCCGTTCCCAGTACAGACAGTACCTTGCCTATGTAATGAGCTGCGTGATGGCAAGTTATGTCCAGTGCATCCCGTCCACTGCAATGGGAAATGCGTAGCACACTCTCTCCCTTTATCCGGCCAGCGGCTACCGCTCTTATGGGACATGTCCTGGGGAACGAGAGCCGAAGGTGGAGAACAACCCCGCTGACCCCAAAGCCGTTGCATGCCGACCGCCGATCGCTTCCGCCCAATTGGTCGAAGCGGCCGGGGTAGCTCCAGTGGGGCCCGCCGAGAGTCGCGGGTGCTGTCACGGATGGGGCCCTCCGGGTTCTGGCAACGGGCCGGGAAAAACAACTTTGGATACCGGAAAACAAACATGGCACCTTTATTAGTACCAACGCCACACTGTCTTTTGTGTGCCTAGAATACATATGCGCCCTGGGACTCCGCCGATCAAATAATAAGCAGGATAACGCAAAAAAGTAGTGCCTAACAGTCACTGCCCAAGTCCCGACCAAGCTTGGATTGCGGTACCTGGCAACTGCCCATCCGCTAATCCGAGTGCTATCTCCGTTCAATTTCCCTCCCCAGAAACTCGACTTGACATGAATAGTGTCGTGTATGGTTTGCCATCTACGATTGGCTCCGTGTGGTGCGCTTGCTGGCCTCCGACTTGACAGTCTCGGCGCCAGTGGTGGCGGCCGATGCAACCTTGTCCTTGACCTCCTTGGCCTTCTCCTTCGCATCAGCAGCGACCTTCTTGGCCGCAGGGGCGGGAGAGGATCCCAGACCGACGAGACCGAAGAGCAGGGCGACAACAGTGACGAAGAGGGCAGCAAGACCACCGGCAATCTCGGGGACGAACTTGATGGCCTCGAGGGGATCCCTCTTGGCAATGGTCAGGAAGAGGTCGAGCTTCTCCTGAATGTACTTCTTGGGGTCGTCGAGGAACTTCAGGTCCATGGGCGACTTGGGCTTCTCCTCTTCCTTCGGCTTGTCGGCAGTCTCCAGGGCCGTCTCGACGGGGTGCTTCTTGAAGAAAGTCTCATCGGCGAGCTTGCGGGCATCCTCAACCGAGTGGCCGATGTAGATGTTGTCGAACATGATATTGTTCTGCATGGTCCAGATCTCGAAGCCAATCTACGGGAATGTTAGCAACGGGAAACCAAGTCAAAATACATTGGAGGGAGCTTACAGCGCCCATGGGCTCAAAGTTGGCGGGGGTCTTGTCCTCAAAGTAGTCGGGATTCTTAATCTTGCGAGGAGCCCAGGGACCCTTGTAGGCCGGGTTATCAATGAGCGGCGCGGTCCACTTGCCCTTGTAGTCGGGGTTCTTCTTCATGGGCTTGGTCCACGGGCCACAGCCAGAAACATCAGCGCACTTGGGGTTGGGAACAGTGGGGGCAATCCAATCGCCGTCCTCCTCATCATCCCAGTCCTCGGGCTTCTGGGCCTCGGGGTCAGGGATGGTGAGGGGCTCGTCAACGAGCCAATCAGCCGGCTGGGTAGCCTCCTCATCGACAATCTCGTACGGGGCATCCTCGTCCCAGTCGTCGGGCTTCTTGGCATCGGGGTCAGGAATACGGGCCTCGTCAACCCAGTCATCGGGCTTCTTGTCCTTGGGGTCGTCAATCTCCTTCGGAGGGTTGACCGCAGGGTTGAAATCCTCGAGGAGGCTACCCTCCTTGACCTGTTCGCCGTTCTGCTGGATGACGTACGTGTTGTTGGGGTGGACGATGAGCGTGTAGAGCTCTGTGGTCTTGACGATCTTGGCGGTAGGAGGAGAGGTGAGGTGCTTCTCCTCATACGCGCCCGTCTTGGGGTTCTTGTGGTTGAAGATGAAGTGGACCTTGTTGGTGTGGCCGCACTTGTCGGGACCGAACATGATCACGTACGGAGTCGTGTTGGAGAACTCCTCCTGGTGCAGGGCCTTGTTCTCCCGCAGGAGCTTGAGGTAGGCACCACCGCATTCGAGGCCATCTGCAAGGGAAACGGACGTTAGTGCCACGATCCAAGGCAATGTAAAGGAGGGGTAGACGTACTCTGCAACTTGACCTCGTATTGAACCACCAGGGTCTTGCCCTTGGGGTCAATCTTCTTGGGGAACTTGGCGGAGATGGCGTGGTGGGCAGCAGCATTCTTGACCACAAGCCCCTTGTCGCCCTCCATTCCCTTGTAGACGATGGGCTCCTCAACCGCCCACTCGCCGACGTATGCCCACTCCTCGTCACCTTGCGTGTCCTTCTTGGCATGCGAGGGCTTCCATCGCGCCTCCCAGTCATCGGTGAACTGCTCGAGGAATGGAGCCTTGAGTTTGGTGGGCTGCAATTCAGCTGCGTTAGCAAAATGATTTTGGAATTCGTGGTTTCGTCATTGCAATGCCCTTGTCGTCGCTCAGGAGAAGGTGGGTGTCCAGGAGAAGGGGATTGGAGCTTGGACGACACTCACAGTGAAGGTCGGAAGCTCTGGGGCAGCCTTGGTCGCCGACTCGGCGACAGAGCTGCTTTCATCCTTGAGCACCTTCTGGTCTTCGGCGTTCACGCCGCCAACGAAGAGCGCTGCGCTGGCGGCAGCGGCGGCGACGTTGAACCTCATTTTGGATGGCCGAGCGTCGTCTCAAGCAGCTCAGCGATGTGGTCTGACAAAAGGAGGATGCAAAGGACACAAAGGTCGATTGAGGAAGGAAAGATCGTCTACGGGGACAGACGATGCGTTGGGGTTGGGCAATGGATAATCGCTCCCAGAGCTCGAGGGAAAAGGAAATCGCCCAAGCTTGCAGAGGCAGCTGCGAGTGGTGAATTTGAAGCTCGGTGGGCGATTTCTGACAACGTGTCTTTAACATTCCTGAGCTTTGAGCTTCGGCTGCCGTAACAGCGGGACTGCGGGGGATTGGCCACTCGGAGTGGCCCCTGCGGACCCCAGGTGGAAGGCCTTCGAACCTTCGATTGGACAGCCTCAATCCCAGTCTCCTCATCCTTCTCACTTGCTATCATGTGTGAACTGCAACTGTATGTAGATAATGCCCGATGCTAGAACGGGAGTCTGTTTCACACTGGACTTTGCAATTCAACTGCTTTCAAGTTACAATCATTCTTGTCTATAGACTCAGTATCTTATTCCTTGAACTCGTATGTCGCCAATCGACTCCAAGGTTGGCTCTAATCGAACGATTCGAGTGTGTGCAGCTAGGACGGTGCCGTCTGTAAGACAACGGCAGGCATTTAACAGCGAGACCAGGTAATAGTTCACCTCTGCTACAGTTTTGCAACACTGACCTCTCAAAGCTTCATGTGAAAGCGAGCTTCACCCCTAAGTCGACACTGGGAGACCCTCTCTAACATGACATGATAACCAGGACTAGACTCTCTATATCAATGCCATAGAGCGACACATGACTGTCCATACTAAGCTGAGTATTACTGGATACTTCGAATGCTTGGCTGCAATTGGAAGTGCTAGTTTAGTGAAGAAGTCGTACCCCGATGACTTGAGACAGCATGAAGTCGGAAGTTTCACAGCAGCCGTAGCTCTGTTCCAGCTTTCAATCCTGTTGACAGCTGCCGTCTACATACATACATACCGAGCTCGAAAGCGAAAGAGTTTACGTTAGTCCCCAAGGTAGTCTGCGACTCGTGTTCTCTTTTGCTAGTGTAAAGTTGGTCCTCGATGTCCGCAAAGTGGAAAGAGACCACGTGGAAGTCATCTCAGAGATGCCCTGGGTAGTGCAGCCGTCGTTCACAAAAGCCGGCGATATACCTCGAGGTGGAGCCGTTGCCGCAAAGCTGCTACCTAAGCAAGCGGCCGCATGAACTCCCGAGCCGTTCGGCATGCCAAAGTGTCATTGTGGAGGGCCGCTCCGGACCTAGTCAATTTAGCCCCAAATAGCCTCATTTGCGCTTTTATACTGCCGACTCCGCCAAAATTGCCGCCAGAGACAGCCTCACCGGAGCTACCGGATTGAAGCCTCTGAAACCTGAACCAGGGGGACCTGCCTGCTTTGGCTATCGGCACAGGAACCGGCTATCTCGAGAGTCCCGACCCAGCATACATCCCCCTCGCACCGCACGGAGGTCCCGACGCCGGCACGAGAATGACCCCGCCCTCAAACGGCCAACCGGCCGACGACAACAACAATGACCACCTTGTCCAGTCCGACAACCCGGAGCACCCGGCAAACCTGATCCCCTCTCTTTGCGCCAAGTTCTGGACGCTTGGCTGGGTGACTGGCACAGGCGGAGGAGCCTCGATTCGTGATGAGTATGGACCATCTATTACAACTGAACCCCTCCTCATCCATTACCCCGCCATCCCATCCCATCCGCACCTTCAACTAACCACCATGGTACCCATGGCACCATGACACAGTGACCTGGTCTACATCGCGCCATCAGGCGTGCAGAAGGAGCTGATGAAGCCGTCCGACATTTACGTCCTGTCGCTCGCAGCGCAGGCGCAGTCGCTGGACCGGCGCAAGCGGGTTTACCTGCGCAGCCCGCCGCAGCACAAGCCGAGCCAGTGCACGCCGTTGTTCCTGGCGGCCTTCACCAAGCGGCGCGCGGGCTGCTGCATCCACACGCACTCGCACTGGGCCGTGCTGGTGACCATGCTCCTTGAGGCCCAGGGAGGGTCCCGCGAGTTCCGCATCAACAACATCGAGCAGATCAAGGGTTTTGGGCGGGGCTTCGGCAAGAGTGGGAACCTGGGGTACCACGACACGCTGGTCATTCCCGTCATCGAGAACACGGCGCACGAGGAGGACCTGACCGAGTTCCTCGAGGAGGCTATGGATAAGTATCCCGACACATATGCCGTGCTGGTGAGGAGGCACGGTGTCTACGTGTGGGGCGACAATGTGCACAAGGCGAAGACGCAGTGCGAGAGGTGAGAATCCACCGCCGAATCCCCTTTAGGGAGGACATTGGGCCTCGGGTTTGCTGACACGATGCTGCTGGACGCCAGTCTCGATTATCTTTTCCAGCTGGCGGTTGAGATGAAGCAGCTCAACCTGCCGTGGGTAAGCGAAGTCGAACCCGTCGTACCGCGGACGTCATAGGCAAGAAAAACACCGCAATCGCATGCACACAAAGTCCAAACCATTGAGGCATAACAGACGCGCCCGTGTTTTGATGCTGACACTATTACCCGTGACGTACACACTGCAGCAGTGACATACTGGAAACGCTGTAAATCCGATCCCAACCAAACCTATTACGCCCTCCACTGATCATCCCGTCTTTAACTTCATTCCATTCCATCCCATACAGCCCGATCCACCACATTAAATGAGATGGCGCTCACAGCGCCAAAACAGCAGCCAAAAACCCGAACAACCCAGCGGCAGACCCAGTCATCCGGAGCATCTGGCTAGCCGCGCCAGTAGACGACGCCGCGGGGGCAGAGGAGTCAGTTGGCGAGGCCTGCCCACCAGCAGTACCAGAGGCACCAGTGCTGCCGGCGGTGCCCGAAGCCTCACCGCTGGCGCTGCCGCTAGATCCGGAGCCGGAGCCAGAGCCGGCGCCGCCCGTGGGGCTGGGAGTCCCGCCCGACGTGGTGAAGTAGTTCTGGCCAATGCAGTCTGAGACGCATGTCTCGTAGTTGCGGATGTCGCTTTCCGTGCCGTTGCCCTGAGGGCAGGCCGCCACGCAGTTGTTGGTGGCGTTGACCTGGTGAAAGGTGAGTCGTGGTTAGCGAACGCTGGGCTTCGTAGTGTGGGTTTTAGAGAGTGACAGAGCTGGAGTGACACCTACCTGGGACTCGTTGGGGTTCGGGACGGCGATGCACTTGGATGTGCAGCTCACGTCGCCGGGAGTGCAAGCTTCAATGCAGGCGATCATGGAGGCTTGGACCGGGTCTGTGGTGGTGGGAGTAGCCGCGGAGCCGCTCGTCGTTGACTGGGCGCTCGCGACGAGGGCGAAGACGCCGGCGAGGACAACGGAGACAGCGCGCATGTTGGTTGATTATGATACAATATTATCAAGTAGTCGGTGCTTGGTGATTCGAGCCGGGCTGCTTCAGCTGGTGTGGTATACGATATTATACACGTACGTACAATGAACGAATGTAAGAGGAACGTTCAAAAAGAGAGCGAGTGGTGGACGTTCTCTTGATGTGGTATGCCCCTAGAGCCAAAACAAAGTAGGGAAGGAACACATTCCTCGCTACAATGAGGGATGTTCTTTCTATATACCTTGCCTAACCCATCACCCCGGGGAAGGACCGAGCCAGGGATTGCTGCAGTCTTTGGGCGTGATCCGGGGGCTGGGCAATGTCCCCTGCCCAGTGAAGAGGGCCATCTGGCACTGGGCTTGCATTCGAGTCGCGCTGCCTCCCTTGAGCATGTCTCCACAGTGGCTCCCAAATCGCGAGGATCTCCCTTCCCGTCCAGTCGCGCGGCGCAGCGCGGAGAAGAAACCTGGCAGAATACGGGGCCCCTGGCATTTTTAATCCCTTTTCCGTGCAACCATCCGGACATATGATTCCATCCCCTCACTCTCCCACGATCCATCTGATTCTACACTACCTCGACTACACTATCCATACCGTTCCACGGACTGTTGTTGACGTGTGTTTGGGGTGGAACGAGGGCCTGATGACAACTCGAATTTTTACATTAGACTGCCCAATGCCGGCCGACTCGCAGACTGCATTCACCCAATTGAGTGGTGATCGTCCCCAGCACCAATCAGCATGTGAACTTTCGCGTAAAATGATCTGGGGAAGAATTCGTCTTGGCATGTTTGTGGTTGCCGTCGGCCCGTGCGACCCCTGGTAACTGATGACTGGGTGTCAACAGAGGTCCATTCACGCATTGTCCTATCAAGAAATGGTCCAGGGAAACCAAACCAAGAATGTGTGGCGCGATATCTAAACTCACAGGGCAGCGTACTGCGGGCTGTAAACAACATGCGAGTTCATGAGAAGGCAGTGTTTGGAGGTGGTGGTCGGACTGCTGTGCTACATTGACGTTACGGTATGAATCTGACTGAACCACCCCCTGAGAGATTAGCGCCAGTTGCCTCGGACGAAAACGTCATTGGCCGCATGGGCCGCTGAGCCTGCATCGGGCGGCATTGAAGTCTGGGCTAAATTTCTACGTACTCCGTACACAAACTGTGATTTGTACTGTAACTCACTCTGCCACTCTGCTCATCGACAGCCTTGCCGTACAGTACGCGTCGAGGCGTGTGGCCCTGGCTCGAGCCTGCGTTCTCAATCTACAGTTGAGGACCTCCGTAGACTGTGCTCCGTATGTAGAAGGCTCCGTGGTTAGTGCTGATGGTGCTTGCCTGTCTAAACGCAACTGTCTGGTGCCGTTCCCTCCCATAATGAAAACGTGTCTCGATTTTGGTTGACTAGAAGATTCAAGTCCAGGAGTCCCACAGTCCCGAGGCTATTCCATGCGAGGTCTGCGGTAAACAATTACGTGGCGAACTGCTACCACAGTAAAGATCCCCAAGAGCCAATATGATAAGAAGTACTTGTACTGTATCCGTACAGACAAGAATTATTGGTCCGTATAAGTCTCAAAGAGACGAAAATACAAACGAAGCAATGGTACATACCATTTTCAGTGGGGAAACCGATCACCGTTGGATTCCCGTCACCCAGCCACAGACAGGGCCGCCAAGCCTTGGCGTACAGTCCGTGAATTTGGTAAGGTGTCATTTCCCAGCCAAATTTGTAGTGACCAGATGGATTTTAAGATCCTAACGCCGCCCAGATCTTGTGCTATTGAGGATTGACCTTCCTACGTTGACCTTCTTTGTACGTTGATGGACTGACTGGCGTTAAATTGACTTGGTTGATCTGACAACTGCAAACTGTATGCCAAGCTTTGGTAGTGTGGCTTCAATGGTCATTGTGGCTGTGTGAGCGGAATCCAACGATGATCGGTTTCCCCACTGAAAATGGTACGAAGTGTGTACGAATATTACATACACACCAAAGTTGGCGCGTGCTGACCTGACCAGTGCCCTGTAGCTGACCTGACCAGTCTTCCATGCTGCGTGCAATACCTAGCGTTTGACGACCAGAGGCATAATGTGTTTAGTGACAAGTCATCGAACTGTGCTGTTCAAACAAAGTCAGTGACCAATGTTGAAAAAGAAGAAGTTTGGGATTGCTTTGCTGGTCCTGCGTACTTGCGTTGAACTCCTCGAGAACGCGAACGATGAGTTGACCTGACCAACCCCCACCTTGTTGACCTGACCAGTCCACATCTTGTTGACCTGACCAGACAGGGCCTCGTCTCTCCTCGCCTCAATACATACATAACTCTCATCTTAGAGCTGCAGTACTGTACATACATTCACACATTATAGTCTAGGCCAAGTGGACAGTAATCTCTAGGCGCCAGCATTTCCCAGCTTCCAAGATATAGAGCATCCGGGATATTCTGAAGGTTTTCCCAGCTTTCTGTTCTCTTTGTATATGATAGCTCCCGACTTCCACTCGGCCCCTATCCTTCTTACTGATGACGGGAGTTTAGGTCACTTCTTCCCTGCCGCTTCTGCGCCTGAACAAGACAGACCGCAATCACTATCCGCCAGGCTCCTGACAGGCCGATCGTCCACGGGGCGGCTCCTCCAACCAGGATCATTGCGCAGAGATGTCGAGCAGTCTCAAGCGCAGTGAATCTCCCGATCTGTCACCATTAGTAGCGCCCCAGCTACGGAGAGAGAGGGGGCGACCAGGGGAGCGTTATACCAGGCTGCCTTCCCATTTGTATGCCGCAGTAGTCCAGCTTCTGGCACAAAACGGTCCCGGCCAACTCAGGCAAGAAGCTTCGTTAGCACCAGAGACATGGCTACTCAGTCTTCGGGGCGCTTTCAGCGCTGCTGAGCTGTCAAGGCTGCCGCTCGAGGATCGCCCAGGCCGAGTATAGTCCCCCCATCAACAAGTAATCCCCCTGAATCAAATGAGCTCGGCGCTGCCCGCTTCAACCAGCGGCTTCGCATCGGACCAGCGCAGGATGACAATGTCGTTGACCTGCATATTCGTAGCGTCGTCCGTGTCGACGCCACGGCCTTCGACGAGGGCGTTTTTGAGCAGGCGGATGAACACGGCCGACTCGAGATCGGGGGTCTCGATCATGGAGATGCCTCCCGCGGTGTCGTTGAGGTTCTGCAGGGCGGGCGGGAAAGAAGCCAGGAAGGACGACAGGTAGTGGTTGTGCAGCAGGGCCTGGTGGCGGGTGGCGTAGGCCAGCTCCATGTCCGAAAGACGGCCGCGCAGCTCGTCGGTCGAAAGGTAGTGCAGCGTGTGCTTGTCGATCTTTGCGATGCGGGCGCGCAGGTAGCTGCGCACCAGGTACTTGAAGCGCTCGAGCTCGGTCTGGATGACGATGAGGGCAAAGTTGGTTTTGGGGTCCATGTCGCCCGTCATCTCCTCGACCTTTTCAATCTGCCGCTTGATGCTGCCATTGATGCGCTCGAATAGCCCGTCGGCCGGCCAGCTGCAGATGCCGGATTAGCAGGGTGCCGGGTCAAGGTGAGATCGGGTCCGACAAGGTCGAGGAGGGGCAGGTTCGTACGGCAGAAGCTCCGGCGCCGATCGTTCGGCAACCCATGCACGCGTCAGTTCCTGGAGATCGCGCTTTTCTTGGGGTATGGTGTGGAATGATGGGTCGACTTCTTGAAGAATGTCGTCGATGTCCATGTTGGTGAGATAATTTGGAGGCCTTAGGTGTCGAAGGTATCAACGTTGGGTGTAATTTATACAGTACGCTACTTGTGCATACAATGCACGTAACCTGGATCAACCTACTGCATTTCGTTAAACGTTAAAGATGCAGAACCTTGCTTAACAGATTAACTCCGCTCACAACAACCTAGAAGTTAACATACTCGACATATTAAAACGTTGTTTGTGCTTGTACAAATTACCTAACCTCAACGACAAGATGCAAGCTGACATTCAACAAAGCTCTACAATTCCCCTCCCCGCTAACATCCCCTCATCAGCTCGAGATTCTTGCCCAACCAAATCTACACCGGCCCAAATACATTACCCCATCTGCAAAGTCCGGGGAGAAATTGCCGAGGACCGCCTTGAGAGGCTGAAGCAGTCGCACACTTGTGTTCGACAACCAGTCAAGTGATGGTTGCGTGCGACAGCTTCTGCACCGGATGTCGGTGGCTTGCATCGAGCATGGCGGGTCTTCTGTCTCATCCTCACAATACGCTCAAGAGCGGTTATGGCCATTGGCCGAGCCCGCCATGAATCCAATGATGGTCTGCTGTGGGGATGATTCCTGCCGCCAGACCGCCGCCACATGTCTTGGTTAGCGATTTGTTGTCGTCTTGCGCAGCCTGTAAAGCTGTACCTAATAGCCCAGGCATTTGACGGCGATTGATTCGGATAGTCATGTGCTGCTCCTGCCTCCCAATCTTCCACCATGAGCCAGCACCGCTATGTCGTCTGTCTGGGCCCGGCTGCTCATTGCTATCGTGAAGGCCTTTGACATTCTCGCTGGACCCAAGGTCTGGCCTACGGCAGAGAACTGCGACTCGGAGTCAAGCCTGGCCTCCCCATTTCAAGACGTCGGCTATGTGGAGACATGGGCAGATCCGTTTCCTGGGACGAAGGCCCTGTTTGGATTACACGGCCAAGTCTTGAGCGTGGGGAGGAGAGACTGTTTGTCGAACGGATCCAACTACTGCTTCGGTAACAACGTCGACTTCTGTCCCGACTGTGGGAACTGCTGCATTGAGGGGAAGCACTGCTGTGGGCGAGGAGATCTGTGCTGCGGATCCGGTTGTTGTTCCAGTGACCAGACCTGCTCTCAGGGGAAATGCCTCTCCGCTCTGTAAGTCTGCCGTTGAGCTACCGTATCAGCTGAAATAAAGAGGTCGTCAGATTGACAAGTCGAGAAGGCTGGCTGTGACTGTTACGTCGACCATCGTTGAAACGACGACGCACATCGCAACACAGCGGGCAACCATAGTGGTGGCCCGGATCGAAACGTCGACTGCCATCTCGATAGTTGATGTCACCATCTCCAGTGCTGCAACCCAGACCGATGTTTTCTGGGTAAGCGTCACAACAGTTGCGGAGCAGGTTGTTCCCAGGCAGGAGCTGCCCCAGCAAAGCGAAGGGAGCGGCAGTAGTCTTGCGTTCCGGACGTCTCAGGGCAAGAGACTGCCCCATGGCATCAGCAACATTACCCCTATTCCACGGCAGGCAGCCCAGGATTCGACCCCGACGGTGACCAGCTATGTCACCCAGACCACAGATATAACCAGCATATCCTCTACCAGGGTGACCGTCTCGACAACCTCCACCGTCGTAACCACCCTCTACCAAACCAACACGCGGTAAGCCTGCTCAGCACCAAATACCAACCAAAATCCTATCTGTATGTATACTAAACCTCTCCCGTAACCGCAGCGTCGTCAACGCGCAAACAACAATATCCACCACCTCAACCCTAACACTCACCTCCCACCCGCCAACAACCCGCACAGTCACAAGCACAGCAAGCCTGATTCCTCCCCCATCACACTCTCCGTCCCCCACCCCAACATCATCATCACGACCACCCCCACCATCGCTATCATCAGGCACCATAGCCGGCCTCGCAGCGGGTGGTTCCATACTGGGCCTGCTGCTGGCAGCTTTTGTAGTCCTCTCCGTCGTTCGCCGGCGCCGGCGCCGCTACCGCTACCGCTTCCGCTTCGGCTACCATCGCCACAGCCACAGCCACACGCACAGCAGCAGCAGTGACTACCATGACTCGTACTTGTACCGCGACGATAATGGCAATGACATGCAGCTTGAGCCCACCCTGCCGCCGCTCCCGGCACATTTTGGACCGGCTGCGCCAGCGGGCCACCACGCGCTGCCTTTTCAGTTGCCTGTCACGGTAGGGGCGACGGCTCATCATGCCCAACACGAGCGAGGCCGGGGGCGGGGGCGGGGGCGGGGTCGGGGTCAGTGGGTTGGTGGTGGTGAGAATCAGGGGTTCATCAGGGGGGTGGGGATGAAGGAGGGTGAGGAGATGGGGATGGGGGTGGGTGTCATAAGCATTGGGATTGCCGAGGTGGCGGGGGCGGATTCCATGCCAATTGAATTGGAGGCTTCGTCGGGTTTGTCGCGGCAGGCTGGTGGTTCGGTTGGTGTACGGGCTGTCGATGGACACGGGCACCGGCACGGGCATGGGCAAAGAGAAGGGAGGAGGTTGGGCGAGTTGGAAGGCGATGGGGGCGTCATTGCTGAGGTGTCTGGGGATGGCGTCGATGTCTGTGGGAGGCGGGATCGGGGTGGGTTTATGTTCAAGAAGTGATGGGACCGATCTCTATCGTGAATCGTGATGCCCTCCTGGGTTGATGCCATCATATCTGGGAGCGGTCGATTAGTCAGAGAATTGAAAGGGAAGGCTCATCTGATCTATGATGTGCTATACCGTCTGGATGAAGGGGTGAAGAATTCGGATAACCGTCATGGTAGTGCGGGCGAACAACATCGCAAAGGGGTAGATAGTGTTGCTAACTGGAACGGTGCAGGCAGGACAGTAGTCAAGCCATGACTCGAGGATAGCATGCTCACTCAGGTACCACCGGACTTGGTTATGAAAACCAAGATCAGTTGCCCTGGTAGCCTCCAGCACCTACGTTATGTATACTTTCCGAGCTGACCGAGCTGCGCTCATCAAACGACATATTCACCTGACAGAAACATCTTTCGATACACCCTCTTGCTCAATTGAGCCCTCACAAACAACCCCCCTAACCCCCATAGCTCAAGAAATACACAGCACCCTAGCCAGGCCAGGACAAGCAGAGACGCGTATACATATAGGTATATATATATGGGATAATAGACAACCCCACAACGCTATGCACTAACAACAACACTATGCCCAACAATCAAACGCCACATCATCCTTCCCAGACAGTATCAATACTATACTGCCAACCCAAAACCGCGAGATGATATATCCAAAATTCCTCTCCTTCCAGACCATAGAACAGCATATACCATCAACAAGATAAGAGGAAAAAAAAATAAAAAAAAATAAAAAAAAAATAAAAAAACGGAGAATCATCGTTCATACCTAGGCAACGGCTCCGACCCAGCCTCCACACCTACACCCCCACCCCCAGCCTCTGCCTCATCCGAAGCCGAAGCCAAATGCGGGCCATACGAGTACGTATACGTATAATCCTCTGCCGCATACACCCGCTCAGCAGCAGCAGCACTCCGATCCCCTTCCCCACCGCCCTCCTCCTCCGAAAGCACCGGCGCCGAGGGTTCAAACTCCTCCGCCGCCGCCGCCGCCGAGGGTACCCGCACAGCAAGGGGCGCGGCACTGCTCGGTCCAGGGTCACAATCCTCGGGAAACTCTGGCGGCGCGCTGGCCTCGGCAAGGAGCCGTTGTCTTTCCAGCTCCTGCTTGTCCTCTGTCGGGTGGTGGTAGTGGGCGGTGCCCTGTGAGAGGTCTTCGAGTGTCGGAGCCGAGGGCGTGTCTGCTGCGTCAGGCGGCAGCAGCAGCGGCGGGGGAGGAGGAGGAGGCGGCTGGGCGGCGTCGTCTTCGGCGTCGTAAATGTTTTCGTCGGCGATGGGCACGTCGGCGGCTGGAGGATGATGGGCACCCGAGGGACCCGCGACAACGGAGGTTGGTATTTCCGGGGGCTGGCTAGGCAGTAGCCTCTGCTCGGCGCGTCTGATGCGCTCCTTTTCGGTGAGCGTGCTTTCGTCCGGTACCTCTGGTGGAGGGATGTAGTAGGGTACGGGTGCGGACGGGGGTGGCGGGGAGGGTGAGTTCCATAGTGCGGAGTATGTGGGTTGAGAAGCGGGTGACGGGCCGTAATCATGGGGGTAGTCAGCCGGCGCATAGGGATCGTTTTCTGCCGGTGCCGGCCAAGGCTGCTTCTCGCCCCTGTCGCCGTCGTACAAGTCGCGTTCGCGGACGGGCACAGTGTGGACGGAAGGTGTAGGTTTGAATGGAGCCTTGCCCCGGAGCCGGTTGCTATCTGTCGTTCCGACAACGACTTCAAACATGACAGAGATTACGCCCTTCTGCCGCCGAAGTCTGTCTGTATCGATAATGCTCGTTCCCCATGATGTTAGTGAGGCTGCGCCATCGAAAGCAGTGCCTGTCAAACCGAGCGGTCCGCTCACGGTGTTGACCCTTGCCCCAGAAGACTTCCCGGCTTGGATCTGGTTGGCCAGCTTCCCCCCAAGATCCACAATGACTTCGACATGGTATTTGAATGTAATCATCTCGTAGGGAACACCTTTGATGGTGGGAAACACGTCCTCAGGGACGCGTACCGACGTTGTTAGTGTTGCCGTCAAGGTGGCCGGGTCGATGATAAGGGGGGCTAAAGACTGAGATAGGTCTTTCCGGAATACACTGCACGAACCGGCTGCTGACAGAGAAAGGCCGCCGAGCCCGGTCTTGGACTTGGGGTAATACTCTTCCTTTCCCCCCTTCCGATCATTTGAGCTTGGCAGCTCCTTAGAAGGCAGCCAGGGGGACGAGTCTATGCGACCTAGCCTGTAGAGAGTCACGATAACTCCATGCAGGCTCTTTATCCTTTTAATGTGCTGGACGGATATCTTGATGGGCACCGTGTCGCCTGGCAGACAGCCACCTTTTTGCAGCTCAACGGTTGCGGTGATTGTGCGCTCTTTCACGGCGGAGATCGCTTTTCCGCCGGATACAGCAGTGGGAGAGGTCACGGGGTGACTGTTATCGCCACATTTGCTTCGGTCAGTACTGCGACTGACAGCGCTATCACTGCTCACGCTCCGCACATCACATTGCGCCAGATTTCTCGAATTGCTGCCCGCAGCCTCCTCGTGGCGGTCCTCTCCAATGACCGATAGCGAACCTTCTGTGGAATTTTCGTTTGCTCGTGTTGAATCCATATCGGAGGCTGGCTCGGCCGTGTCAGGGGCAGCCAAAACTTTCTCAGCGCTAACGCCGGGTTGCTTTTTCTTCTTTGGCCGCTTTGATACAGGCTCTAGGTATATTGTGCGAGGTCGTGGCGGAGCCAGAGGGCCAACATCAACTTTCTCGATAAGACTTATTTTCCGCTCACAGCTCGTTTTGGGCGGCACCTTGGTCCCCATCGATGTCGGACGGGTCAAGGTGGCCGTGATCACGTACGAGATAGTACCGCGTTCAAACTAGGGCAGGTAATGTTAACAAGCGGTAAGACGAAGGAGAAGGGACTGCAAGAGCAGCAACGTGAACACATACATCTATGCTGCTCGGTAGCCCATGGGTAGGGAAGAGCAGATCAAAGTTGAACTCATATCTGCCCGGCTCGAGCCGCCCATCAGCACTGAGGGCTTGCTCATCTTGGAACAGCTTCACGTAGCCTGACGGGTGGCTTTTCTGACGCGAGCTGAGAATCGGAATGGCGGGCACCTCGGCAGGGTCGACAATGGGCTCGTTGGCGGGAACGTTAGGCCCCTTGTAGACGCGCATGTAGCCGTGTAACGACACGACGAGGTGTGTGATGCGGACAGGCTTGACTATGGTCAAGATAACCGCGCCCTTCACGTGGTCCCCGGCGCCATAGTTGCGATGTGGCTCGGCGGGTCGGATATGGAAGTCGGCAATGTTGCGAGCGCGCGAGCGGAGCAGGCTAAAGCGCGAGAAGAAGGACGACCGGCTGCTTGATGACGGGCCCTCGACGGGAGACGCAGGAGCAGAGGCGGCGGCGGCGGCGGCGGCTCGGTTGTCGGGGGACTGATTCGACTGGCCCATCTATATTGCTGGCAGGATAGGGAGCGACGAGGAGAGGGGCAGCTGAGGAATCGTGTGGAATCGTGGTCAATCGGCCGTATCCGCGTCGCAGCCCATGCGACACGGGCTCGGTCGTCTGGCTTGACTCGCAGCGCAACCACAAGATGAATCGGGCTGCGGCTTGAAGGCCTCTCGGGCCGAGTCGGGATGTCGATTGTTATCGAGGAGCAGACGACAGAATGGATAAGAAGGCCAAGAGTCGGTCGTCAAAGAAGCTCGGGATTGCATATGCCAAGGCTGTACAGGCTGATGCTTGGCTTGCCAAGGAGGACAAGAAGTCGTGGGGAGCGACGAAACAGACGGGGCACGAATGAGATGACCCCCTGAGCGTGCGGGGGCTTTTAGTTGGGGCGCCGAGAGCGGCTTGGAAAAGCTTGACTTGAACCGAGCCAGCCGACCCATACAGTCCTGTCAGTGCCTGGTCGTACGGAGGTACGAATGTCGGCATACACGATACCGGTATTGTACGGGTACGGAGAATGTTGTAAAAGCAATCACAATATCCCGTTCGCAACTTGTCGGGTCAGTGTCCCGGGAGGTAGTAAGTAATAGGACAACAATGTGAGAACATTCAGATGAACAGTCGGTGCAAGTGATCATCCCAGAAAACGGTGTATACTCCATTGTTGATAATCATCCATAGGACCATAGGCGAGCTGGCCACTTCCTTAGGTACTGTATTGTACTTAGGTAGGTAGCTGCCAGATACGGTACATACATACAAAACGTAGCCTGACATTTGATGGCGATGATGTGACTCGTCGGCGTATTCGTTCCCCTAACACCCGCCCTCTCATGTATCAACCGCCTCGAAAATTCCATTGCACAGACGAGGTGCATGCATGCGGGATATCCCGCCACGAGTTTGTCTCGTGGCACTTGGGGTACGCAGCCGCGAGATGAACGAGGCTTCTGGAGCAAACGAACGAACAAGAGCTCGATCAATCGAGGCATGTTCCATCGTCTTGGCATCTTGGCACCACATGTCACCACGGTCCCTGACTCCCTGCATGGTGGTCCTCGTGGGTAGGAGTCCCGATATACATGTATGTACTCCGTATCGAGACAAGACTCTTGTGATCGGATGTGCGGTCATCGTCCGCGTTTTGGCGTGTTATACACAGGAGACAAGACAGTTGCTAAATCTTTCATAAACCTACAAGCAGGTAATCCTAGGTAAGGTACTCCGTAATGACTATTCAGGGAAAGCGCCAGGGCGGCAACCACGTTGGGCTGGCTGTTGCCTGGAAGGCCAAGGTGCAGTGTATTTTAGTGGCTCCTGTTTGCACTGCAATGTGCATGTTGCACTAACTTGCCCACTGGGTTTGGTGCAGTACCTATTGCTGTCAGATACTTCTGTCCAATCGCTAGTAAGGGATTACACATTCAACTACACTACGCGGAAAGCATGCTCGATCTCGGGCATGTCTTCGATTGACAGGAACTTCGTCAACCTCTATTGATTTCCATTTTAGCGTATCGACTTTCAAGCATAAAGATATGCGGCGCAACCGCAAGCATGCTGGGAGGCCCAGATCGAGATTCGATTGAAATTCGACACGCTGGCAGGCACACCTTCCAGTATCACGGCTTCTTGATGCGGGGACGCTCCTTGTAAAAGGAAGCCGACAAGATGAGGGACATCACGGAGCTGCCGCATGACATATTTCTCCTTGTCATCTCCCGCCTCTCTCCGCGTACCTGTGTGCGTTGTCGCGCTGTCTCCCGCCGATGGCACGAAGCCTTCACGAGCGAAGTTGCCTCGCTGCTGCTTCTACGCTGGAACTTCCCCCGATGCCGCGAGCTACGCCTGGCCACTGCCGCTGCCGCCCTCACGGCATCAACTCTGGAGTCAGCAGACATCCCCGCCAATCTGAAGGCCGAGCTTGCAGACATCATCGAGAATCCCCGGCCGTGGTTCTCGATTTTGGCCGATGTAGCTCGCCGGTACTACTATTTGAACCAGGCGAAGCCGCGTGTCATTGAGAAGCTCGAGATGACCAAGAACAATCGGCAGAAGATGGGCTCCCTCTTCTCGTTCTGGCCGGTGGCGCCTTGGAGCAGGTTCCTGCGCTTTCTGGACAAGACGTCCGATTTTCATCATCCTGATCCAGAGTGGTCGTACAGCCAGGAAGACGGTCTTCTGGTGTATCCCGCTAAAGTATCTGCTGAAAATGATGGCTACGTGTATCACATTATCGACTTAGCGACAAACCAACAAGTGCCTGTGCCATTCGATGTTCGCTCAAAACATATACGTCGAGTCCGGTTAGCGAGTGGTGTGCTCATCATCGAGTGGGCAGAAGCGCTCCCATACCATCAGCTGAACGCTCTCGAGGTAGTGCATCGGCACTTCGTTACGGCCTTCGATGTCATCCGCAAGCCTTCGGCAAAGTGGTGTGTTGAGTTCCGCTCTGAGTGGGAGCCACACTTCCTTGGTCTGCCCTTGAACCGCTCAGACCGCTTCTTCTCGACGCACACGGCGACGCATTATGCCGTGTATTTCTGGCAGCCTAACCGCTCGCTCTACCATATCGAGCCTATCGAGCAGTTGGCCGTATGGGACATCTCCTCTCCCAGTCCCTACCGGCCATCAGCAAACCCAAAGGCTGACAAGCGCCCGAACATTAGTCGAACAACATCCTTACCGACTGGTTTATGGAACGGAAGTAGCAAGGTTACCGGCAGGAAGTTACATGAAGTGGCAGGCTCGGAACCGAATTCGGAGTGTCTGAAGACAGTTCCCGCCTCGACCACTACGACCGGCCCACGGGTTATTCGGCGCATGGCCTGGCGCGAGTTGGATTTCTACGGAGTGCGCCAACGCGCAACACCGCAGCTCAGGGGCCTGATGCTGGATGGCACGAATCTGTATGTTATTGAAGAAGAGCACCGTTGGGCCGAGGGCCAACATAGCTCCCTCAATCCCCCTCGCGTCCATCTCGTTCGGTGTACCGGTATCCCGGTCATTCCGGCGCCGCCCTGCCCTGAATCTTCTTCTCAGCCATCATATCCAGCCGCCGCATCTTCCACTGGCTATTTGAGTATGACTGAGCTCGCTAATCACACACCGACGACTTACACATCCACGACGAGCAATGATCCCGTCCATGGGCCGGTCTGGGTTGACGCATGTGGCGCAGATGGTGATGTCAACATGAGCTTCTGCCGGCGCGTTGCTGACGCCGACGGGCTCCTCCCAACACTTACAGATATAGCGTCGCTGCCTACCGGGGATTCTAGCCTTGACGCTCAGACACACCTTACGGACCCGCTCCGCATTCGCTCGTCCTCCGCAGCCATGGGTTGGCCGTGGGCGCTTGCCGAGAGCGGGCCCAGAAATGCTGCGATTGGAATCGGACCGAAAATCCGGCCCGGCCTGGCCCCGTGCTGGCGCCACGAGGATTTCCCCTATCTGACCGTGACCCAGATTGTCGACTTCGCAGCCGGTGTACGAGTAACGGCGCGTGACTGCTTCATGCTGGAGACTATGTCAGTTCATGTCCGCCCGGCGGTCTCAGTCGAGGGCACTGGCTCGCCGTCTGACACGGAAGACGACGCCGGGCGCCGACGGCGCAGCAACGTGAGAGCACATGCGAGATGCAAGGAGCTTCCTTTTCCCGACGGCATGTGGTCAGAGCTCATGGCTAAGGGCCACATTGCGGGGGACGAGAGGTGGTATGTATTATCAGACCTGTTTACTCCTTTTACGGGTGGCTCTGTAGCTATCGCTGGAAGGAAACCACATTAGATCTAGAGCCTTGCTCGCCAAACCTATTCGACTGACACTGTTCGTTAGGATTGTCGGAGAAGATTACGAGGGAAGAATCACGGTCGTGCGCTTCTGAGGAACGATTCCTTCTGAACAAACACGCATCTACCGGGATGATTGGTTACCACCTGCTCCTCTATGCCTTTATCTTGGGATGAAACGGCAAATCAGCCGTAATACAAGGAATTTCAGGAGAAGATAAGGCCCAAGATTGAAGCCTTGGAGAGCAATAGCGACGGTTGACTGAGCACCGGAGGCGCCTAAGTTGGAAACAACGCCCTGCTATTGAGCGACATCTTTAGAGTACGAGACCAAAGCGTAATCAGCAGGATATTGGCTATGCAGCAACTACTAGATGTCTTCAGCGGCAAACAAACAATTGACCAGAATACGTATCGCATACAGAGAGTAAATGCTGCCATTCACGATCGCGCAGGAGCCTAACAGCATTATCCGTCATCTTCTCAATACCGGAACCAAAGGCATAGCAGGTTAACTGCACGGGGCATTTCACCGTCTGCAACGGATATAGAGCTTATGCAAGCTCTTCTTTCAAGAATGGTGCCAACATCGCGGCAGTAGATCCAGCGGGTAGGCCTGCAGTAGACCTGGTAGCCTCGACGAAATTCGAGGCGGATTGCTCGACTTGACTGTCAAGAGGGATGCCAGTTGTGGCAGCCCAGGACTCCCAATGGCATGACTTGCAATGCAGCTCGCTGCAAGCTACGGGCACATCGTATCATTGCCACTTGCTGTTCTGCTTTCTCGAAAGATGGCGTGGCATGTCCGAGCCCGAAGTTCTGGAAAGTCCGTTCCGTGTATGGATTGCACCGGGCTGGATACCTAGCACGGCAACATGCCCTTCGTCCGACCCCATGGATAGACGATATAGGTTCTTCCTGTGTTATTAGGGAGATGGTAAACAGGGTGGCGGTCAGCCGGAAAGGGGAAGAGACAAGCGGGCCAGGCCGGAAGCCATTTTCACCGACCGGCCGACGCAAGAGGAGAAAGGAGCAGGTCAGGTTGATAGTATACTACCCAGTTAGCTACCAACTCATACCTCGACTGTCTTGAACACCTTGGCAATGGTAGTTGTGACACCACTCTTTGTTGCCTTAATCAGTATCTTATCCGTACATCCAACAATATCAAACCTGAAGCAACTGCTAAGACCTCCCACCCTTGGAGTTTAATATCATATCAATCCAACACCCAATCCAGATCAATACTTTGCTAGCCCAAAGAGAAACTAAAGTCAGATAGAGATATATATCCAAGCAATTCCATGTATGTATACTTGTACTTGTACCAGGTAAATCATACATCTTGTTGTCAACCCCCTCCTACGGAGTAGTGTAGAAACCCATCTTTAGCAACGAGCATCAGTACTGACCCCTGATCGTTACAAACCCCGAAACCCGAATTTGAAGCAAAAAACCCGGGAGATCCCCGGACAAAAAAAGCAAAGGTAGAAGAGAAGAGACCCAAAAAAATCCAAAAAAAAAAAAAAAAATGAAACAAGATTTCAAGGGATAGACAGCTCCCGGTCTTCATACCTGGATATCACCCCAAGACCCCAAACGCCGCTGGCACTGTCCCAACTCCCAACCACACAAAGGAAAGACAGAAAATATTCAAAGATACCCGACAACCGCCGAACCTTCTAGCCTTCAAGCCCCTTGAACCCCTAATCTGTCAGTAATAACCACGACAAATACATCCACCCCAATATGACTCCGTCTGAAAGCTCCCAATCAAGAAAGCCCCCCTCCGCCTCCAACTCCAGTCCCGGAAGGGGAGGCGGACGGAGCTGGAACCTGCAGAAAACGATCATAGTACGAGTCAAGCCACCTAGCGGCGTCCTCCCCAGCGTCGTCGATACTCGAGTCCCAGCGGCCAATGGAGCCGACGTAGCCGTCCGGGCGCACATTGACAATGGCCACCTCGCCCGGCCCCAGGCTGCCGAGCCACTTGTTTGTGCAGAGCGAGGCCCGCGTGTCGAGCTGCGGCACGTCGTCGAGGTAAAAAGTCCAGCGGCTGTCCTGGAAGAGGGCGGGGAGGTCTGTGATTTCGATTTCATCCTTGGGCATGGTGGCTGGAAGCAGGGTTTTGAAGTTAGCAGAGGGGAACTGTATTCGTAGAGCGCACTGCCAGAGAGAGGAAGTGATGAAATAAAAACAAACAAGGCGGGGGTCAGGGAGGGCGGCCTACTGATTAGAGCAAATGTGAACAGGTGGCTGACGGCAGTGTACCGCTCAGGACGGAGGTAGATGTCCTCGGGAGCAGGGGTGCGGGGCTGTTTGGCGTACGAGATGCTCGCGGCCGCCGAGAGCTGGCTTACGAGCGAATCCTTCGAAGCGATGGCCTGGCAGAAGGTGTCGAGGAAGATGTGCGACTGGTGCACGTCCCACATGAGGAGGTAGATGCGGAACTGGCCCAGCATGGGAATGTCGAGCTGAACGTCGACGGGGTTGGAGTCGAGATAGCGCGTGACCTTGGCAGGCGGCAGGAGACACCCCGGCTTGGCCTCGCCCATGACCCAGGATTGAGGCTCCATCATGTTGATGGCGTTCTCGCCGTACTCTACCCCAATGCCCGAGATGAAGCGCACATTCGTCTTGAAGTTCTCGGCGAGAGCCGCCGAGTCGCCGCCGGCGATCTGGTTTGCGTGTTCGTAGTCAAAGTTGACCAGGTCGAGGGCAATCTTCCGGCGCTCCTCTTCGTAGCTCTGAAGCAACGACTCCTTTGCGAGACCCCGGACGGCCAGGTTAAGTTTCCAGCACAGATTCCATGCGTCGTGCATCGAAGTGTTCATGCCTTGGGCGGCTTTTGGCGAGTGTGTATGGCTGGCATCCCCGGCAAGGAACGCCCGCAGGTGGTTGTCGCAGAAGCGACTCGCCACCCTTTGGCCGATCTGATAACGGCCGAACCACTCGATGTACTTCCAACCCACCTCGAACGGGGCCATGATTTCCCTGGCGCGCTGCATGACGAACTCCTGGCCGAATTGAGTCTTGTCGGCTTTCGGCCCGCCCTTGAGCTCGATGTAGAAGCGAGTCATGTTGCGCTCGCGCGGGATGATCAGGATAGAGCCAAGTTCTTGAGAGTACACCAGCGACTTGGACCAGATATCCGGAAAATTGGTCTCCAATTCCCCGTCCAGAACACCCCAGACGGAAGGCTGAGACATGCCGACGGGCTTAGCGTCAGGGATGCTCTTCCTGACCCTAGAGTGCGCGCCGTCGCCTGCAGAACAGTCAGCTCTGGCTAACTCATTTGGCCTTGACAACTTGACATAACCCACAGCCAACTAGGTACTGGGCGAGCACCGTCTTCCGGTCCTGCGTCACGTTCGCACGGCAATTGATCTGGAGCGGACCGGCCTTGTTGTCGCAAACACTGTACGAATCAAAAGCGGTGTTCCGCCGCACCTTGATGCCGCGTTTCTTGAGGTCCTCAATAAACAGACTCTCAATCACGCCCTGGTGTACAAGCAAGAGATAGGGGTCCAACACATCGATGATGGGCGGGTAGTGAATCTCGCGGCCCAGGCGCCGGAGCGGCTCGTCGGCGGTACTGCGCCAGAAGGATATGTCGTAGACCCGGACACCGCGTTGCAGCAGAGGATCTGCCAGGCGCATCTGCCGAAATGTCTCGATTGTTTTTGGCTGCAGCCCATCGGCCCTGTGGCACGGGGTATATGGTCAGGAAACCACCAATTGGGATTGAACCAAGATCCCAACTCACCTTCCCACTGGTGTTTGATCTGCCCTGTCGTCAACAACCTCCACATTGATACCCCAGCGACCCAAGTTGCAGGCCAACATGAGGCCGGCGGGACCCGCGCCGACAACACATACTTGGCACTCGAGGGGCGCCTCGGGCATGCTGCGGAGCAGCGTCAGGCGGTCAACACACTCGGTCGACCGCAGTCTGTCATCGTTCAGCTGGTCCTCCTCGGCCTTCTCGAGGACGGCAGCCGGGGCCATTGTGGCTGCGAGTCGTCGAGGAGCAATATCCTGTGGTGCCGTGAGTATGGAGATTCGGGGAAACTCGAGAAGCAGCCACAGGCTGGGGGTGTCAGAAGTTTTGAGGCGTTTGACGCTCCGTATAAGAGCGGCGGTCACCGGGAATTCTATATCCGACGACGAACCGGGATGGGACTTGGGGCAAGCAACGAGGTGCCAGCTACACCAGGGATCACGGGCGAAAGTTAGAAAGACGACCCGGCGCTCCGGACCTGAGGGAGGGTTCCAGGTGGTTGGAATTGGGTGAACAGAGACTTCTTCGGGTAGGCAAATGAAGAGACAAGTGCAACACAGCCAAAATACCACTTGCAAGATGCGGTCGGTACAGTATTGTCAGGTGGCACGAGAGGTTTGCACGGTGGTGCTAGCTTAGGTATCGAACAGGAACCGCATCTGTCACCTTTTCAGCCAGGATTTTCCCAGAAAGGCCTGTTTTGGGCAGGATAAAGTGAAGAGGTGCAGGAGAGATGCATCACGGCGCGAGGGGAACACAGCAGACGGGCAGGAAGAGGCTCGGTCCAAGAATCACGTCCAATGCCTCGATGTACTTTTTTCAGGACGGAGTGGGCTGAAGTGGGCTGATTCTGCGTGGTCGATGATCTGATCTGGCTGTGGCTCCCCGCCATCCCCTCCACTGACCCTGATAATCCGAGCGCTCTCATTGGGCGCCGCACCGCGGGACAGCAGCGTTGAGGCGGGTGGAGCCCCAGTCCAGACTTTCGGCTGCCCGTGCCTCGAACGAGCCCACCAAGAAAGCTTTGACCATCCTGGCGCCACTAACGACATCGAGTCTTGGCTGGCCGCCAGCTGCCGGTAAGCCGACTTTGCGATTTCGCTCACGATATTTCAAATCAGCCCCTTCTCAACCATTCCCGCTCAAGCGCCCAGTTGAGAAAGAGGTATTCCAGTGTATGTGGCAAGGACTGGTCTCTCTTTCAAGCCTTGAACATTGACGCATAAATATTGGGCTGCTGGCGGGCACTCGCAGTCCTGTTTTTACTATTCCTATTCCCATTCTCATACTTCAGGTTTAAAGTTCATGCTTTTGTCCATGTATGTATGTACAATGCATCTTGCTTGAGCATATCGTATCACCTCCACGTGTATGGTTCGACAGTTGCATACCTAGGCTTGCAGTTATCACTTTTGGACTATCTGCTCCAACAATGTCAATGAATATTTGGTACTAATCACTGCCTGGGTTTGCCAGTACAGATAGGGTCTTGAAACAGAAGTAAGATCTGAATATTGGAATAGTCGAGGTGCACTGTATCTCTGCCTAACGGGCTGCATCATCAAGATGTGAGAATAGAGCGAATCAGTTTCAATGTCATGGCGCAACCCGGCCTGGGAGCAATGAAGATCAGGATTTGGACGACATGTACTGTACATACTGGTATGCCTGAAGCAGGGCAGCCGAAGAGCAATCATGCTCATTTCCCCTTTCCATCTAAAGTACCTGTATACTGGAAGTTGATCATTCTGTAGGCTGATATCATGATAGTATTCGTCTTAGAACCTTCCAACTGGAATCAAACGACAAGGCCCTGAATGACCTCTCACTGCTATGGAGACGAGTCTTTTTGGAACGGTGCTGTTACCTAGCTATTCGATGGTGACCGTGACTTACAAGATTGTTTACAACTGGCTTTCTAATCAAATACGCTCAGTAAGCTTTCTATGAGAGCTGTCATGTCTTCATACGTCCCCTTTTCCCATGATCTGATCGAGTCTCGATGGCGTCTGGAATCTATTACAACTCTCAGGTTTCCCTAGATTCTTCAGATATTCATTCCCCTCAGCGCAAGTACTGAAGATGATAGCGAAGAATCAACATAGTACCTACACTTCGGCGATGCAATCTCCTAGCACTAGTACAAGTACTTGTATACCTGCATCCTGAGCAACCTGAAACTCTCCAGGAACCGTCCAGCCGGAACTAGAACTTGTCGTACAAGGCGCTTTCCGAAACAAACAATCAGATTCAGTTCGTTACACACTGGCAGTCAAACCACCAGATACTCTTACATGTAACAAGAGAAAGAAGCAGAACCACAAACTCTCCGAACCACACCCCGACAACTCTGCCTCCTCCTGAGCTCTCACGCCGATTACCGTAGTACATAGGTCACTCCTGCACCAGCACCGCGCTCGCCTCTTGATCCTGATCCTGATCCTGATCCGCCTCCGCATTCTCCCTCTCCTCATAGAACCTATCCACATCCTCCACCACATGCCTCCCATCAAACTCCCGCATGATGACCTCCCCTCTAGTGCGCAGACTATGCTGATACCAATGCGGCATCGCAGCCAGCAACGCCGTAGCATTAACAAACTCCGGCAGAACAACCTGACCACTCTCCCCGCTCAGAACCTGCCTGACAACCGCCTCAGCAACCGTATCCGGCTCGAGCGTGGGCACCAAAAACGGACTATCATTCCGGTACCCCCTAAACAGCGGCGTGGTGGTGTACCCCTGGTTAACAACCACCGTCCGCACGCGGGGCGCGTTGTACCTTGTCTTGAGCTCCGCGGCAAGTCCCTCATGAAAAGCCAGCGCCGCGGCTTTCGACGCCGCGTAGTCCACCATGTTGGGCACCGTCACCCACGCCGCGGCCGACGCCACCGTCACCACCATGCCGTGGTTGGCTTGCACCATGGCCGGGAGGAATTCTTTCACCGTCCAGTAGTGCGCGAGCGTGTTGACGTCAAAGGTAAAGCGTACGTCGCGCTCGCTCGCGTCGAGGATGGTTTTGCCGCGCACGACCCCTGCGTTGTTGATGAGGATGGTTGGGTCGCCGCCTACGACGGCGCGGATTTCGCGCGCGGCTTGGGCGATGCGATTTGGGCATGTGACGTCGCAGTGGAAGTAGTAGACGTTGCTGCTGGTTGGGTAGGTCAATGGCTGGATGTCGAGCACGACGACTTTGATTCCCCTTTCTGCCAGCAGCTGCACAACCTTGCCGCCAATGCCGCCGGAGCCGCCCGTGATGAGCACAATCTCCTTGGACCAGTCGTACTTATCCTGGACCCAATTGTTTAGGACGCGCCGGGAGAGGTAGCTGTTGGCCCACCTGAGAAGGCCCAGCACGAGCAGTGTCTTGAGACGCTTGTAGGCCGTTGGGTGGAGAATGGCCCAGTCCTGGCCTTTCTTGGTGTATTTGGCCACCAGCAGCAGCGGGAGCGTCAGGTTCGGGTTGAGCGCAGTCTGGCGGATTATCTTGAACACCGCATCGGCCTTGAAGCCCTCGCGGGGGAGAAAGCCATTGTGCATGGGCATAGTGAATGATGATGGATGGGAATGGATCTGTCAAAGATAGGTAGGTAACAGCGACAGCGAACGTCAACGTCTCAATATGGGGTTTACCCACCTTATAAGACAACCTGCCATGCCTCAAATAACGTGTTAGCTAGGAGTAAGGTATTGTACCCGATGTAGCATTCGTACTCCGAGTACAGTAGCAGCAACTTGAGCTTGGCAGCATCATGGCATGGTGGAATTGCGGGGGAGCCCCTTGCCTGAGGGCAGCTGCCGAGGTTGCTTTGAGTTCAATGCGGGGAACTCATATGAATCTCTGGCAGATCCTGGGATTGGAGTCGGTAGCTACTCCAGTGTTTGGTTTCTGGTCCTATGGCCTGTGATTTCCCTCATTAGCCAGAATCCCTAATAGGCAGTTCTACGAGTGTTGGATGGCAGGGAAGACAAAAGCTGGTTAGGTCGAAGATTCGTCTTGAGCTTTATCGCGACTCGTACCTACTAGTTAGTTGATCTCACCAAGCTTTAGCCTTCAACTGATGTCTCACCTATACTGACAAAGCACAAATCCCAACCGACCTAGTCTATAAGCGGGCTGTCACCACCCATGACATCCCAGCAGCTCTCCTTAACCGCCCCTTCAACGTCTTCACCTTGTCACTCACGCTCTCCGCACTCATCAACGTCATGACAGCCGCCTCCTGCGCAACATTGACCAACCGCTCGACCTTGCCGCCCATCGCCAGCCCTGCCACCAGGACGCCCATGAAGGTATCACCGCTCCCATTGACAGACACCGGCACCACGACATCCTCCACCGCCGGGAACCATCGCATGTAAACTCCACCAACAAGGGGATGGCCCTTACCACGGACGTCAACCACGTACTCCGCCTCGCTGGGATCTGCCAGCCGCGGGTCGTCCCTCGTCAGTAGGGCAGTCAGCAGCGCCCCCTGAGCGCCAAGTTTGGTGACGATGGTGGGGATATACGGCAGCAGGTCCAAAGCCTGCTTGGGGATGCCGAATGCGTCCGCATGATCCAGAGCCATGTTCGGAAATAACGCACGGGTGCGGCTGTTCATGTCCATGCTGCTGCCCAAGACGGCGACCATCTCGGACCAGGTGGGTCTATCAAAGTACCCGTTGAGCCTGGCCGCTCTGCCCATGGCCAGGAGCTCGTACTGGTTTGGCGTGCAGATATCGGCGATTGGGTCAGGGTAGATGCCTAGACCCGTTCTGGGGGCGCCGAGCGGGGGAAATAGCCGTTGGGATTTGGCCTCGGAGACGGGCTCAAAGGCGATCATGGCGCCGTGCTTCCGTCCGGCGCGAATCCAGGCTTGGATATCTGCTTCGGCCCAGTTGGCGTCGACTACAAGCCATTTGGGTTTGGTTGCCGCGACGACCGAGTTCCAGTATTCTGGAAAAGAATCTTTGGAGAATATGTCCATGTCGGCCATGGCCAGCACAAGGTCGTTGCGTTTGTCGTTGATAGCCACATATTGTGCTGTACGTGCCCAGGGGTGCTCGGGTCCGAGCTGGCGGACACAGGAGGTGTCGAGTCCAGAGGCGCGGAGATTCGAGAGTATCATTGAACCCGCGCTGTGGCCATTGTCAGACAGAAGTAGCTAGAAAAGCGGAATGGCTTCCAAGATACCTGTCATTTCCAACCATACTACAGAGCCTGACCTGTCCTTCCTCACTGACGTTGTGCGCCGCCAGGGCTATGTTGCGCCCAACGCCACCGACGGACTGGTTGATCGAGGCTGGGTTAGAGGTGTGCAATCTCGGTGAGACTGCGTCGTCGCCGGCCCCGGCCGCGGCACCACCACCCACATAGTTGCAGTTCCAGTCAAGGGCGACAGAGCCTGCCACTAGGACATCCACCACGCGACAGTCCTGGGCCTGGTCAGCTGAGAAGCCAGCTCCGAGGCCTACCTGAGCATTCCTACCTCAGTCTGAATCTCCAATACATCTGCAGCCGCCGTCTTGACCGTGACCGGTGAGCCGTCCATCATCTTCGCCAACTCCACCGCAATCTTGGCGGCGCGCGCGACATTGGCCTGCACCAGCGCCTTATTCGCCGGCACGCTCCTGCCCTGCGTCAATTTCCTGATGCGGCTGAGGATATACGGCGTGTTGGCACTGCCGGTAAACCCTTTCTCCCCAGCCTCCCTCACAGCCGTCTCAATCGCCGCTTCCATATCCTCCCTCGGGATCGCGTGCTCCTCGGGGATGGGATTGGCAAACAACAAGCCCGTCTCAATCCCCAGCTGCTCCTGCGCCAGAATCATGGCCGCCGCCTCCCTCTCGTCCGTCACCACAAACGGACTCCTCGTCCCGCTCTCGCGCGCCCAGAACGCAGGGAAATCCACCCCCGCCCCCTCGACCGACCTCCCATCGGCAAACGTCGCCACCATCACCCCATGCGTCTCAAGAAACTCCAGCGTCCTTGGAATATCCAAAAACCCTTTACACCCGCTACTGACAACCGCAACCCGCGTACGCCCCAGCTCAGTCAAATCAGCCGATACATCCATCGAACTCTCCCCGCCACGGTGCACACCCCCCAAACCCCCCGTACCAAACACGCGGATCCCCGCCAGGCGGGCCAGGACCATGGTGCCGGCAATGGTCGTCCCCCCGTGCAGCAGCCCACTTGTCCCATCATTATTGCCAAGCAGCCCCCGCCCGGCGATGTAAGCCAGATCGCGCCTTGACACCTTGCGCACGCCCACCGCCGCCACCATGCGGGCTACTTCCTCCGGAGTCAAGCCCACCGTCGGCACCCCGGCCAGGACGCCGCATACCGCCGGTACCGCGCCGTGCGCGCGGACAATCTCTTCGAGGCGCAGATCGTTGCCGAGCGCGCCGTGCGTGTAGATTGTTGATTCGAGCGCCACGACGGGTTGGTTGCGGGACAGGGCGGTGGTGACCTCGGGGGAGATTCTGAGGAGGCGGTTTAGTGCTGGTTGGGGTTGGGCGTGTTGTTGTTGTTGAAGGGTGGTGGTGGTGGTTGTGAACTGGCGGTGATGGGGGGTTGGGCGTCGGCTGAGGAGGCGGTGGCCGGATACTAGTACTCGAGGGAGGCGGGATAGCGCCATGGTTGTTTTGAATCTTGATGGACCTAGAAAAGTTGCTGTTCACTTGGTGCTGCAGTGGCTTACAGCAAAGATCAAGGACCTAGCGGGCTCTCGTCAACAGACGATAATGAGATAATCCGCGTTGGGTCCGACGGGATCCTTGCCCAATATTAGGAGACCTCCAATTGGCGTCAGTGAGTGAGGTTAATACCAGTTCTATGCGGTCACTGATGACCTTCGCTCAATGCGAGTGAAAGAAGGCAGGTGTAATGATGCTTTTGTAATGAGAGACAACGCTCGAGGTGAGCCAGGTTTGGCGTAAAGAGTGCCTCGGTGAGTGGGAGACCCAGTGGAGTGGTTCTGCGATTTATTAATTATTACACCAATCATACCTTCGTACGGTAGGCTAGCATCTGACAATTGATGATAACGTTGAGTCGTGTCTTTTGGTATCAAGCAAGTCTTTGGTAGCTCGATCAACAAATCCAATTGTAGTTCAAGATGCAAACGAGCTTCTAGTTCACCAAAGTCTTGCTTCATTCTGGATCCGAAGTTCCCGTCAGTTTGGCTTGCCCTAAGCTTGAATATTCCTACTGTGGCCCGTGCATACTCGGCAGGTTCGGCCCTGCATCGCGACAGTGCTTCAACGTTCTCAGCAAGGGTTCAACCGTTTTCCTGGATTAGTGCTGTCTTGGCGTGGTATCCCGAGATGCACTCAATCTGAAACGCAGCCAGCATGTCAAACCATTGCAACCAGGTCCCGGGGACAACTATGACGGTATGACCGCATTCTGGACGCTTTCCCGTGGCGTGCCCGGTCCTTTCTGGGGCATCTTCGGCGTCGAACCGCTCTCATCATTCATGCTCCCTGATCGGCGCTCTGCCTGTAGCTGTGTAGCTGCGCGACAGCTCTGAGCGCAGTTATAATCGGTACGGCACATCCGGCCAGAGTTGCATGATGAATTACACCAACTCAGGAGGTTTCCACACCTCCTCAAGCTCGCTTCCCGGCCCTGTCCTCGGGAACCGTTAGTTTCTTCCTGCCAATTTCGGTCCGCTGGCAGACCCGCCATCTCCCTCCGTTATTTCCAGCTGCAGCTGCGTATAATTCATCCATGGCGACCTGCTAGCCGATAGTTGGCTAGAGACTACCTGATGTCTGCCGCTCCCTTGCCGCTCCCTTGCCGCGCACAGAGCTGTTGTCTTTCCGCCTTCTATCTCTTTCCCGCCCACTAGCCGCCCATCGGAGCTCAGGACCTTGGTGGCCTGGCTACAAGATGTTCTCCATCCTTCCAGCTGCATATGCGTCGGTAGCACTGCTCTTCACTGCGCAGATATCATCAGCCCTCAACTTCACCGTCTCGGGCGGGCAGGTTTTTACCCCGGGACTCGTTGTCCTAGATGCCCCGCAACCCGGAACACCACTAGGCGGAGGTCTGTCTCTTTATCCCTCGTCCGCATATTGCAAACATCCCGGGCTTGCTAACCTTGACTCTAAGAACTCATTGAGGTCGCCCTGGACGTCTCTACCAACGGCCGTCTCCCCTTGCCTCCATACCCGGAAGACAGCCCCAGCCTCATTCACAACATCACCATCTTCCTGTACAGCTATGGCACGGGCCGTAATTTCACCATCACCAATGGCACTGCCTCGGCCAACAACGCCAGCCTGGGCGACATTTTGTTCCAGGAGCCGGGAAGCACGGTGAAGCACGTCAAATGGATGTGGCCCGACTGTCTGGTGGGCAACGGCCAGCCAAGCGAAGCTGGCAGTGATCGGGGAGCGTATAACGTGGGTCGCTCGAGCCTCTTTACGTTCGTATTGCACTTGGTACCGCGGGATGACTGACACTTCCATTCCAGATCTCGATCCGCCAGTCCTTCCGCCTCAACGGCCAAGACCACTACACAATCTTTGACGTGCCAATTTCCGTGACCAATAGCATTGAGGAGAACTCTGACCGGCCGTCGTGCGATGCGTTGAACAACCCTCTGTTGGCGCCCGAGGAGATCCGCGCATCGGCGGATGATATGCCCGCTATGTTTGCGCCTGGGGATGCCACTACCCTGCAGACGGCCAGTGGACAGGTGTTGGGTAGCAGCGCGCCAGGTGGATGGAGACGAGGAGGAATCTGGGCTTGTACTGCTGCGGCGATCGTTGCGATGGTGGCTTGAAATTGCGGCAATGTAAACATTTCACCGTTAATTTGGATAAGTGATACCCAGGGGCTCCTAACGAGTTGGATCTTATAATTGAGTTGATATCGAATCCAAATATTGCCATCAAGGAGGGCACTCAGCTCGACTTCACCTCACCCTCTCTGTTCATGTGAAAAATGTGCATGAATCGCCCGAGGGGCCGAAATTACATGGTGTATGGTGTGTCCGTGACCTTCAATGTGCGAGGCTGAATCTGAACCCCTTGGCGCCCCACTCCAGCGGGGCAATTAGCGTCTACATTCCGCGAGGCTGTGTGAGCGCTCAGCAAAAAAAATGGTCAACCGCAACAAATGTTCACCCTCCGTCTGTGTTCTCCCCGGCCAAGAACCATCACACACGTTTACCGTCAATATGTCGCGAAGACGCCACCAAGAACAGGAAGCTGACTTATTCTCTGAAGACGGATCATTTGCCAACTTCGACGACGAGGATAATGTCTCGACATCCGCTTCTGAGGAGGAAGACGACGACGTCCTTCCCCTGAAGCAAGATGCTGGGTTTGCGGAGAAGGACTCAGACGAGGAGAACCTCGAGCGGTTCGTCCTCGGGAGCAAGGAGACATTTCGCGAGCAGTTATTCCGGGACGACTTTCTCCCCACCATCACCGATTCCCAGGCGTTAGTCAAAGCAGAAGATGCCGCGACTAAACCCACAGGCCACGAACATCTCCCCGACTCTATGCTCTTCACGATTGATACCGTTGGAGAGCCACAAACCGAGGCAGATGATTTGACACAGGCGCAGAAGGCTACAACGCAAGAGCAGAGCAAGGACCAGCCCGCTTGGGAAGACAGCGACGACGAGCGGCTAACCGTTTCTCTCGCCGGTGCCACTCGGCTACGAAAGCTCAGGATCTCAGAGGCTGAGGACGTGGTAAACGGCACAGAATACTCACGGCGGTTACGACAACAGTACCTGCGCCTCTACCCTCTGCCCGAGTGGGCCCTGCAGGGTAGCGGCAGCAAGCGAAGAAGACGGCGGTCATCCGCGACCTCATACGACGGCTCCTCCGCCTCTGACATGGAGGTTGACAGCGACGGCGAGAGCATCGACTCGCCCGCGCCACTCGACGACTTCCTACGCGACGCCAATTCCTTCCGCGCCGGCGCCGACGTCAACGGCAGCGGCGCCTCCCGCAAGCGTAGAAAACTCCGCCCCGAAACCATCGACATCCAGCGGACACGAGACATCCCGGACACGCACAAGGCGGCCGTCTCCTCCCTGGCCTTCCACCCGCGCCACCCGATCCTCCTCTCCTGCAGCACCTCGTCCATCATGTACCTCCACCACATCGACCCGTCCGCGCACCCCACACCCAACCCTTTGCTCACCTCCGTCCAGGTCCAGCGCACGGACCTGCGCAGGGCGGCCTTCGTCGGCGGGAGCGCGGCGGGCGACGAGGTCATCTTCGCCGGCCGGCGGCGCTACTTCCACAGCTGGAACCTATCCTCCGGCTCCGTCAAGAAGATCGCCAAGATCCAGGCGCACCAAAAGGAGCACCGCACCATGGAGCGGTTCCGCGCCAGCCCCTGCGGGCGCTACCTGGCGGTCGCGGCGTCGGACAAGAAGGGCGGGGGGATGCTCAACGTGGTCAGCGCGACGACGATGCAGTGGATCGCGCAGGCGCGCGTCGACGGCCGCGGCGGGGTCGCTGATTTTGCCTGGTGGAGCGACGGCAACGGTATGACCATTGCCGGTAGGGACGGCCAGGTCGCAGAGTGGAGCATGCTCACCCGCCGCACTGTCGGTGTGTGGCGGGATGAGGGCTCCATCGGGGGCACCGTCATGGCGCTTGGTGGTAGGAACGGTCCGGCTGAGATTGGTGGGGATAGGTGGATCGCTGTGGGATCGGCGAGTGGGATTTTGAATGTTTATGATAGGGCCGAGTTGGTGGTGGTCAAACAGCAGCAGCAGCAGAAGAGCAAGAGCAGTGATGGGGGGACAGGGGCAGGGGCAGGGGCAGGGGCAGGGGCAGGGGCAGAGGGTGTGGAGATCCGGAAGCTGCCCACGCCGACGCGGGTTTTCGAGCAGTTGACCACGCCCGTCTCGGTGGTGGCTTTCTCGCCGGACGGCCAGCTTTTGGCGTTTGGCAGCCGGCACAAGAAGGACGCGCTCAAGCTGGTGCACCTGCCGAGCTGTACCGTGTACCGCAACTGGCCGACGGAGCAGACCCCCCTGGGGAGGGTCACGGCTGTGGCGTTTAGTGCTGCGAGCGATGTGCTTGCGGTGGGGAATGATGTGGGCAAGGTTAGGTTGTGGGAGATCAGGAGTTAGTTGAACTTGGGAAGGAGCTGAAGATCTACGAATTGAGGTTGTGCTGACTTCTGGTTGAATCATGTTGTGCAATGTCATCTATAAGTCTACCGTACATAAACAAGTGCAAGCCACATACGCAGCGTGTAAGAGGGCGCATTTCAAGGTTGGATCATAGCGCTTGTGAGATAGAAGAGGTGTCCCGAAACCACCAACCTGGAAATAGTTCTGATCAAGATCGAAGATGCGCTCGAGGGCTAGTCCGTCCGATCCGATCTTGTCAGCTGTCAGCTGTCCATCAATCAGAGACATGTAGGAGGTTGAGGATTTGAAATGCAAGAAGACTCCACGACAGCCAACAGTGAGTGGTGAGGCTTGTGGTTTCCGTGTTGATGGCCCCTGCCAACGGCAGGCCCGCAGCGGCTTCCCAACTCCTTGGGCCAGCTGTCAGCCCCGCCGATCGGGTGCGATTCAGGTCGCCATTGGACAACAAATCGAGACATTTTCTTCCACTTCAACTCCCCACCAAGCTCTCTGCTACTGGTCACGCTGGCGCTTGCTTCCAAACTTGCAGACTGCAATGGAAGCGGTGACAGCCCAATCCAAACTGGTTGAGGCCAGGCCAGCTGGCGCCCAATCCCTACGATGCGGGGGGGGCTGGGGCGCGAAGGAAGCCGAGCTTCGTTTGATCAAGCACAAGAGCTGTTTCACACGCCGCGATCATCCTCCTCGATTGATCAATATTCGCAAATGTTACGCGCTCTGAGGAGACGAATGGCGAACCTCTGATGGCGTTTTGTTTTTGTGATAAGGCTAGCTGGATCATCATCAACTTTGGCCGAGAACACAGGTTGCCCACCGCAACGATGAGACTTGCAGATGGTAAAGTGCCTCGTCGTGTTATCGGTGGGCTTATCCGGCTACGTGTCAGGCCACATCTCGCCGAGTCGGCAGAGACAGCCCCAGTTGAGTGGTAGGGCGACTGCCATGTCTTGCCATAAACTTGGAACAATTGCAGTAGTAGGTGATTAGCTGAGTGGCAGCTTGGCCAGCCCGTTGCAGCCATGCTGTTGTTGCCCAAAGACAAGATTACCGCTTCCATCCGAACGTTTTATGCCCAGGGCTGCCCGAATCGCAACCGACAATGATGTCTGTTCATTGTTTACATGGCCACCGGAGGGACTCCCTGGCGATGCCGAGTGCCGTTCCGGTGTTTAACCTAATCCCTCCGCCTTCTCATCGTCGATTGACTGGACCATGTCCATCTCTCTCCATTCTGTCTTGAGAGACATGGTTCCCTAGAGTCTTGTGCTTCGAGAAGCTTTCCATCGTCCCATCGACTCCTCTCTTCCCCACACGACTCCCTGGTGTAAGTGGTGGAGCCGCTCGACGCCTACACTTACAATCAGATCATCACAATGGCCTGGTGGGATGCCCAACCAGGGCCCCTTGGCGGTTTTCCACGGTCAAGACCACGCCTGATCATGGGAGATGCCTTCCCCAGGCTTGATCCCAGGGCGTTTGCCATGGAGCAAGAGAGGGCCTTGCTGTCGCCAGTCTTCGATGAACACGCCCGGCCTCCCAGCATGCCGGCCCTCGTGGTTCACGTCGAGATCCAGTTCACAGACCCCGTCATCAGATCCAGGTACTGCCGCAGCTATGGCAGCTCGCCGGGCTTTCACGCCACTAACAGGATATGTCGCGGTCTTGTGCGTCGGATCGAGCGCTGCTCAGAAGAACTCCTCACTCGCAAAGACTCTGGCGCGCTCGAGATAATCAAAGACGGCAGCTACGAGCGCAAACCGCAAAGGTTCGAGATGACATTTCGGGTAATGCGCAGAGGGCAGGGCGAATGGGCCGAGAGAACATACCGTTCTTATCAGAAGCAGCCCCTGACCGTCGATGCGACCAAGGACATCATCCTGGCAAGCCACAGGATAGTCGGCCTCTTTCTACGCCGCCACGACCAGGACTTTCAATGGCTCAACTGCCCTATTCCTGACGCAGACTCCCAAAGAAGTGAAACTATCATAGCATCCAGGGATAGTCCCCTGTCTCTGCTGTCCGTCCCTCGATCGCGTTTCATCGAAGCTACCCAGGAGTTTGAGTTTGTACCAGGATACGCTATCGAACTCTGCTTTCGGAGTAAGAATCCGCGACGGAGAAGACCACTGTTTGAGAGAAGGATCAGGGTTAGCAGCACGCAAACTACGCCTTTGACCCTTTTCATGAGTGAGGATCTGCTTTGGAAGGCTTTGCAAGCTCTCAACCAGGGGTTGGACACTAAGAAACAAGAGCTCGACGACCGACTCCGGGAGACCGGCCGAGAGGATGACCTACAGTTCGATCAAGATGCTCTCGAGATCGATCTCCGCGTCACTAACAACCTGGGTCCCGTGTACAAGCATGTGCACAGGAACGTGAAGAGCCGGCTTGCCCTGTTCAGAGACATGGAGGCCAGAGACTGCGAGGAATTCCTTCGCAACGTTGAGAACCTCCTCATCTCCGCCAGGAATGAAGCAGATGCCAAGATCAATGCCCTGAACGACCTTGAAATTCGAATCGTCGAACTCAAAGGCGTGGGCTGGTCGGTTCGAGAGCCGGCCAAGTTCACTCTCGGCCCATCAGCATCCTATGGGCGGCGGACGATTCAAGCAGTACTCGACCGCATCCAGGCCGGCATTGCTGACATTATACGTGGCCACAACGTCGCTATCCATATCACCGCCTATAAACGAGGACACCTTGTTTTGGACAAGGCCATTGTCGCGCACGAGAAGCATGGAAAACCAATTGAGACATTCCCATCGGCGCAAGAAGCGCAGTCAGCCTGCGTCTCGAGACTGAAAGCTCGAATACAACAGGATATGGACAAGGTGCTCGACGACTCGTGTGCCATCGACGATATACCCGAGGACGAGCACGACGACTTTGTGCGCCCCTTGACACCTGCGTGGGCCAACCAAGCTCTGACCGGGGCGCAGGTCTCGCCCGGTTCTCCACCGTCATCCCCAATGAGCCTGAGATCCGGACCAACCCGGACGGCAACCAGCCCCATGCAAACACCTGCGAGGCCACGTATCCAGCGAGTATTCTCGCTTTCTCGTCGTTCATCGGAGTCGGTGAGGTCAATTGATTATCTTAGGAGGAATCAAGACTCAAATGTCGGTGAGGATAGCCGGCCAAATACTGCAGCCAGCGAGCGGAATTCCAGTCAACATCCGGGCGGACAGACTGCGCCCGAAGACCGGGCGCCACTCATCATCGTGGCCGAAGTCAAGCCTGCGCAGCGATCGTTTCCCCTTGTCTCCAAAACACCAGAAACGCGCGCCGGCGATGACTCGGCCATTCTCGTTGCTCAGCAAGCAGCAGAGAACAATGACAGAGAGGCTTGTAGAGGAGGCCATAACATGAAGGTAGCACCGTCAGAGACAAAAGGCAGCTTCAGCCAGGATTCGATGACGTCGAGTGAGGCGGGGGAGAGCTTTACCAGCAGTTGTCCAGGGAGCGACCTTGCAGAGAGCTTCGGTGCCGACTTCGCCTCCGACCGCACAGGGCCGCAGGCCACGGTGCCGTCCCAGAATGACAATGACGCCGGCTCAAATGTTCTGCCACCAGGCCGCAGAACCAGACCGCCCAATATGGACACCCCTGAAGCCTTTGTTGATGCCCGTGAGTACGCCGCCAGCCCGGCGTGTGACGGAATGCTTCAGCCCGAGATTCCGAGCCCTCTCACCCGTGGCACAAGTCCCAGGTACGACGAGTACTCAACGGCTCCGTCAACCCCCGAGTTAAGCACGGGCGGTTCTTCACCGAGACACAGCATATTGATCACCCCGACCTACATTCGGACAGAGGCAGATTTCAAAGAACCCGCTGCTGCTCATGCTTTCTACCCGGAATCCGAGCCTGAAGAGCCTGGCCACCCGGCACCTGATGACTACCCGATAAGCGACTCCAAGTTTGGCCCTCTGCTTCAACCCGTTGCAGCAGCATCGAAACCTGCAGCGCAACGATCTGACGTTGATGAGTCTGTTGATGCACCCTGTCGCGGTGTGGCGGCAAGCCCCGAGCCAATGGCCGAGGCGCCACACCAGCGCCAGGGGACTCCTGATGGCAAACCATCCACACCGATGTATCCGTACACAAGCCCATTTACCCCTTTTTCAGAGTCGGACACGACGAAGGAGCAAACCGTCTCAGATTGCAAAGACCTCGGGGCCGAGTTCAATGCGGGTTCCGTCTGCCGTTACCTTGCGCCTGCGCCGGACTTCCCCACCTCTGAAGTCCGGGGGTCGGAACCGAACGAGGCGTTGGATACCGGTTCAATTGAGAGCCGGCATGAAGAGCTTGTGAATCCAGGAGAGGCTTCTGTGAGCGACGAACCCGGCATTGAACTCGGCACCGCCGCCGTGGCCGGGACCGAGGCCGCACAGGACATTATAGGGGGAGATGGCCCCGAGAAGGTGCCGGAAGTGCTTATCTGGAGTCCCCGAGACGAGCAACACGGAGCCGAACCGGCTGCGGTCCCGTCGGATTCCAATGTGGAGGGCGGAATTAGCCTCAGAAGCCCAGAGGACTCGGTCGAGGGAGACGCAAAGGAGGAGGAAGCCCCGAGGAGCAATGCCGGGCCCGAATCTGCAAACGACACCCGACATGACGTCGGCAACTACAGTCCCGTCGACGGGGCCGGACTTGTCGCCGATGAACTAGAGCAGCAGCAGCAGCCCGTAACCGAGGATGTCCGTGACGGGGATGGTGTTGACGTTCAAACACCCGGAGTCTCCCTCGACGAGGAACCCCTGGAGAAGCAGGGACCCAGTTCTGATTCCGAAGTCTCGCATGCGGAACCCGAAGACGGGACTTCGGGCACAGTTGCTGAGGTCGTCGATGAAGATCAATCAACTTCCAAGATTGAAGCGGATGCATCGGGAACAGACGCTGCGGTTGACAACCTCCCACCGAAGCCAGAACCAGACATCACGGACCCGTCCACGGCACTGACGGGTGCCGAGACCAAGGAGGATGGCGATCTTGACGTCGAACGGGATGCTACAGCGGACGGGGCCGAAACCGAGGTCGAGTATGACAACGATGTTGCGGTCGGGACCGCGGCCCAGGATACAAGTCCAGAGGCCTCGGGTACCGCACCGGAATCCGGTGATACCCACCGATCAGACGGAGCGAATGATCTGGACGAGTTGATCACTGTTCCATTCGTGGCCGACGGCACCGCGGGTAACAGTACGGAACCTCACACCACCAGTGAGGCCGTTGACCTGGAAAATGACCGGATTGAGTCTTCCCCGGTTCCGTCTGCGACTGATGCTGCCGAACCCGACACTGCAGAGTCACCTGTCAGGGATGAGTTTGTTGAGCAAGCAGATGACTCGGTCAAAGTCTGGCCAGGTTCTGAGTCGGTTGGGATGGAGACGATAACCGAACCTGGCGAGACTCCACAAACCTTCGAGGAACAGCTCGCTGAAGAGGTCGAGGTTCGAGCCGATGAGACTGGTGAAAATGCCCCGGATCTCGTAGCCGAGATCTTGGAGCCCGATAATGGAGAGGTGGCAATTCCGGATGCTGGCTTTCCCAGCGAGAGATCAATTGACGCCGCGCTTGAGTCTAAGGAGCAGACTTTCGCACATCCCGCTGCCACCGAGACATCCTCACAACTTCCTGAGGTCCAGGATGGGGACATCTCAGCCGAAAAGGAAGAGCTTCGCCGAGTCACAGAGTCTCAAACCGAGGATGTGGACGGGAATAACAATGAGGACGCCGAGTCGAGACTGGGAATGCCGATCGGCGGTCAGTTCGACAATTCTGTTGAACAGGAAGCCGGCAAAGATCTCCTCGTAGAAGTTACAGCTACAGAGGCTGAGGTCGAGATCCCAGACCTGCCCACCGAGGATGAACAGCCGCCCGCCGCGGCACCGGCCATTCCAGCCGAAAGCGCCATAACCTCCGCTTCCGCTCTCGTGGAGAACGAGCTCGACGACTCGGGTACTATCCCCTCCCCCTCTGAAACGAGCCTTCGACCGTCGAAAACCGAGGTCCCTGCCTCGAAGCCCTCACCCCGGTCCCAGGCACATTACCCACCGCTAGCACCGGTCCCCATTCCCGACATCAGCCTCCTCTCCGCCACCCCTCCTCCTCCTCCTCCTCAAACGAGCTTCTCCTCTTCGACCCGGGACAGCGACACATCCTCCTTCATCTCCCGCACCACCAGCACCACAACAACAACAACAACAGCCCGCGACTCTATCGACACCCTGCGTCTCTCAACCGACCTAGTTCGCCCACCTTCCCCATCCCTCCAATCCACCGAGGCAACGACACAAATCCCACCGCTTGTAGCCAGCCGACCCCCAACAGCGGGCTACCTCGGCCTGCACGGCGAGTCGACCAGATGTTTTGCCGGCATCAAACTGCACGCCGCGGGGTCATCTGCAGATGGAGATGGTGATGCCACCGCTACCGCTCGGCGTAGGCTCAGCCTGCCGCTGTACATGCTAGATCATCACCATCAGCAGCAGCAGGAGCAGCAGCAGGCAGCGGCACTTGACAACATTGAGTTTCTCGAGGGTTGCACGAGGCTGCCGCGGAGAAGCGCTCCTCCTGCTTCTGAGGCAGGCTGGGGTAGTAGTATTGGCAAGGGCTGGGGGTTTAGGAATAGGCACCAGAGGAAGGAACAGAGGACGCAGGAGGAGACTGGGAATAGTGATAATGAGCGTGCTAACGGTCACGGTAACGATGATGGAGGAGAACCGGTCTTGCCAAAGATGATGCTGTTGTTGGCTGGTGCGGTGGCGATTGGGAATATTATGAAAAGGGCTTCCATCTGACGGTTTTCCTTTCCTTTGTCGCTGACGGTTCTGCATTTGCATTTGCATTTGCATTGTTCATGGGCGGCGCATTTGGAGAGGCATGGGTAGTGTTTTTGCCTGTCCTGGTATGACGCTGATGGTGAGAGATACTCAGGAAACGTGAAACTTTGGGTCAGGAAAAGCATCACAGGATTTGCTGCATGGGTTACGGACACAGACTGGGCACCATAGGAAGGCACGGCATTGTACGGGCGTAGTAGGAGAATACATATGAATACAGAGAAGCTGCAATACATGTGGGATGAGTAGACAAGGGCATGACCTTAGCAGAGGCACCGAGATGCTATATGGTCCTATGACTTTGGAAGCAATATAAACTAGAAACAGCACACAACAGACACCAGGTTGGGTATCACACATTTCACTCATTCTCTTCGTATTCCCGTACCATATTGTACAGTACCTGTCAATCATAGCTCCTCCCGCACCAGCTGGACATTGAGACACGGGGAAAAAAAAATATAGTTAGCTGCGACTCGTTTCGGTCGAGTGACCTCCGGGATATGAGCCCGGCGCGCTTCCGCTGCGCCAAGCAGCTTGTAACTTTGATTGCTTGTTGAACTGGGACGACTTGAAAGTGGATTATAGGCATTCAGGGGACAAGGGCTGTCCCCTCATCCGGTCGCCTTGAGCGACGGAGGCGGGAGCATCTGGATCCCGCCCAGCCCTGTGCGGCGTGTTCCGGCTCAAGCCGACGCACGGCCGGGTCTCCTTCCCGCCCGGGCCAAACCACTGCGCCACCTGGGCCCGCCTGGGGCCGATCGCAGCGGACGTTGGGTCGCTGGCGGCTCTCTTCCAGGTAATATCGGACACGCACCCGAGGGTACCATATTGTACCTGTCAATCATAGCTCATCCCGAACCGGCTGTCCCGCCAGCCCTTCTCCCACACCCTCCTCCTCCCACATCCTCTTCATCGGATTCGGCTGGTCCCCTTGACTGTCCCCCTCCTCTGTGTTATTCACTACCCCCTCCATCTCAGCGTCCTCCTCCGGGTGCAGCGTATCCTCCACCATCCTCCCGACTCTCTCAACCCACGAATCCGGCTCCCCTTCTTCCCTCGCCGTCTTCTTCTCCTCCCCGCGGGGAACACTGACAGTCGGCACCGCCCCGTCCTCTTTGATCCCCACCACCCTCGCGCCGGCAGCCGTAAACCCACCACTCACAGCAGCATTTCCATTCCCGTTCCCCAATCCGTCCCCAGTCACCCCCCCTTTCCCTCCTTTCATCGCTGTCGTACTAGACCCACCACCCGCACCAAGCCCAACAACAGCAAGCACAATCCTAACCCCGGTCCTCACCGGAAACCACACAAACCACCACAGCGGGCCATACATCAACCTCCTAAAAACCAACCACGCCAAGGTCACCAACAAGATATTTAACGACGCACGCAGGTACCACGTATCCGATTTCTGCGCCGTCATGAGATCGCTGACCAGCTCCCTTGACCGCCGCAGCAGGCCCTCGGCGCCGGAATACCCCTTTTGCAGCTCGGCCAGCGCCGCGCCGCTCTCGGCCAGCGTCTGCGCCGCAAACGCCGATTTCGCCACCTCCCCCGCGATCAGCGCGTGCGTGCGCCGCAGGGCGAGCGTCACGTCGCTGCTCGCGGTTACTACTTGCGAGTTTTCGTCACTGGTGGCGGCGGTGGTGTCGCGATTTGGGTGTGCGCGTTGGCGTCGGCGTTGGTGATGGGAGGAGAAGAGTCTCTGGCGCGGATCGGAGGGGGGGTTTGTGGTGGTGGTGTCGTGTGAGGGTGCTTGCGGTGTGGGAATGTCGGGGTGATGTTGCGATTGGGCGGCGGTGTCATTGCTGGTATTCGGTTTGGTGAGGATGGTTGAGGAGGACGGGGATGAGGTGGCCGAGGCGGCGTAGGAAGCGAGGAGCAGGGAGCGCTCCAGTTTCTGGGCTGCTTCGAGGCTGCGGCGGGCGGAGAGCTGGGCTTTGCGGAAGGCTGTGCGGCAGCTGTGTGTGAGGTTTGTTTGTTAGTCGTTGAAGAGAAGCGATCGAAGGTAACCGTTAACTCACTTCTTCAGTTCGGCCTCCAACCGCTGAGCACCCTCTTTTAACCTCGTCTTGCGGTGCTCGGCGTCGCTGCCGGGTCGGCCAGAGCGCAGGTCGATGATCTCCTCGTGCAGCAGCTCCAGGTCCTCCTCCTCCTCGCGCAAGATCTGATTGATTTCGGTGGCCAATTCGGTGGCTACATTGTCCTCGTCGCTCGTGCTTAAGGGGACTGACCCGGGCTGGAACTTGATGTTGGCAAGTCGGTCAATCAGCTCCTTGAGCTGGCTTGTGCTTTCTTGTAGCGCGGCGAGGCGCTCTTGCAGTGTGTCGAAAGACGCCATTGCCGTACGTTGTCTTCCGTCTCTTAGCTTCACAGAGTCCGGTGAGACTGGCGCTGTGTAATGTTCAACTTGTTAAAGATGAATCCGAGTCCAATGTTTAACAGAGACGGTGTATGTGCTTTTCTGTACTGTGTAAGTTGGCAACTTGAAAGGGAAAGTGAAGCTAACGGTAAGTTTAACGTTACGGTAACCAATGACGTGAGGTGGAGCACTGTCAAAACGGAAGCTAGCCTACCCAAGCCTCCGTATTGCATTCCATCCGTTCGGTATCTTCCGTCCGAACTCAACCTCAACACCAATTTTCGAAGCCGTGATCTCGAAGTTGTACCGAGTACCAACGAACCCATACCACGCCTCACGAGCAATTGTAAACCCTACGCCTCGCCTCAGATCTTCAACGGCATTCCAATCCCGCTTCCAACCCCCAACCCACCAGCCCTCCCCCAACAAGAACAACAACAAAAAACTAGGGAAACAAAAATGATAACCCGCTTCATAACCGAAGTAACAACCCGCTTCAACCCTTTCTCAGCGCGGGCCAAATCAGCACGGCTCTTCCTGTCCTTCCTTCCCGCCAATGCGCGCGCCCAGGGCATGAACGTCACGACCCAATTGCTGCCTCGCTCGTCCACCGAGCCGAGCTCCCTGTACATCAAGTTCAGTCAGTACACTCCTTCACTCCTAAAAAGCGGAGGTGATAATAAGGGAGCAAAGGAGAGTGAAGAAAGGAGACATGACAAAAAGCTAACACGGAGGGAAACAGAGGACGGCAAGGAAATGAAGCTCGACTGCGAAGCCATGAACATTAAGAGCATCGTTGAGGAAGTGGATCGGCACTCGCGCGCTCTGCAAAAGGCCGACGACCTGGCGAATGCGTGAGCCGTCTTTGCAAGCCGGGATTATGTGCTTGAAATTGCAGTACCAGGGAGGATACGGAAGACTTGTATATTTATATCATGTATTTTGTATGTCTACGTCCACGCTAGAAGCATTGGGAGGCGTTAAGAGCTTGATTTATCAGAGGCGGGAATATATACCATCACTACTACAACCACCGGACTCATAAGCACCGTTGGGATTCTCAGCAGGTCGGCTGAGAGGCAGAACATCTGAGCGGTCGCTGTTGATTACACACGATATCCATCTTTTCAAGTACCCTAGCTATGTAAGCAGAAAGGCGTTGTTTTCTGCGACATGATCTCTATGTACCGTGCATGCCCCAGATCTCGGTTCCGTGATCTAAGCAGAAGCACCGCTGATGAAAAACCACTTGTCGATGGAGCTGTCAATGGGCGCGGGCGGCAGCTCCTGGTGCTGGGGGATGGGCGGCAGCTGGTCGGGCGAGACGCGGCTGACCGAATGGCCAACGGTGAGGTTGGTGCTGTCCGTTTGTCAGTGACATGTATATTCTCAACCGATGAACCACAAAGGGAACCTACGTGGCAATACCGCCAGGCGCCGTCTTGCCTGTAATAAGCTTCTCCCAGGCTTCGTTGCACTCGTGCACGACATCCATGGCGTACCTACACCGCGTTAGCAAACAAACCCCCTTAATCACACCCAATCCCATAGACACCACCACAATACTTACTTCTTGTTCTTGCACTCGCCGGTAAAGGCAAAGTGGTTCTCGGGCTTGCCGTCCGGGATCTTGTAGATGCGGAACCACTCGTTGGTGGCGCGCAGCAGGCCCGGCAGGTGGCGCTCAACGTCCTCGACGTCGTTGAGCTTGGGCGCCAGCGGGTCGTTGACGTCAATCACAATGACCTTCCAGTCCGTCTCCTCCTCGTCCAGCAGCGCCATGACGCCGAGAACCTTGACCTGCTTGACCTGGCCCGTGTAGCCGACGAGCTCGCCAATCTCGCAGACATCGAGCGGGTCGTTGTCGCCCTTGGCCTTGGTCTCGGGGTGGATCACATTGGGGTCTTCCCATGTCTAAATTTTTTTCATGATTCGGACCAAAGTCAGCAAGCTATACGCAGTACTTCCGGTAGCCTCATGAAGCCCATACCTGGGGGAAGGCACCGTAGTTCCACAGGTAACCCTTGTGGGGGAAGCAGTTGCGAACGTAGCGGAGCTTTCCCTTCTTGGTGTCCTGCTTGATGGGGTTCAAGAGCTCGTCCTTGGAGATCTACATATATTACAAGACTAAGCGTTAGCTCTCAAGACTCGAACCGAGCCGGGTTGGTTAGTAGGGCATACCTCGAGCTTGGCATTGGTCCAGCGGGGGATCTCAACAATCATGTTCAGGATAGTCTGCTCCTGGTTTGCATAGAGCGGGATGTCGTGGAACGGTGAAATGGGCACACCATCCTTCTCAATGTAGACACGGTGCTCCATCGTGTTAGGTGCGCCGACCTTGCGCACAGAATACGGGGAGGCCATCTTGCTGGTCGAGCTTGTGCTGTAGCTCCGGGTATGGTGAGAAGACGATGGAAAACTCGACAGATGCCGGGCAAGTTGGGCAGTTCGCGAGGCAGAGGAGGAGAGAACTTTTACCGTGCTCGTCGATCGCAAATTTAAGGTCGAGGGATTTGCAGCGGTGGAAAGGGAAAGCCCAGCAGCTTCGGAGGAAGGAGGGGGAGGGGCTTCGGTGGTGGGGGTGGGCCCATTGCGGTGTGACGACAGCGACCGGATCTGTGATTGGCCGGGGTGGGCAAATTGGCTCGGCGGCATATTTCTTCTGACTACTGCAGAGACGTGCCGCTGCTGTTGCTGCTGCGGTAAGAACGACACCAGTCTAGCGGGTGACGCCTGCCTCTGATGAAGCAAACGGACTGTTCGTGTCGGCAGCATGCCGACACACTATTTGCCTGGCAAGGCGTCCCAGGATTATGGGGGTTTGGTCGGTAGTGTCCTTTTGACTCTTTTCCCTCGGACCGATCTTCTTTCACCCGCTCACGTGTCCCGAGGTGATGGCCCTCGTTGCCAAAATGTCGCCAAAATGTCCTGAAGACTTGCGCTAACGCGCATGAATCAGGTATGCTTATGTATTAGAGTCCGGCACCCAGCTTCGAACCTCACAGAGACCGTCGTTGAGTGGGCATCCAAGCACTGCACCGCTTTGTTTTTCCTGAATAATGGGCTCGAACTTGGCCGAATTCGTATCGAATGTCCTGGAGATCAAATGCCGTGGCGGAAAATTACGGGACATCTCCAAGATCCACTCGCATCAATTAGCCTCACTGTGGCTTGCCCATCCAAATTCCAAACATGTTCAACATTAACGTTACCCCTTTTCCATTACCGGGCAGGACAGAGGGATCTCGACATCATCAATTCTTCACCGCTATGCTTCAATAGGCTGTAACTAAACACAAATCTGGATATCCATTATTATTGGAGCATCACTTCGCTTTATCATCCCCATTGCCATCAGCCCAGACAATTTCACATTTCACAGTCCGCATAGGAATCAGGGTATCCTGGATCGTCCCCCATCAACACCCACCCGCCAAATCCATGGCTATTACACCAAAACATCCGGGTAAAAATAATGCCAAGCATGCAACCGAATAGGAGACATCATCAAGTCATCTCTGCTTCTCCCGCCTTCTCCCACTCCCATCCCGAATGCCACTTCGGCATTCTAGTAGTAGTATAGCCCCCACCCAACTCCGGCCCGCCCACCTACCGCTTAGGCATCGGGTTCCGCCCATACAAGGCGCCGCCAAAAGCCGGCCCAGAATTCCACCCCTGATTGACGCTCTGGCGCACAATCATGGCCGCCGCCTGCGCCGCCGCCATGCGCTCCTTCTGCCGCTGCCGCTCCTTGAGGTAGTTTGCCGCCTCGGGCCGCATGCGGAGGATGCGCAATATCATGTCGTCGCTGGGGTCAGCCTGCGCCTCCTTGCGCTTCTCCTCCTTGGCGCGCCGCATCGTGCCCAGGTTGCGGCTCATCATGATGCTTTTGCCGCGCCGGATCGTCCCGAGGCTGCCAAACGCAACAGATCCCGCCGGCCCGAACGACGGCACCCCCAACGAAGCCGGGGCGGATAACCGGTTGCTCCCCGAATTAGCCTGCATCTGTTGCTGGGCCTGCTGCTTCGCCCGCTCCGAATTGGCCGCTGCCATGCGCTCCGACGTGCGGATTAGCGACTCGGTCGAGTCAAAGTAGAAGAAGTTGAGGGACGCCAGTTCGTGCCACTTAGGCGACTTCAGGATGTCCGCCGGCACTCCCAGCACTTCACCTGACTCGTCTTTGGCGTTGAAGAAGGCAAAGAGAAGCTCGAGCCAACGATAGACAACATCCATCTCGGCCTGCGTGAGCGGCTTCTGCGTCGAAGGCTTATCCGACAACGGCGGGACGAGCAAGTTTTCGATCGCAATCAGCACCTCCTTCCACAGTCTCGTCATGACCGCCATCATAGTGGCATCCGTCAGCGTCTGCTTCATGATGGCAAAATTCTCGTCAAAGTAGGTGAACAGCGGCCGAAGCGCGTTTTCCACCTCTGCTGGTGTGATGGTTGGCGCTGTCGACTGCCTCTTCTTCCAGAGGCTGGCCATCGAGGCCGTGATACCCTTGCTCAGCAGACCACGGAGAGCTTCGTGAGAGAGTGAGGTATTGATGACCACAGAAAGCTGCTTCATGTTAGCGGCTAGTCTTCGAAGGAAGGGCCCCTCATCTAGCATACCTTGCTGGTGACTTTGCGCACCATGTCCCGCTCCGTCCTCTTCAAGTGTCTGAAAGCTTTGCCAAAATGGAACTGAATATCGTCCCGTTCGCCCTCCATGCTGACCCTGATCAGCAGCCTCCCCTGCGTGTCCAAATCAAGCCAAAACTCTCTTGGCAGATAGTCGCTGAAATGCACAGGGTCAAGCTTCAGCGACGTCCGGCCAACAAAATCGTGGTCGCCAAACATGTCATAATCCCAGATGGTGGCAATGAGGTTGAGTGGCCCCGAAACCGTGATATCAACAGCCTCGTCCCACCGCGGGTTAAGATTCCGCGGGATGACCCTGGTCTTGGCCAGTCGCTTCTGGTACTCGTCGCACAGTACAACGTACGGATCGCTTGTTCCGCCCGGATCACAGGCCTTCAGCTCCTCGCCCTCCACAATCTTGATTGTGAAAACATAGTGTGCTGGCCTCTTTGCAGCTTGTTTTGGGCCGTCAACTCTCCGGAGCACTTCAGCCCATCGATCGACTGACATGATCTTCTCAAGTTTATCCAGCTCCTGCATAGCCCACTCGATGTTGTTAAACTTTACGAATGACTTCAGGGGGTGTCAGCTTGCGGCCCGAGTAAGATAGGGCTGTTATAGGGCAATGTCTCTCACCTGGGGTAAGAACTGGAAAGGCGCAATCTTCTCCTTGGTATTCCAGGCATCTTTTGCGTACTGGAGCAGCTTTTCTTGAGTCGTTTTCGAAGCCGCGGCAACCTCTTGCGCGGTTTGCCGATCCATCTCCCTTGTAAACTGCTGCTCCACAATCTCACAGTATCGGCCAATGCCCGAAGCAAATACTCTAGAAATAGCTGTCATGAACCGTGCCATGTGAACCTCGTCTGCCCACTCGAGCTTGGCCAGTGACTCGGCTGTTTGCGTGAAGAGCTGGAAAACATCTATAATGGACGAACTGTGGCGCTCCTCGTCCGTGGGTATGTCCTCGGGATTGCGAGTCCGGACGTTGAAGGGGTCGTGCTTGATGGAATTCTCGACATAGCCCACCACCTTCTCTTCGGCATTCTTGATCCATCGCCACACGAACCCTTCGAGGAGGCCCTCAATGTGAAAGGCAAAGGGTTTTCCTGGGAGGGATTCCACGTGTATTCTTCTGATCTCGACGAGTTCCCTGTACAACTCGAACCCGTCGTCAAGCGGAATCTCAAGATCACTCTCTTCAGCCGTCTTTAAGACGCGCTTGATGATTTCGTGGCAATCCTCCTCAAAACTTGGAAAGGTGACCTCGACCACCACCTTGAAGGGGCTGACGCCCATGATTTCCGGGTTCTTGCGGTAGCGCTTCTTCATTCTCTCTGCAAGCGACACGATGGCCTTGCCCAAGTCCACCACGTGGGCAAAGTTCCAGTCCTGCTGGCTGCGGGGAATCTTGGCATCTAGGTACTCTCTGTACACGTTGGCTGCTTGTTGGCGCAGTCCGTTTTCAAGCTGTTGCGTGAATTCGGCAGCGTCTTCTGGCCGCTGAGAAAAGGAGGCGTCGCTGTAGATATGATTATTTAGGGTCGCCATAACGACGCCGATGGTTGGCGGCTTGGGTTCGTAGCAGCGCATCATGAGATTGAAAAGGTCCCGCAGCAAGGCGTCATGGAGATCCCGCAGGGATTGCTGGTAGCCGGCGAAGTCAACTATGGTCCATCTACTGGGATCGATGTCGCTAAGAGTAGATGTGTACATCTGGATCAGAGGAGGATTCTTGGACTCTGGCAGCGGCTCCTTGACAAGATCTAGGCAGGCATAGAGCTGTTCCGGGGGTAACTCTTGATCAAGAAATTTGCGAGTCGCGACCTCAACAAAAGCGACATATCTAGAGAACTGCGGAATCCTCCATCGCACGGCGAGTTCTACCAATAAGCCTGTAGTCTCTTCGGAGAGGGGCGAGGAGGACGTGTCCGAGTGCAGCTGATCGTACGACAGAGCATATTGCAAAATGACCTTGTAGACGGAACGCGGATCTGGTGGGATAAAAGTGTAGCTTGGCTCATCGACGGCTCGGATGCTGGGTGTCTCATCCAGAGAAAGCGAGCCGAAGCTGAAAGAGGGGTCGGGGCTGCTGACAGGCGACTCTGGATTGGAGAGCATTTTACTCAAATCCGCGTAAGCCTGGTCCTCGTACATGGATTGCGGCCGAACGGGCAGCGGCTTGTCGTTGCCTGAGCCGGCTCCCGCCTTGAGATCCGGACGTACGCTCAGAATCTCGGCGAATATCTTGGCCAGATGAGGGCCCTCCTGTCTCCTCCATTCCTCATATGCGTCGTCCAGATCAAAATCCTGCTTTCGGAGAGTTCCGGCCATGCCCGCAGAAAGTCTGAACTGGTAGGCTTTGTAATCTTGCAAGGCGGCATCTTCAGTCCAAGAGGACATATTTCTGTCAATGTCGGCCTGTACCTGAGAGTTAGGCACACCAAATATTTTGGCGACTAGTAGCACCATGGGCATGTCTTTGATCTCGTAGCTGAGGGGGATCTCGACTTCGACATATGAATGGTCTTCCTGGCCAGTATCGAGGTATAGGTTTTGGTCATTGCTCATCAGCTTCTTTTCAAGAGTGTTGAGGCGGAATACGAGCTCGGCGTCCCCCTTGTCTCTCAAGATGCTGCTGAGGAGTCGGATAAACATGGCAAGGTGCCTGTCCACCAGCTGCTTCCACGAGTGGTCGTCGGCAGGCTTACCCCGTCCCTGAGCCTTGGTTGCGGACGAGTAGAAGATCAAGACCAGCGGTTCCACCTTGCGGTCCTTTTCGATGGACTTTTGAAACTCCTTGGCGGTGAAGGCAGTGTAGGCCTCGGCGAAGGTCCTTTTCACGGCAGCATCGCTGTATCCTGGCAACTTCTCAATGCCCTGGAGAACACCAGACATGCGTCGCTCAAGGGCCTTGTAGAAACCATTCGGCAGCTTCATCGAGGATGAACCCGAGGGGACCAGTTCCTTCAAGAGCTCGCTCATACTCGAGCTATGGGTGTGGGTGCGCTGGGGCGGTTTTGGAGTGCTGACATACTCCTTTCGCTTCTTCCTCGGCTGCAGAAGATAGCGGAGGTAGGCGATGCGGAGGGCGAACGAGTAAGCATCATCGTAGCTAACCGCCGGGGCGCGGGTCCTCGAAGACGTGCGGTTGGAGCGACTGTCATCCTGTATGCTCTGCACACTACCGAACCGGCGGTTGGGATGGTAAGAAGACCGTGATGCCGTCGACATGTCGGCGCGGCCGTGCGAGTTCTTGGAGATTGGAGAAGAGACTGGATAGTGTTGCTGAAGATGCTAAGCGCCCGTGGTCATGGCGGCCAACGGCCAGCCTGGAAAATCCCAGCAGACGCAGTCAAACTAGGGAACCAGAACCAAGCACGATTTTTGCACTGAGGCAAGGGCAGGCTGTCGGATGTCGAGGGGGGGATCGGTAAAGCGATTGTATCGGACAATGTTCTGGGTCGCAGTTGTGGGAGGAACGTCATATGTCAGAGAGTGACAGCAAGCTGGAATCCGTCACGTTCAGGAGGTGTTACACTGTCGGTAATTCACTTTAGGAGCCTTGGCTGCGGGGGGTGCCAGCAACCGAGAAGGGAAATGAACGCGGCCAGAGACGTGGACCTCTAATTACTCCGTACCTTCGGGTGCATTCTAACTCTCTGATACCTGAGCCAAGAGCTCGCAATTATTCTGCAGTGGTACCTTTTAATTGTCTGGACATTGGAGGACAGATTTACTCGAAGTCATTCCATTGCAGTGTTCCACAAACACGATTCGAGTGTGTTCTGCCCAGCCGAGCCAGCCCAACTTGATAGGGGATTTAGTTTAATACACGAATTCCGGAACTTTCAATACAATACAGCCTAGCGTACTCCGTATATGAAGACATCTACATTTGCCCTTCCAAATCTAACCCGGCCGCGAAATTCCTAGCCTATACCAAAGAAACTCTCAAGTTTGATGTAGTGTATGGGTCCAGGTGCACTCCATCTGTCCGTTGGCTCTACATATGGAAGACTCTGCACGAAATAGATAACCCTGGGACGTTGAAAACTTGCTCACGTGGATGTATCTGGAGGTGCCGTTGATGGGATGCCCCACAAGTCTTCCACATGGAAGTCTCAACATGCTGTGGATACCGGGCAGTGCATCTTCTCTGAACCTGTCGGGTTACACTAGCACCTGAATGCAAAGCTATGATAATCTGGTCAACGCTTACCCGTGGTTCCGTGGACCTGATGTTCATACTACTAGTTCCTCTCAAAAGACGTTGACGAGAGAGAGTTACATGCAAAGCGCCTATAAACGGGTCAGGTACGTAGTGAATGTAATATCCTGTACATGTAAGTAAGTCAGATACAATACATACTGTATGTACTGTACCTTGTATTGTACATGGACACAGGCCTCTGACATCACCAGCGGGAATCGCAAATGCGGGGCGCCAACGGTATTCTGAAGTTCTGACAAGATCTCACGGAAGAGGCACAAGAGTCTCAGCTGCCAGGGGCAAGACGTTTGCGCCACATGATTGTAGTATCATAGCAAGGTTAGACTATCGTGTCTTGTGCCTTCAGCTCTCAGCCTCTAAGCCTGGTAAGTGCCGCCTATCGTATTCCTCTCCTTAGCACCTGTCCAGCACTCAACTAACGGAAACGCTAGCGTCAGGACAGGCATCAGACCGATTGATCACGAATGTGGCTCAGGAGGCTCGTGACAGCGCGGCCAGTTCTTCCAGGTTGTTGCGTGGTTCGTTGGCATATGTCTGATAGAGATGTATGTAAGTGACGACGGGAACTGTCATCTGCAAGCGGATTAGTGAATTGCTGGCTTGTGATAGCTTGCAGCTAAAGTTCTGATGAATCCAACCTGCACCTGCAGGTACTGTACAATACAAGTACCCCTATCCGAGGTCCTTGGAGGTATTGTGTATGTATTTTACATACAATACAGTACAGTACATAGTTACAGGGGCGGGGCGTCCAGCTAAGAGCCAAGCGACCGTTGCAACGGGGCTGGTTAGCAGGGTTTCAGAAGGACCTGCTGCGAATCCGGCGCCCCTTCCGACTTCCACCCAACTTACAGCAGTTGCGGGCCGACAAAAGAGGCATTACGGAACAGGTAACTTTAACCCCGCCGCGCCGCTGCGAGCCGCCGCAGTCAACCTGGGAAACCTCTCCGCTGGCTAGAATTCGACTGCGACCACCCTCAACCTCCACTGTCGTCAACACGCAGACTCACCTCTCGCATTCGGCCTCGAAGCGGTGCGCATCCCCAGCAATCGTGGCGCCGAGATGGGCAACGTTAGCAGCGTGCCCGACGAGGGTGCATCTCTCTATCTTAGAGACCAGAACCGATGTAAATATTCACACTCGCTCTCTATCCCCGCCCATGCGACTCTGTGCACCCTAACCCATCTCATGCATCATGGATCATGCGCTGACAATCTACTCTCTTCCATAGTATCTATCTCTTCCGCCGTCATAACTAGCCCGAAAAAGCGCACTTCAATCAACATCTTTCCAAATGCATTCCCTGCTACACGAGTATCCGCATCACGAGCCCTCGGCGACTCCAACCCCGTGGAGTTCATCCTAGTGAGCAGCCCTAGCCCCTGCATATCTTTGCATGTCTTTCAGGCAGCCTCTCTTTTTGTTGAGGACTGGCAGTCTTTGCTGACGCTGGTCTTGCAGGACACGGAAGCATCCAGCGCTGCTGCAGCCCCTTCGTTCCTCCTGAAACTCGCCAATGATGACGACCTTTTATTCACATTCACATTCGTTATCCGCAGGCCACAACATGCCGCTCCAAGCCCAACTGGTAGTCCCGAGCCCACAGCCCTCCCAGATACTCAGATCAACGGCCTCACATTCGTCTTTGCTTCAAACCCCCGTGAAGTCGAGAATCTCGTCACACGCGAGTTCCATGCAGATCCCAACCTGCACAAGAATGCCAATGTTGAACTTGTTGGGAGCTATTCAACCGAAGGCAGCGCATCAGTGACATTTGACTGGACATGGCGCTGGAAGCCGCCAAAGTCGGCCGAGGACAAAGGGGGTGGCTGGCGGAACTCATGCAGTGTTTGTGCCGTCCAGATTGCAATTCCCAACCACTCTATCCAGCTGCTAAGTGCTTTCTAGTTCGTCGAGTACGACCAACGGGCCCATCGCCTTCACACCTTAGCCAGTTTCTCCTTCTACGTCGCCAGTAGGTTCCATGACTCAGCCACCATCTTGGCGAAGGGGTGCTCACACGCTACAGACGCCTCTCCGTATCTCAGCCAACCCAATTCGCCAACTCCTCCTCTCCTGAGCGCTCCACCAAAGGTTCGTGTGGTATCAGCGCAGTCGCTGGAATCCCAGATCAGCACCATACCGGAACACGATGAGTTTACCTCCCCGCAGCCGCCTCTCCTGGATCCAGCGAACAGTGCGCCATCCGCTCCGCCGCCTACTGCAAAGGAGCCGATCAAGGTCGACGTAGCCTGTCCTCGACCGGGCGAGGACATGTCTGTCTCTGACGACGGGCCCGTGTTTCGGGCGACCATGAAAGCACTCGAGCAGAAGACAGGCAACATGAGAATGCAGATGAAGAGGTTGATCAAGAAGGCCGAGCAGGTCTACGCCGCGCAACAAGAGGCAAACGATGCGTTTGCTGGATTCATGGAGGCTTTGAAGGACATGGCATCGACCAATGCCAACGCGGTCCAGCCCGCCATCGAGCACTACTTTGACAAGATCGCCCGCGAGATCCTGCTATATGAGCGGAAGAATACCGCAAATCTGCAGAAAATTGTCATCGACCCCGTGAGCAAGCTGTACCAGATGGATATCAAGCAGGCTGAGGCGAAGAAGCGCGATTTTGAAGAGGAGAGCAAGGACTTCTACGCCTATGTCAGCCGCTACTTAGGCCAGCGCCACGACTCGGTCAAGGCGAAGCAGAGCGATTCAAAGTACCAGACGAAGCGTAAGAATTTCGAGTTAAAGCGCTTCGACTATTCGTCTTTTATGCAGGATCTATCAGGTGGCCGCAAAGAACAGGAGATCCTGTCACACCTCACGAAATACGCAGACGCGCAGGCCAGAAATTTTCTAGACACTGCCAAAAAGGTCGATGAGTTGCTCCCGCAGCTCGAAGCCCTCTCCACCGAGGTTCAGGAGGCGGACAAGGAGTATCAGTACCAACGCCGGGAACGGGAAGAAAAGCGGAGGCTTCTAGAGAAGAGCAACCTCCCCTATTTGGAACCAGAACCGCCATCCACCTCGTCGGGATCGAGCGCTGCACCAGGCCAGGCGAACGGGAATTTGTCCAACAACTCGGACACTGAGATCGGCCGCGCGGACAGCACAGGATCACAGCTGAGATTGACACGCTCGACAAATGCAAGTAGCCCCTCAAATGCAGGCGATCTGTCTAGGTCACCTGGGAGCCTCAACCAGCAAACTGCCATTGGCAGTCCGCAACAAAGTTCCAAATTCAAGGGCATCCGTGATTTGGAGGAGCGGGATCCCAGCCAACCGGTGCCATCCGAGAAAGAGGCTGCCAATAGGAAAGAAGGCCTCCTTTGGGCGCTGAATCGGCCGGGCGGTCACGTAGATCCACGGAATTTAAACAAGCAGGGTTGGCATAAGTAAGTACCCAGATAGGACCCTCGCTGATCCGCACAGTTGCTGACAACGGGCAGGTTTTGGATAGTCCTCGACCAAGGGAAGCTGTCCGAGTACAGCAACTGGAAACAGAGATTGGATCTTCATATGGATCCAATTGACTTGCGTCTGGCCTCCGTTCGAGAGGCCAGGAATGCAGAGCGCCGTTTCTGCTTTGAAGTTATTACTCCGCAGTTTAAACGAGTTTACCAAGCAACATCCGAAGAGGACATGAATAGTTGGATCATGGCTATCAACAATGCGCTGCAGAGCGCTGTCGAGGGACGCTCCTTCAAGGACAAGCCGCCGACAGCCCCTGGTGACTCCGGTTTAAACGGGGTAGACATCGGCTCGGTGCTGATAGGCAAAAGCACGTCACTCAGCCATTCGAGCCACAGCTCAAGCGCCGCCCCCCTGAGGCGGACGACCGTTGGCCATCGCCCTGGCACTTCACGCGGCATCAGCTACGAGGAGCGGCCTGATAAGCTGCTCCAGATGCTCCGTGAGAATGACCAAGGGAATTCATGGTGTGCCGACTGCGGCTCCAGCAACAAGGTTGAGTGGGTGTCGCTCAATCTCGCAATCATAGTCTGCATTGAGTGCAGCGGTATCCACCGGTCCCTAGGTACACACATCAGCAAGATCAGGTCCCTCACCCTCGACACAACCTCCTTTACCCCGGATATCATTGAGCTTCTTCTCCTTGTTGGGAATAGGGTGTCCAACATGGTCTTTGAAGCCAAGCTGGACCCGGCGCAGAAACTCACACCACAGGCCACCCGGGAGCAGCGCCTCAAATTCATCACGGCCAAGTACGTCGACAGAGCGTACGTAGAGCCTCTATCCAGCACATTGTCCCGATTCGCCACTGCCGATGATACCCTCCTCGCGGCGATCAAGAGGAATGAGATCCAGCAGATCATATACGCGCTGGCGCTCCGAGCCAACCCCAACGTGACGGACAAATCCCGAGGCACTCACGCCATCTACCTGGCCCTCGCGGCAGCCGACCCCGCTCCGCCCTCCCCTATCCCAAACCAAGCCGCCCCACCCACGCCAGCCGCAGTCGACAGAGTCGTTCCCTTCCCCGTAGCCGAGCTCCTCATCCAGAACGGCGCTGAACTCCCAGACTCCCTCCCGCAGGTACCCCTCAGCCTGGCCGCGCAGGCCTACATTGATCTGAAGCGCGGTCGAAAGGCTGCGATAGAGGGTTACCACCACGACTCTGCGGGGGCCGGGGCGGGGGTCTCGCTCCTCTCGTCGTCTTCGCCGTCGTCATCCCTGATGGCGGCGGGAGACAATAATAGTAATAGTAATAACAATAGCAAGCTCCTTAAGCGGGTCAGCGCCGGCGGCAGGCTCGCCAAGTCGCCTATCCCCGAACGATAGAGCATGTTGGGGGCTGTCACGTGCGGCGTGCCGTTTTTGGGCGGGAGCAGGAGGGAGAGAGCGTTTCGTTCTTGTTGATTGTTGAGAGACTTTGTCTTGTTTTACTCTGTCTAGGTACTTTTCGGTGTACTTTTGTCTTTTGTATGCTGGGCTGGGCTGGGCTGGGCTGGGCTGGGCTGGGGAATGAAATGATTTTATGACACGGTTTAGGGATGGGTAATGTAATTCTGGTAGGGTCGGTAGGGTAGGCGAAGGTAGGTTGGGTGGTAGGGGGGTAGGATGGGGGGGAATGTGAGGGTTTGCTTCTGTATGGGAATGAGGGATCGGAGGTTTGGGCTGGCTTGTTGGGGATAGGGGGTAGGGGGTAAAGGTGCTGTAGGATGCAACGTGCGATGATTTTCTTGCGTGGAGTGGCATGGCCTAGCATTGGGTTGTTTGGCTAACACCGTCATGTATCAAATGAGATCCGGTCCTGATGAGTTGAGGTTGGGTTGGTTGCCTGCCCTGTTCTCTGTGCGTGGTCTTTTACAAGTACATATATTTTCGTTTCTGTGGTGTTAGTCGACTTCATTTGGTTCCATTCTCGAGTACGTATTCTATTACTACTACTTTGGCTTTCCTCTCTCTTGCTAAATTTAGCCTGCCTTGCCGTGTGTCTACTCTGGTTCTTTGTGGCGGTTGACTCTTGAGTTTCTAGCTTTGGTTGTGGGTACGAGTTGGCTTAGCGGGCCGGTAGCGATCATTGCTGTCCCCGGTGCGTGGACGAAGACTCGAGACGAGGGGAGACGATGAAAAGGATACCATGGCAGAGATAGATATAAGGACGGGAGGATAAGGATTGCCTAGTCCGGCCCAGAAGTCGGTTTAGGTCAAGGTTTGGAAATGTTTATTGATCTGCTCGTTTGGCGAGATCATGGAATCCAGCGTCTCTCCCAGGAAGGGGAGCCGGGAGTGAGAATATATGGATGAGCATAGGTGGTTGTTGTGTGTTGTGTGTAGTGTGTAACGAATCCTGTGGTTATGGGTGGAATGAAGCAGAACAACGATAGTATGCAACCATAGGGGGTGACGGCAAGCAGGCAGATAGGCACACTACAGTATTATACCTAGGCATAATACACATGAGTTACCGACCTGGTAAGGAGAAAGAGACACAGCATACACTATGGTCCATAATCCGTCTGGTTCTCTCCATGACGTATCGCCAGACTTTCCCTGTGATTGTGTGTGTGTCTGGCTCAGGTGATCATGTCGACCCTGTGACCGGGCTGGTGATTGAGTCATCCTGGGCTTCCACATGCCTTGATTAGTGAAGATACGACGATAAAGTGGCAATTTCTGGCCAGGCTTGCGAAGATAGAGAGAGACGGGATGCAACAGCTCAGCAAAATCGAACCTGGCTTTGCAATTACAACAACAGATGGCGAAGCAGGGCCGTTATAGCAGATTTGGAGGGCTGCTCTAATAAGTGCTCTTCGCAAACATGGAACACCAGCCCCGAGACAGAGTAACTGTGTTATCAATACATCTAGATACCCCTTTTATTTCAAGAAGGACTCTTCGTACTATGTGAAACTTCTCGCCATACTATATGGGTCCCAACTACCCATACAAACCCCTAACCCTAACATCCCACCCCATTCTTATCGCTCACCAAAGCGACTACTCTCTCGCGCCTCCAACGTCAAGATCGCGACCATTCCTCTTCGCGAAATCGATCGCCACGAGCATTACCTCGTGGCAGCAGCGCAATTGCCGCGTTCAAGCTCTCGCACCTGGCTCCAAGGCAACAGCCGCGTTCCACTTCTTCGTCAATCGCCGTGATAAGATTCTCGGGCCCGGCGAATCCAAGGTTCATTCGCCCGGCTAGATGACAGCCAAGTTCAGTCGCTTCCTCCCGCCCGGCAGTTACCGCCAAGTACAAGACCTGACCACGAATCTGTAGAATGGAATATAGAAAGTGAGCAAGGTCCTGAAGTGGAAGGAAAAGAATGGTAGATGGGATGTCAGGGTTAGGGGCTTGTGTGGGTGGTTGGGACCCGCATAGTATAGGGAGAAGTTTCACATAGTACAAAGAGTTGTTCTCTATATTTCCCTATGGTAAAACTGGTGATAGACCGCTAATACATCTCCTCCCCTATATAATTACTATGCCATCCTCGCTATAATCCCACCAGGCAACTCCTTTTCTAATGCCAGTCCCAAAGCTCGCTCGCTTGCTCACTTGGACTAGACAAAGTTTCAGAAGGAAAAAACGCAATGTACCCCGACACTAACACAAGCCCAGAAATCATGAAAACCCCCTTACACCCCTGAGCGAACATAAACATGGAGTAAATGGAGATGAAAAGCAAACCCCATGGAACTCCAAAACAAATCCAGTGATTTTAAAACCCGAGCCCCATCACCACCCCAATAATTCACCCTCTCTTAACGGCCGCCCTTACCCTTCGCCTTCCCTTTCGCCTTCGACGCCTGTGCATTCCCAGCAATGTCATTCGTCGGATAATTGCTTCCTGGATCGTTACCAAACAACTCCTGGTCGCCCTTGCCACCCAGAGCCATGAACTCGCCCGGATCACGCTGCTCATCAGGGCGCGGCTCCTTCCTCGGCGCCGTAGCCTTGCTATTGCCGGGGTTCTTGGAGTAGATCTTGACGTCCGGCCGGTTGTTGTTGCCAGGCACGCGGTTGACGACCTGGGCCGTGTTGATAGAGCTCAGCAAAGTCCGTTCCCTCGTCACGCCGCGGCGGCTCATTTCCAGGCCGGCGAGGCCGCTGACGAGACCGTTAGTGCTGTCGTTGACCCCAAGCTCCTTCTGCGTCATCCACGGATGGGCGAGACACTGGTCGATGGTGAAACGCTTGTTGGGGTCGACGACGAGCATTGAGTCGATCAGGTCGACTGCGTGGCTGAATTAGTACAAGGCCACGTACAAATATGCGGAATAAGGACGAAGAACTTACGAGCTAAATCGCCAATCGGATCCCAGTACGGTGAGGGATACTCGTATAGCCCCTTCTTGATCTGGTCCGAGAGTTGGTAGGGAAATTGGGGGCTGTAGAGCTCGTCCGAAAAGGGAGGAAACCCGCAAAGGCAGATATATAGCACTACACCTAACGACCATATGTCCACGGCCTTGGTGTATTTGCGTCTCCTGCTGTCGACAAGTATCTCGGGCGCCACGTAGCTGGGAGTGCCACAAAGCGTCGTGGTGAACGACTCCTCTCCAATGATCTTGGCAAGCCCAAAATCAGCGAGCTTGACGTTTAGGTTCTTGTCCACCAACAGAATGTTCTCGGGTTTGATGTCCCGATGAACTATATTGCGGTCGTGCTGCACAAGTTGTCAGTTTGTGACAAGTGGCTAATGGGCGAACAATGAGGCTTACCAGGTACTTGACTCCTTGGAAAAGCTGTGTAAAGAGCTTGCGGCATTGGGTCTCGGACAGGCTCTTCTCATTTACGATATAGTTGAACAGTTCGCCCTCGGGCGCCAGCTCCAAAACCAGGTACACCGCATTCGGTTCGCTGAAGGTATCTTTGATACACAGGACGTTGGGGTGGCTGACACCCATGAGCATGGCGATTTCCTGCTGGAGGCCTCCATCCTTGGATATGTCGTCCGGGCTGGTCTTGGTGAACACCTTGACTGCGTAACGCTGGCCTGTAGACTTCTCGATGCATAGATATACTTCGGCAAAATGGCCTTTTCCGAGTTTGTCGACAAGTCTGTACTGCTGCAGGAAGGCGTTTGCTTGGCGATTCTTGGGGTATCTGAAAACGAAACGAGCCTTGTCGAGCACGGCGATCTCGTCGTGCTCCTTGAGCTCTCTCCGTTGGTTCCGCCCAACAAGCGCATCGTTGACAAATGTTCCATTGCTCGAGAGATCCTCCAGGATAGCAACCGTGTCATTACCTTTGTGCTCGGTGAAAATTAGGCAGTGGCGATTCGATACACTTCCGTCATTTACGATAACATCTGCTTCCTGTTAGTTACGATGGCCCACCTGCCACGAAACATGCTCCACGAAAATGCTTACCGCACTCGGGATGGCGCCCGATCAGGTATCCTCCGGCCGGTAGGCTCCTGGCGCTGCTTGCCTGATCTTTGGGCGGCGCCCTTGGGCCCCTTCTACCGCCCCTCTTGGGGAGTGTCCCCGTAGAGGCGTCTTCTGAAGGGGTGTCTGGAAGCGCACAGGACTCTCTCTTCCTCAGAACCACGCAAGTCCCTCCAAACCGTGTGTCAAGGGGAAACAGATAACCCCACACGCCTTCCTTGACCTCATCTTCGACCTCGTCCGAGAGCGGAGCGTTGGGGTCTACATGCTGTTGACTGAAAGCTTGCGTGTCCTGGGGCGGCGAGCTGAATGCAAGGGCTTGCGAGTAGTTCTCGTCGTCGTGGCGGCGTGTGATCTGACTCAGACGACCCTCTGGCGGGGTCGCCGTCGCTTCTTTGGAGAACTCGTTGGTACCCTCGCTGGCGATGTGGGTCACAGGCGAGGGGAGCTGATGTAGTGCCTGGACGGGCGTCTTGAGTCCATCATGATCATTGACGCGCTGTGATAGTAGCCGCTCGGAGCGGCGGGGCTTCTTGAAAGATTCTTGTTCCGCGTCTCCCGGCGAGCCCTGCAGCAAGAGTATTAATCGGCGGAGCATGGCTGCGGGTGTAACGCCACCGAGGACAGGGCCTGCGGCGGAAAAAAGACACTAAAGGGGACCTACGGAAACTCGGGCTCTCTTCAGATGGCTGCCTTCAGATCGTGGAGCCATGGTGGGAGAGCTGAGATGAGCAACACCGTACCGTGACCTGGAGCTTAAGTAGTCAACCAGATCGGCTGGGTGAGCCTGCAATTCGCTAACTGCAGCGTGACAGTTTGCGAGAGCAAGGGCAAGGGTGACGGGAGGGTGTGAAGTGTGTGGCCTGGTGAAAGTGCCTTGTAGACACTGGGGCGGCCTCGTGGGAGGGCTCAACTTAACATTACAGCGGCCGTCACCACTCTAGCTCAGTGGAGGATTCAGAAAACTGGAAACCTGGAACCTGGAAACCGATCGGGACCGCGCCTCAGCGGCCTCGCGCGCTAGAGCTCCTGGCCTGTCAGCGGGAGGCTGACTCCCCGTTTGGGGTCAAGGGGCGGGCCTAACAATGATCCGCTGCACCCCACTCTAGCCGTCTTGGCTCAGATGCAGGGGTTCACTTTGGAGATGCAAGTGCAAGCAATGTGTGTGTGGTAGGGCTGGTCATCTCGTCTTAAGCGTTGGGGTCAAGTGGTTTGTCCATGCATACTGTGTAGTCTAGTAATGTAATCCATCTATGGAGTGCCGTATTGCGTAAGGTAGGTGGTATAGGTACCGGTGCCATGTGGGCGTGTTGGATCAGACTACCTAGGTACCTATCGGCAGTCACACAGCTACAGCCCGTTTTGCCACGTTATAAAGCTCCAAATAGCATGGGGACTTTTTCTTGAAGCTTGGAGGGTCAATCAGCCTAACGTTATGTTACTGCCCCGTTCGAACCACTGAGGCCGACCCTCAAGCGGCCCTATGCTGCTGGGATCTGAGCTCGATGGAAACTTAAGATCGTGGCTCAGAGATCGGTTGGAGGCCTTTCGGGCCCCTGGCCTTGAGCGCGCAGCCTTGTGTCGGTGCTTGCTAACATTCAGGTTCCAAGTATGGTTCGCTCTCGTATCATACGGCGTAGCATCATGACCTGGCATTGCCTAACATGTAGAACACTTGGCGGCTTGATGCTACACTCGGCGATGGTTAGGGGAATTTGAATCGACGGTGTCTCCTGTCAGGATTGTGGAATTAGAGTAATCACTTCGTCACTTGGGATTATAGGCCCTCCCGTTAACTTGCCGGTAAACGTTGGAATAGAGCGAGCGGCTTTCAAGTGAGATGACAGTGGGTGGAGCGACTGGTAGAGTCGGTTGGTTAGTTGCATGCATGTTCATGTGGTGGGAGAAACAACGAAGAGCTGTTTGCAGCACAGACACCAGCCCCACTTTCCCAAAGCGCCCACAAAAACACTCGCTTAGCTTTCCATTTTCCGCTTAGCGTCCAAAACACGTGATCCTCCCGCACAGAACGTCTGCTCACTAGCAAGGGAAAAATGGCTTCGGATGCGGGGCAGGGAAATTCTGGCTTTGTAGGCGAGGATAAGGAGGGCAAAGGCAAAGGCAAAGAAACCGCCATCCTCCCGCCCCAATCGACCACGCAAGGCGGCAATCCGGTCGCATACGACGAGAAATACGAATCTCCGCCCGGGGACTCTGAACTGCCTTCGTACCGCTCTGCCTTGTTCCTCAGCAAAACCCAGAAGTTCCAGGACTGGAACTACACCCGGCGGGCGTGTTTCATCGCGACCTTGGAACTCAAAAAGCACTGGGAGTTTTACGGCAGCAGCCCGATCTGGAAGGACGCGAACTCATTCAAAATGGCGTCGTCTCCTCAGCTTCTCTTTGTCGATGGCTCTTTCGCAGAGCTGGCGCAGGAAATGGCCGACTACATCCAGGTCGGCGAGCAGGTGAAGTCGCTGCTTGCCAAGGAACAAAACGAAGAAGCCCTCCAGGCCATCGTCAAGGCCTCAAGCTACCTCAATCAAGTTCCCGAGAAGGAGTTTACCGGCGCCTACAATCTCCTCATCCACTTGGTTCTGCAGTCCAGCGACTACAAAAAGTACCTTCCTGCCATCTGCGGAAACCTCCTCAAGCCCATCACGTCGTCTCCTACTCACGGTTTTACCCTTGCCGCGAACGCGCTCAGCACCATCTTCAACCTCCTCGACAAGACCAATCCAGTGCGGTACCATGTCTTCATGCAGATCGTTCGCTTTATCCGCCAACACGGCCAGTTTGACCTGCTCAAACCCCGGTTACCGAACCTCGAGGGCTGGTTTGCCGCGTGGGAGACGGATGAGGAGGACAAGCGCAGGCTTTATGTAGAGGTCGCCGACGTTGCGGGAGAGGCTGGCGACGACGAGTACGTAACTTGTCCGGGGTCGTGCGTCTCTAGGCTGCACACTGACTAGCGGATTACACAGGGAGGCATACCACTATCTCGTCAAGGCCATAGCCACGTTCGACCGCGAGGACCAAGAGGAAATCACATCGGAGGAGGCCCAGAAGCTCTCACTCAAAGCCACCCGCATGGCCATTTCATCCCCTACCCGTTTCGACTTCCAAGATCTCCGCGCCCTGCCCAGCGTGCAGGCGTTGAGCGACTCGCACCCGGTCTACGCACAGCTGCTCGACATTTTCACCGAGCAAGATCTCGAGGATTACAACGACTTCAGAGACGAGCATGAGGGCTGGATCGAGAAGGAGAAGCTCGACCACGAGAAGCTGCAGCGCAAGATGCGCCTGCTCACCTTTGCCAGCCTGGCCGCGAGCACGCCCAACCGCGAGATTCCCTACGCCAACATCGCCCGCGCCCTACAGATTCCCTCCGAGCAGGTTGAGATGTGGACAATTGATGTGATCCGCGCCAAGCTGGTTGAGGGCCGGCTTTCGCAACAGAAGCAGGTCTTTTTGGTGCACCGGACGACCTACCGCGTCTTTGGCGAGAAGCAGTGGCGTGAGCTGGGCACCAGGGTCGACCAGTTCAAGTCGGTCGTCGACCGGCTCACCGCCGTCGTCCGCAAGGCGCAGGCCGACGCTGAGGCGCAGCGCGAGCGCGAGCAGCAGGAGATTGAGCGCAAGCTTGCCAACGTCGGCATTAGCGGCGGCCAGGGCGGCGATCGCCGCCGCCAACCGCCGAAGCAGCGCACCGATGATGATGACTGAACGTGGGGCACAGGAGTCTTGAAGAAATGGGTTTACGATCGTGGCTAGCCTTTTTCACTTGGTTTTGGGCCCGGAGTTGAACCAAAAGAGGGAAGCTAGACTACATTTGATGGTGCACTTTTCGCATGGGTAGATATCCAGGGCACCAGATACTAACTGACCGGGTTGGGTCTTGCACTTCTGGGGATGGCGGGCTACGGTTCGGTAATGCATGCGTTTCTCGTGCAATGATGGGCATTGCACTAGGCATAGGGGAAAAGTTGGGTTTTCCCTCCATTAGGGACTGGACACTGCTTATGACTAGTTACATACAGGACAATGGATGCCTACGAAATGGGAAAACAAAACAAGTGAAAACATGTTTCTCTAAAGGCTGATGATACAAGAAAAGGTGGCAGCGAACGTGCCATGTAAGGCGAGGAACCCTCTCCCCTCGAGTGCTCTGCCGTATCGCTCCGATCCCTAGTCTACTGCGTAGTCTATCAAGGAGAAGATTAGTGAACGCGAAAGTAGTCTTGCCCAAGTACCCCCTCAAGCAACAAAACCCATCAACCAAGACACCATCAACCGTCTAAAGCTTATCCCCAAGTGCCTTTTTAAGCTTGGCCTGGGTATCGGCATAAACCCGATCAGGCGACGGGGTCGCGTCGACTTTCACGACGCGCTTCTCAGCCTCGTAGTGGTTAACAACCGGCATGCTGGTCTCAACAAACGTGCGGAAGCGCTTGCGGATCGACTCGGCATTGTCATCGGCGCGCCCGCTCGTCTTGCCGCGCTCCAGCAGGCGGCGCTCCATTTCCTCCTCGGGGCAGTCGTAAAACAGCACCAGCTTGGCCGGGCACACCACCTCCTCAAATTTCAGCGCCTGGTCCATCTTGCGCGGGAAGCCGTCGATCAGGAATTTATAATTGTTATTGCTGCCCGGGTTGTTGTTGGACGACTTTTTGGAGGAAATGGTATCCCGCATGGCGTTCTCAAGCAGCGCCACGGTAACCTCCATGGGCACAATCTCGCCGTTCTTGATGCAGTCGCGTATCAGCTGCCCGTACTGCGACCCGGGCCGGTCCTGCTCGGCCCGCAGCAGGTCGCCCGCCGACAGGTGCGTGAAGCCGTAGTCCTTGACCAGCCGCGCGCACTGTGTGCCTTTGCCGGCGCCGGGACCGCCCAGGACGAAAATGACGGTCACGTCTGAGGCGGAGAAGGCTGGGGTGGTGGACTTTGTGGGAGGAGGCATTTCTGTGATGGAAGGGGGGAAAGGTTAGTTGGGCGACTCCTTTTTTTTTTTTTTTTTTTTTTTTTTTTTTTGGCGGAAGGAAGGGAGAGGGGTTCAGGAGGCATGATTGCGCCTTGGTAGCCATTCCAGGGCAGGTATGTTGTCGCATTCTGCCTGCCCCTCTTCCGTCTTCATCCCCTCTACCGATATGACCCAGCCAACGTACCTATCCGTTGATTAACCAACAAGATGTAGCCCCCGCTGCCCAACGCAATGACAACCAGGAACGGCCAGAACTTGATCTGGTTGTTGTTGCTCCTGCGGGGAGGAGGAGGCGGCGGTGGTGGTGGGATGTTCTGCCCGCCTTGAGAACCGGAGCTGTACGATCGTTGCGCGGTTGGTTGCCGACGGAGGAGGGAAGAGGGATAGTGGCTAACAGGGCGACCCGCGCGAACAGGTGCTGAGGACGAAGAAGACGCCTGGCGACGAAGCGAGAATTGGAGTTGTTGCTGTTGCAGCAGCCTCGGGGGTGTTGTCACGGCAGGGCCGCGGCAGCTGTTGCGCATAAATTGACGCCAAGCTTGTCGTCCAAAAGCGTTCGCGGCCATGATTTGTCGCTAGTTCGCTGCAACAATGACGCAGGTTTCTTTCGACGCCTCGAGTAAGCTTGATTCTGTCAACGAGTGTGTCCCGACAAACCTGTCTCCCTCATCAGTTGTTCAATACCTCGGCCAGATCATAATATTTGTTAATGCAGGGGTGGAAAGGCTTTAAATGGTATTGGAAATTTTAAGACTTGTTTAGCGTCATCTCATCTGTGACAAGGGGGGATCAAAGTGTAGCAATTAAGACACCGGTTCATAACATCCCCTAACCCCTGAGATCTTCTCGCGATGAAGCGTCTTTCAACTCCAACCCGGTATCACGAAACAATGCCGCATTCATAATAATGACATTCAGCAGCCATACTGTTCTCTCAACGGATGCGCTGACGCGAAGTCACCTAAGCTGCTGCTTCGAACGAAAAACATGGAATGAAGTCGTCCCCATATAGGCGGATCACTTTCAACGGCTCCTAAAAGGCCCGACTTATGCACTTGAGCTTGAATCACAACCAACCATGCAGTCATACACAGATTATTGGAACCCAGATTGGATTGTTCACATCTGGATATACTTCCTCAGCGCCAGTCTAGCTCAGATTTGGTCCAAATCTGCTCAGCTACACCCCCGACCGATGCCGAGAGTCACCCAGCATCGTCATCATCATCGAGGTAATTGTATTGTACACATCCCCCGACTCCCAGCCCTATTAAGATAGATAAAGGTACCCAAGATTCCAGCCCCGGTGTGGTATTCACGCTCAACGCCACCTGGTATGTTCCACCGATAAAGACAAAGGAAAATCCAAATGAAGATGGAAGAAAAGAAGCCGACAGCCTCCGCTGCAGCTCCGCTGTCCCTTAAGACGGATGAAAGGAAATATATATGCAATACCAAAGTCCCGGCATCAGCCGCCGCACTCCCCCAAAGCTTCCTTTTGTCAAGCGGGCTACCGCGGGATGTTGAATGTCGTCTGGAGTGGCGGCGGGCTCTTGATTGCCTGCCCGGCATAAGCGCCGGGGATCGGGACGGCCTCGTACTGCTGCTCGCCCTCTGCCACGGGCGCGGGTTCGTTAAATGTCGCCGAGGGCGCGGTAGGGGTCGCTGGCGAGAGATGCTTTGGCGTTGCCGGTGTCGCCGGGTTGGCTTTCGTCGGGGGCGCCTGGAGCTTGAAGCCCGTCTGCGGGGCGGAGAAGGTCGACTGGGGGATGATGAGGCCCTTCCCGCCCGGCGTGAACGGCGACGCGCCCTCCTCAATGTCACCGAGGGACTTGTACGTGGACGGCGGGAAGCGCGGCGAGAGGGCGTACTGCGAGAACGAGGGCGACTTGGGGCCGAATCCCGGCGTGTTCGGGGCCGACTGGGTTCGCAGCTGGGCGAGGTAGTAGTCGGACCGGGCCTTGTCGCGGAGGTCCATCGACTTGTGGAGCTTGCGCTTCGACCAGTAGCGGTAGAAGACGACGCTGTACAGCGTGATGCTGATGATTTCGATGACGAGCTCGATGATGATGCAGATCAGGGTCCAGTCCTGCAACCGGCACACGAGCGCGTAGTCAATATCTTGTGCGGCACCCTGGAGCTGCGAGCGGCGGTTCTGCACGCAGGCCCAGCCCCACAGGTCTTGGTTGTTGCTGTTGCTCCTCGAGTGCTGCAGGATACCAGCAGCGGCTGCCCACATGGCCATGCTGAAGATGAACCAGCCGACAGCGAAGAGGGTGTAGTAGACGCCAACCTTCTCGGCCCTCTTGTGCCCACCGCGGCAGTAACCGACGAAGACGCCTATGCAGATGATGAGCGACACGCACGCGCAGGCAAGCACCACGATCTGGGGCCAAAGCGGCGTTCCGGTGGCCCATACGGGGAGCGTGCTGAGAGCTGGAAGGGCCTTCGTGGCATTGAATATGGCAAACGAGGCCGAGAGCATGGCCAGGATGATGAGACTGCAGCTGAAGCTGACACCGCGCAGGGCGAACTTGGCCATGCGCACGCGAGTCTTGATTTTCTGTTGAATTTGTTAGCCATGCTGCCTCGAGGCTTCAGGCCAGGAGAGCATCTTACCAGATCCCGCGCTTGGTCCTTCTCCGTGTCCTTCTCCCTCGCTTCCAGTATCTGCTCCTCCTTGAAAGTGGGGCTCAGGGGATTCGAAAGGCCACGCCCCGGCGTCCCAGGCACCTTCATGGCGCTCTTCAGTGGTGACTTTGGCGTCATAGGCATGGTGATGGCTTCCCTGTCGGTTCCGCTTCCAATGTAGCCAAAACCGACATCACCTGGTTGCGCATGGGCAACTTCTGACTTCTCGGAGAACGGATTCCTCTGCGGCTCGATGGGTGAGTGAACAGCGGTTGCCTCAGCAAACCGCGGTGTCCTGGGTGGCTTGGCTAAGGAAGATGATGTTGATGTCGAGGTTGTGGTGGAAACTGAGCTAGCAGACATGCTTCGTACTGGCGTGAGGTTCAAGGCCATTGGCCGTTTCTTCTCGTCGGCAACCATGGTTGCTTAAGGGGAGCGACCGTAACCGTCGGGCGTTGCTTTTGCGTAGAGCCTATACAAGGGACAAGAATGAAGGGAAGAGACCAGTCTTCGACTTCAGGGAAAGAGGAGCTCTGCAGGTCTAAGCCGACTCAGACAAGAGTAGCTGTGGCCTGGTGCAAGCTCTGGGCAGAAGTGAACCAAGGGAAGGATGGGAATATGAGAGTCCAGCTGCCAGGGAAGAGAGATAGCGTAACGGGGGCGCCTTCTGGGGGCAATGGTGGTTTTGAATAGCCGCTGCGTAACGAGCAGAGACACAGCACAAGCAGATCCGGCTTCTGCGGGAACCGCCACTGCATGGGACAGTTGAGTAAGTGGCCCGACGGGATGCAATGGAAGCAGTGGGGACACCTACACCGAGCAGGGGGGGAGGGAGGTCTTGCTTGGGAAATGGGAACAGGCAAGCTGATAGGGCCGAGGCCTCGAACTGCCAATAAAGCCCGGCGACTCGTGGTGGGAAATAGACGCCCACCGGGACAAAGGAGCGGCACTGGTGTGAGGTAGTGCTGTGAGTGTAGGGTGGCCCCAAAGAGCGACCTCTGGCTGCAGATTCCGGTTACAGGGATGGGTTACACTCGAGGAGAAGAGTTGAAGGTACACATTGTGCTAGAACGCCCGTTTTGAAGATCGAGTTTCGTCAAGGTTAAGCACACAAGGAAGCGGCGACACGCGGAGGGGGAAGGGACAAGAAGGAGCTGGGAGCGCTGAGTGACGACCTGGGTAGATAAGCCGTGGCTACTCGAATGGTGTGCTATATCCAGCAAAGGGGGGTTGGATTCTTCAATATAGCACCTCCATGGTAGTAAAAAGTGCCTGGCTTCCACGGACCACGGAAGACGGTACCGATGGACGTGCATCCCGCACAGCACAGATAACATGGGATACATACACTGCACCATGTTTGGTTTCCCATACCTCTTCTCAATTGGCAAGAATGACGACGCCTTCATGTTGGGTTGATGTCCATCGCGCATTGTATCGCCATCGGGCTCTTCGGCCCCTGCTTGGACACTGTTCCTGAAGTAGTTCCTATGCCGAGGACAAAGTCTTTGAGGTGAGCCACGAGACTCGAAAGCAAAGAGACGAATCGTGACCGGGACTCGCATATGCAAGTGAGCAAATCTACTGGACGACGGTAACTCAAAGTCTGGGCCCTGCTCTGCCGAGTTGGACAAAAGAGGTGCGAGGGATAAAGTGTGATAGGTGCGAGGTTGCGGAGGGGAGGACTTGCCAAGCATGCCAAGCGCTTCTTGGAGGGGCAATGACCCCTGTGGTTGGTCAGGAAGTAAACGATGCCCAGCTGCCCATCGACAGCAACCGCCCGACCCCTGCTGCTCATCGCCTTCCGTGCCGCCAATCACCGGCCCCGCACTCCGGGGGGGCCAAAATGCGTGCGAAACGAGTGCCCAATCAGTGGGCTGATTGCCGTGATCGAGCTGCCGGCCATGCAGGTGGGCGGCAAGCCGCGCCGCACGGGCTGCCGCCGTCGTCTCTCTCCCGCCTGGCCCAAGCACCGAGGGTCTGAACCCTCGCTCTTGTGAAAAAGACTCTTCTTCGCCAGCTGCCGCTGCTGCGAAAGTCCATGCCAGGGAAACATGCCACTTTTGCCTGACCTTTTGATCCTTCCCCGCCTTTTCATCCAAACATTTTTGACGCCTTGACCTTTGACAGTTGTTGCCCGCTTCCTGATGATATCCGCAGCAAGAACATGGACATGCATGCTACATGACATCTCCAGATTCTTGATTTGGAATATCTTGTCCGTACGATTTTCGCATCAATGTATTTCGTACTGACCACCCTATGCAGTCAGCATCACTGTATCTGTCTGGATAAAGATCAAGACTTGCCAATACTTCATTCGGCTCTTCCCAACACACTTGGTTTTGCATGATCACTGCATAGCGAACCAGAGTTCTGCCCACCACGCTCTGTATTTTTAGCCCTCCTTTACGATATAACGGTGGTGGTCTGCAGGAGGACGAGCCCGATCATAGGGTCTCATTCACTTACTCGGCTGGCTAGCACAGAATGGTGCTCTTGTGTAACGAAGCGAAGGGGATTGCTCCAACTTAGCCTATGGTGAGAGCCAGGTCCAAATGGCTGACGCTCTGCAGATGTCTGCCCATCACACTGGTTCGCGATGCGTAGGCGGACGTTGCTCTCCCTACCTAGCGTATGTACTAATTATAAGTCATGTCGGGCATGTGGCAACAGGTTTCTAGACCCCCGAGTGTGCCCTGAATGGCCATGTATGTATTGTACACGGGTAGCTGTCTCAGCTGCCGTGGAACGGTATTTGTATGTACAAGCAGCCTGGGCAATCTTGCAGAGCATTTGTCAGGAACAGTAGAGATGATCAGTTCTTTGAAACGAGACACACCGCTGCTCTGCATCGGAAAGGTATCTCAGATAGATTAACGCCGGCTCGAGCCTGGTACATCGGGAATCGAATTTGCTTTACGGCGTTGAGGCGCTGATGGTTTCCTGGATCTCGGAATCGGATTGCTCCTTGGCCATGTTCGGCAGCTTCCTCTCCCGGGGGCAAGGCTCGCCATGAAGCTGAAGCACAGCCTCGGTATCTTGACCGAAGCTGAATTACAGAGGTGTGCTGGTGTGCAACGGAGGCACTGGACTATGCCATACACAGTTGATCTAGGCTCATCGATCTCGTGAAAGTAGCTCATCCCAACACCTAGACAGCTGCAAGCTGCCGGGTGTGGCCGCAGCCCTTCGCAAACCTGTCGGCCTGGTGATCTAGGTCGGGATGACACCGTGGGGGGCCCGAGCAATGCCACCCAATACTAGCCTTCTAGCCAGTATGCCGGATTCCTCGACAAAAGCTGGGGTCAAACGGCCCTGCATTTGCATGCGGGCATGGCCGGGGGAAGGGGCCCGACGTCTTGCTGCCCGATTTTGATGAAACAAGCGATGAGATCGTATGCTTTGGAGGTTTCCAAGGTCTAGCCCACCTCCGAGTCCGCCTTATCCTCAACGACTGGTTGATGAGGCTTACTTAGCTTGCTGTACTGCCAGCAAATCGTCTGTGCCGAAGAAAGCACACATACCACTAGGGTAAGCTATGTTACCCTCGGTGGGCAGCAAGCAGCGAAGGGCACTCTTTTGACAGTCCAGGGTTCAGTCAGTAGGCCTCTCTGACCAAGAGGACTGATACGTCTGGCTTAGGCATCGATGAAATTGCATGTTGTAAGATTTATGGCCAACCGGGAAAGAAAATCGAAACTCAGAACGCTCTTCCTATGCCTGAGTTAAGCAATCATCGAATGGCACACTAAGGACCAATCCAAAGACGGGAGGAAAAGAAGAAAAATGACCTGCAGAATAGAACGGGAAGAGAGAACAAGTGATGGAGAGTGAAACCTGAGAGTTGCTTCTACGATGGAATCAGAGGACAGCAAGGAACAGAGTCAACTTGATCTCTCTAGTATGTTCATATATAGTATATGCAGCCCACTTACTTCTCATGTTCTATAACCGTTCACCTTCTACAGTGCCACGGCATATGACGTTTCGCACCACCCGGTTACTTGATAGTTGGCTTGTGTCCCGCCGTGATGGAAGCTCCGTCAACTCTCAGCAGAACCCGGCGCCGATGGACCCGGATGCGGTCATTTGTCCGGACTCCGTAAGACGCTTCCCTGGAGATGGCCGTTTCAACTAGGAGCAGCTTCAAGCCCGCAAACACCGTTTTCGAAGAGAACAATATTAGCATTAGAAGTTGAGCTCATTGTCTGTTGTGTGATTTCGTTGTTGCTGTCTTTATCGGCGTTCGTTGGATTTACGGATAAGCCTTATCGACAACGTGGGGCAATTACGCTAACTGAATCTAGCATAGCGGCAGTTGCTCCTCCAGCAATCAGTTGGCAGGATTGATTGTCAGGCCTAAACTATGACTGCACACGAAAATCGAGAAATATCGACGACTCATTCTTGCACATCGACGACATTTGCCTCGCAAGGAACACCGCACCGTCGACGAACTTGGGGTACAGAAATTAGTCCCAACTCACCGCCCACGGCTAGCGTCATCATCCCAGGTAGACCTTACACAGCGAACAATCAATCACACAGAGGAGGGGCGGAACAAAAAAATATTTGCTACCCCGCGAATTCATCATGTCGGCCAACGGTGACAAGTTCGGCAACGACATCGAGTCCGAGTCCGACTCGGGCAACGAGTCGCACCTCGACGCTCACGAGTCGGATAACGAGGTGGCTGAGAAGCCCATCAAGTCCGCTCTGAAGAAGACAGCCGCCCCTGCCCCTGCCGTCCAGCGGCCCCCGCTCCCGCCACAGACAGACCCCAAAGACCTCGATATCAAGAGCTTGAACCCCCTAACGCCCGAGATTATTGCGCGGCAAGCGACGATAAACATTGGCACCATCGGCCATGTCGCTCACGGAAAGTCAACTGTGGTGAAGGCCATTTCGGGAGTGCAGACGGTTCGTTTCAAGAACGAGCTGATCCGCAACATTACCATCAAGCTTGGATATGCCAACGCAAAGATTTACAAGTGCGACAACCCAGAGTGCCCGCGGCCAACATGCTATCGAAGCTACAAGAGCGAGAAGGAGGTTGATCCTCCTTGTGAGCGGGAGGGCTGCTCGGGGACGTACAGGCTACTACGTCACGTATCGTAAGGCGTCCTTGCTGCTTTGCGCAAGCCTCCTAGATGCATTCCTGGGGAGACTGACTCGGAAATAGCTTCGTCGATTGCCCTGGTCACGATATTCTCATGAGCACTATGTTGTCGGGCGCTGCCGTCATGGACGCTGCGCTTCTGCTCATTGCCGGAAATGAATCTTGCCCCCAACCACAGACCTCGGAGCACTTGGCGGCCATCGAGATCATGAAGTTGGACAAGATCATCATCCTGCAAAACAAGGTCGATCTCATGCGACAAGAGGCGGCCAAGCAGCACTATGACTCGATCCTCAAATTCATCCGGGGTACCGTGGCCGCCAAGTCGCCCATCATCCCCATCTCCGCCCAGCTCAAGATCAATATCGACGCCATCAACGATGCGATCGTCAACACCATTCCGATCCCCCCAAGAGATTTTTCCATGGATCCCCACATGATTGTTATTCGGTCGTTTGATGTCAATAAGCCCGGTGCTGAGATTGACGAGCTCAAGGGTGGTGTTGCCGGTGGTAGCATTCTCCACGGTCTACTAAAGCTCGGCGACGAAATTGAGATCCGGCCCGGTATCGTAACGCGTGACGACAAGGGCGACCTGAAATGCACGCCCATCTTCAGCCGGATCGTCTCGCTCAACTCGGAAGCCAATGACCTCAAGTATGCCGTTCCTGGTGGTCTTATCGGTGTTGGTACCCGCATCGACCCTACCCTTTGCCGAGCCGATCGTCTGGTCGGTTTCGTCCTGGGTCTAAAGGGGCGTCTTCCGGAGATTTACAGTGAGATCGAGGTCAACTTCTACCTTTTGCGTCGTCTGCTCGGTGTCCGGACCGCCGACGGAAAGCAAGCCAAGGTCGACAAGCTGGCAAAGAATGAAGTTATTATGGTCAACATTGGCTCTACCTCAACCGGTGCCAAGGTTGTCGCCATCAAGAAGGATGCCGCCAAGCTCCAGCTGACAAGCCCAGCCTGCACAAATATTGGAGAGAAGGTTGCCCTGAGCAGACGTATTGAGAAGCATTGGCGTCTTATCGGCTGGGCCACTATCGCAGCGTAAGTCCTAATGAACCATAGCAGACTCAGAGTTCACATTGCTGACATGTATTACAGTGGTGTAACACTCGAGCCCAGCACTAAATAGATGTAATTTTCCTTCTATAGTAAATCAAATGAGAAGGCACGAGTTACGAGTGGTCGGTCGTTTCCCTTCCAGGCTCTTGGTCTGTGGTCCCTCTGAGTTACATGACAAGCACACATGGCTTGAGACCTGGAGTGCGCTGATATGTGGCGAGGAGGGGATGGATATGCATCGTCCATAGCTTCGGGAATTTGGAACAGGACTGGTTAGAGCAAAAGGGCGGAAAATTGGGCCTTTAGAGATGATTATGGAGTGATTATGGCAGCGGTGCAGGCCTGCCAGCTTGTTGCGTATTTGCTTGAAATAGCCACAGGCCGGGTAACTCATATTCAGCCTCCTTCTCCAGCATGCGTCTCCTTTTATCTATTCTCTACCGTCCTCTCCCATCTTACTTCCTCACCTTCCGAGCATGCTTGACCAGATTCTCAATGACCCCCTCAAATGCCTCCCGATCGCCTATCTTCTCGTCCGTCCGCTTCTGCCAGTACTCCAGCACCCTCTGCGCCGTCCCTTGCATGGCCTCGAGCCGCTTGACGTGGGCCCGCATTTCGTCGTCCGTCATGCCGTTCAGCGCCGCGTCCGTCATCATGCACGCCTGTCGCGCAGAGACAAGGTCGAACAACCTCTCCGGGTCAACCCTGCCTCCGTAACCACCACCACCCTTGCTACCGTTGCCACCACCACCACCACCAGTCCTCCCAAGCCCGCTGTCGCTAGCCGCCTTCTTCCCTTTCCCACCACCTCCACCTCCCCCCGCGGCTGAGGGGTTCAAGAACCTCCCATGCGCATCCTCACCGCCGCCACCACTGCCGCCTACATAGACGGATGCAGACGACCCGCCAACTCCTCCCCCTCCCATCCCGCCGCCGGGTACCGTCAACCCGAAAGTAACGACCGACGAGCCCGGCGAGTCGTTGTCGAACTCGGACCGGCCGGCGCGGAGCGAGAGGGAGCTGGACGAGGACATGCGGCGGAGGCGCAGCGAGGGCAGGACGAGCTTCTTCTGCTTGGACGAGGCCGGGAGGATCTCGTCGAGGTCGACGGGCACGCCGAGCGAGACGAGGAACAGGCGGCGGATGCGCGAGCGGATCCAGTCGGGCGGCTGCAGTGGCGGCGGGGCGACCAGCTGCGACCAGAGTGAAGCGGAGCGAGGGGTCAAGAAGACGGGGTTGTCTTTTGGAGGTTGTTGATGGGGCGGGAGGGGGGTGGAGGAGGAGAGTGAGGATGGTGGGAAGAGGGCGTCTAGGTAAGGGGCGGTGAGGGAGTAGATTTCGGGGGGGTCGAGGTCCTCGAAGTTTGGGACAGGCTTTTGAGGTTGAAAGGTAGGTGTGTTAGTTGGGTGGTTGGGCTCAGGGACTGGGAGGGGGATAACTTACGAAGGGGAGAGACGGCACGAAAGGAGTTTGGGGCAGTGGAGGGGCGGATGCTCCCTGGGCTTCTTGGAAGGAGGTGTCGTCGAAATCACCAAAGTCGCCCCCTTCGTCGCCTTCTTCGAAATCATCAAAGTCATCACCGAACTCTTCATCCCTGTCGTTCCCCTGCTGCTCGGCAGTGCCCTCCGCAGCGGTTACGGCGCTCCAAGGCGGGGATGACCCAGGGCTTAACGGGGATCTTTTCAGAGCAAGCGATGATTTTCTTCTTGAGCGTGCCGGTGTGGGAGGAGTACTTAGAGATGGTGATATTGGAGTATCTACGCAGTAAAAGGCAAGTCAATACAGGCTATGGAAAAGATAAAACGAAAGAAGGGAGAAAGCATCCAGCACAGAAAGTGGCAGGCTATGCGTCCGTACCGTTTGCTGCTTCTCCGCCCTTCTCTACCCGCTGACCGTCTGCCTTGACGAGCAGGTCGGGACTGGGATCCGACTTGTGCTTCTCGTCAACCTCGGGGTGTGTCACTGCGCCCTCGGCATCCGGCGCCTCCTCCACCACAGTCTTGGGGATGGGATGCCCGCCGGGCGTTGGCGGCCTGCCCACATGCTGAGGTTCAGGCGGGGACGGGTCACGAGGGTCGGGAATGATAGCTATCTCATCTGGCGCCGCGTCCTCCTCCCTCATGCGATAGGCCTGGGTGCCGGGGACTTCCCCGTAAGCCGGCTTGTCGTCAACCCGCTCAACCCTTGTTCTCGGGATAGGCGAGGCTGGAGACGGAGAGGTCGGGTCGGGCCCGGATTGGGCATCTGAATAGTGCTCTTCCGAGTCGGATGCCTCTGCTGGGAGACGGTTAGTCTTTTAGACTGGTCTGCCCAGTAAGGATGACGACAAAGCGAGCGACGGTACCTAGATCATGGGCGCCTGGGTCAAGAGTGCCTTGCCTGACAGGAGGCGTCAGACTATCCCGCCGTCCCGACATGGTCGCTGCAGATGAGCCGAGCTGTCCTGGCAGAAATAGTGGTGTCTGATTGTTGGCTTGAATTGCAGGTCTCTTATTAGGGGAGTAGGTGGATAGGACCCCGAATCACGGGCAATTGAACCTGGTTTAGTTTTGAGCAGAATGTGTCGGAGATATTAGTGACCACTGAGCTTCTGCCCAGGGAAAATGGGCAATGTAAGTACGTTCAGAAAGAAGTGGTCAAGCCCTCGAAAGCCCAGGTTGGGTATGATTTGAGGCATATGCTGATATGCTCTCGTTCTAGCCAAGATCGATCTACGACGGTCCAGGCCGCCGATGAACAGCCGACAATCCAGGCTTCCTGGTTCTCTCAGTGGGAGATGGACCGGCCAGCTGCCAGCAGGACCAGTGTGTGGAATGTGGAGCAGAAGCCCGGGGCGCAGATCAGAGCATCGAAAATGCTTGGCGCCTTGGTGGTGGGCTCGAGGTGGGGTCGGGTCAAGCCACACCTCAGCAGCTTGGGCCATCGCAGCGTTCTTGGCAAGTTGGCATGTCTGCGCTTCGCTCCAATCAAAGAGCTGGACTGAGCTGAGCTGAGGCTGACACGCCCATCCAGGTTCTTGGCCCAAAAAGTTGAATTGGAAACATTGAAAACAACACAAGAGCTGCTCTCCAACCGGAGCGTGTTGCGTTTGACTTTATCCCAGAGCTTCCCCGCTAAGAATCAAGCCCTTGCAGGTTTTGGAGACCGACCGATTCATTGAGAAATTTGTGCTCCACCAGGCAACGTTCAAGTTAACCACCAGCCTTCCCGTCACTTTGCGCTTCCTTGTCTTGGACGCGCCCAAGTCGGGCAGCACCTTTGATCGCGTTGCCTAGTTTCCCCTTCTTGACAGGATCCTAGCCAGCGTACTAAAATCCCGCAGAGTCGCTTGTTTTGCAGCAACTCGCAGACCGACGCACAACACCGCAAAAATGGCCTTCAACTTCAGCACACCTTCTTCAAGCGCCGCTTCGGGCCAAGCGACCACATCTACGACTGCCCCGGCCACAGGTAGCCTTTTCGGCGCAGCTGGATCAACTCCTTCATTCTCGTTTGGTTCTGCAGCAGCTGGCACAAATACTCCCCAGACTGGAGGTGGCTTGTTTGGAGGGTCAACGGGAACCAGCGGGCCTACTCTCTTTGGTTCCTCAGGTGCTACGAGTACGCCGACGAGTGCGCCCGCAACCAGCACACCGTTATTCGGCCAGACAACGAGTGCTTCTTCCGGAGGAAGCTTGTTTGGCGGCGCCAGCAAACCAGCAGGAGGGAACATTTTTGGTGGTACCTCGACACCAGCGGCAGGGGCGAACGCATCCTCCACGCCTACGTCAACCAATCTGTTTGGCAGTCAACCCGCTACCACTGCCGCGCCCGCTGCTGGCACACAGGGAACTACAACAGGTGCCTTGTTCGGATCTGCGGCTAGTGCGCCTCAGTCTGGATCAGCCACGCCGGCGACGGGTGGTGGCTTGTTTCAAAACACTGGCACTTCTTTGTTCGGCAACCAAGCAACTCCTGCGAAGCCCTCATTTGGAGGGTTTGGATCCACGACACCGGCAGGGGCGCCTCCAGCCGATGCGTCTAAATCTGCTGGGTCCAATCTGTTTGGGGGCGGTGGAGCTTCGTCAAGTACTTCTGGGAGCTTGTTCGGCCAATCTACGACTCCAGCTTCCACCACCACTCAATCACAAACCGGGACTGGCGCGACGACCGGATCAGGCAACATCTTCCAAGCTAACACTGCTCAGACGCCTGCTACGGGAGGTTTGTTCAGCAACGCCCAACCTGCTACTTCCACACCCAGCTCTAGTGCGCCTTCCGCAGCCACCCCGGCTACAGGCCAGCAGTCGCTCTTTGGCAGTGCGCCTACCACGTCCTCTCCGGCAGCGTCGAGTTCGACTGCACCCAAGCCTCTGTTTGGAAATGCCCCTGCAAACACAACCGCGGCATCTACACCTAGCTTGTTCTCGTCAACAACTCCCGCCACCACAGCAGCCACTGGCTCCACAACGGCGGCCGGTTCCTTGTTTAATCTGAAGCCGTCGACCACTGGTGCATCGGCCACCCCAAGTACCACCGCTGCGGCACCGAGCCTGTTTGCGTCGCAGACTGCTTCGACCGCTGCACCGGCTACCACCAGTACGACGACCGCTGGCAGCACTACCGCCCCCGCAATTTCCGCCCCTGCAGCCACCACTGGGACTAAACCGGCCGACGCCACGGCAGCTCCGGCTTCGCAGAACGCGAAGCCCGCAGGTGGCGCCTCACTGTCGGCTTCCACAATGGGGCCGCCATCTCAACTACCCCGGCTCAAGAACAAGACAATGGACGAGATCATCACGCGGTGGGCGACCGACCTGTCAAAGTACCAGAAAGAGTTCAAGGAACAAGCGTCCAAGGTCGCTGAATGGGACCGAATGCTGGTCGAGAACGGTGAGAAGATTCAGAAGCTTTATTCGAGCACCTACGAGGCCGAGAGAGCGAGCAATGAGATTGAACGCCAGATCTCCAACGTGGAGAGCCAGCAGGAGGAGCTCTCATTGTGGCTGGACCGGTACGAGCAGGATCTGAACGAACTCTACGCCAAGCAGGTAGGCGCCAATGAGCAGGTGGCCGGCCCGGACCAGGAACGTGAACGCACGTACAAGCTTGCCGAGAAACTGACGGACCGCCTCGATGACATGGGCAAGGACCTCACCAAAATGATCAAGGAGATCAATGACATGTCGAGCACCCTGAGCAAGGGCGGCAAGGCCGACGATCCGGTAAGTAGCACTTTACTCTTTGTAATCGTGCATGGTGCGCTAACTGTTACTTTTGCAGCTGACGCAGATTGTCCGCGTCCTGAACGGGCATCTGGCCCAATTGCAGTGGATCGACTCGAATACCACTGCACTCCAGGCCAAGGTAGCGGCGGCTCAGAAGGCGAGTGGCGCCATGGGTGCAAATGTCACGGCTCAGGAATCGGATGCTGCGGAGAGCTTTTACCGGTCCTACCGGGGCTCGTACAAGTGAATTTCTGAGCGTCGTTAAGTTAATGTGGTTGTGTTGGGCTAGGTGTTGGTTTGTTTGATTAGGGGTTTCGGCAGGCTGTGCCAGGGAAGAGCGGAAAGGACAAGCCGGCATCGTATCACATCCGACGAGTATACTGGACGATGCCGGCTAGTAGTAGCACAGAGCAAGAGCTAGGTAGCTTGACTTTGCTCGCAGAATGAAATATGTACTGTACAAGTGGTTTATCCTACCCCCCGGTGACAAGGAAAAATGAGAGCTGCGTGATTCTTAACGCTTGTCAATTCAAGCAGATGTTAACAAGCACCCATTGCCGGATCCATTCTCTCTCTCCCAAACACATAGACTGATGACGGACTCCGTTCATAGCGCAGGATGATTGTCGGGGGGAGAGGCAGACCAAATCCCATTTTAGTTGTGCTCGCCCCCTTGCTCCCGGGTAATCTCGTCGCTGTTCGAATTTCATATGGAATCAGTCTCCTACTCTTCTCATGCCGAGAATCTACAGCAAAGTAGGGAAAATCTCACATGTGGTCAGAGAGAGCCTTGATGTGAGCCTGCTGCTCGGCAAGCTTCTTCTTAAGCTCCATGAGCTTCTCCTTCTCGCGCATGCGGATGGCCAGATCCTCGTTGGCGCGCTCCCGCCTTTGGAAAGCGTCTCTGTTGTGGTTTAAGGAGGCTGGTTAGCTTCTATCCCTTCAATCGATTGCTGGATTGGGTTCATCTGATGCGATTGGGCGCATGGATGGAACTGTGTACGCAGGAACGCTCTGGCCTGGGTTGAAGAAGATGACTTGGGCTGGGGGCTCGGGAGAGGCGGGTGTATATATGGCAGGCGTCATCTGACATCTATGCACGTCTCATCTCCGCGCCGACGGCCAAAACAAGGAGCTGAAAAGCTTCGTAACTAGTTGGAAAGAAGCTTACCCTTGGCCACCGGACTTTGGCGGTGCGCCGGTGTCGCCGGCCGACAGGGCGCGCGCCGTCGTGGAGAAAGGGCGAGAAAGCATCGCCGTTCGGGCGAGCCGAGTACCAGAAGTGCGCAACATTGTGTCGTGGATTGTTCGAGGAAGTCTCAATTGCGAGAAGCAGTGACAAGTCTGACTGATGAAAACACAAGCTCTTCTCAATGCGCTGCTTTGATGGAGGTGCTGCTAATGTACAGCTTGCTTCGAGCTTGGTGGCCTGATCGTCAGTGCTGACAGCGCTGTGGAGAGCTTTTCGAACCGGACGTCACCGGGCTCATACGACCCACTTTTCTCACCCGCTGTTACAGGTAACTTACGAAGTACGATAGCTTAATAAGCGTATTTACATGCAACTCATGCTTACAGTAATTTTAACGAACACCAAGTAATGCTAGCCTAAGGCATTGCATTTGTTAGCGTCAGGCATCAGGTCTTCTATCCCGTGTCGGGTCCGGGACCCCGGGCGACTCGCGGGGCAGCGGTACTGACACTGCGAGTTACCCCGCAGGAGCAAGAGCCCCTCTCATGAGGTGATCTTGAAGGGCTCAGTGCCGACAGGACTATGGATACCAGAATGAAGATGGCATCCATACTTTAGGTACGTTACCTACTGTTACCTGGCCGCCTACGTTAACTGGTGAAAAAAAGATGAGTTATGTAGTACTGTGTAGCCGCCGTACTAATCACAGTTGTAAGCAAGCGTGTCCCTTCTTGAGAAGGCAGTTAATTTTGGCCGATGGGCCCTGGGTTCTCAAGTTCCCATAGCTCTCCGATTCACTATGTACCTGCATTGCTGCGTTGGGGAGGAACGAAAGGGTTTGCCTATCAGCTCCTGTCCTCTCCATCTCAGCAACCCCAGCAGTACAAGCAGTCTGAGGCAAGCGGTTGATTATCCAAGAACCAAGATTCGGGTGTTGAGCTCGGGTTGGATCTCAGAGTAAACCCGAGATGCAATCTGATAATCTTGGAACTTTATATCTACGTTAGGCTGTTGGTGCAACATTAGTGCACGCTGCGTCGTGGCCTAGCACCGGTAGCCACCTCCCAGAAGTAGGACAGCTCGGACGGATTTGTTGAGGTTGAGCCGCATGAATGAAACTTCCTCAAAACTACGTTATGCGCTGGGCTGCTGCTGCTGCTGCTGCTGCCCGATTGCTCGTATCTCATCGGCGATCGCCAGTAGAAAGGTAGGTGGCATACATGTCTCCGGCCAGGCATCATGGGGAAGAGGAGCGAGACGACGCGACTTAACATTGTATCTACGCGGGTGGCTCAGTATGTGTATGCACTAAAGTTGGAAGTTGGAGCGCCGCTCTCGAATCTTCATCAGTTTCAAATTCAAGGAGCTTGACAAGTGACGTACATGCTTGGAACTGCGCCGGCGCCAAAGAGAGCTCGTCACGTGTTGGCCTTGGTTCCGGGGGTCCTTTAACAGGAGTGCCGTGCCAGCCCCAATTTCACTGGCCGCCAGCCCACGCATCCCGCCCTGTGTTGTCGCTGTGCTTCGCCTTGCCCCTTCCCTCATTTCCAACTTTGCATCCAAAACCGGTCACGCTGCCCCGTTTTCGTTTCCTTCCCCAAAACATCGAACGACCTCACCGCATTCGCAAACCTTTTTGCAATTAACCCTCAACGCCGCGACTTTTCCGCGATCATCGTCTTTGACTTCCTTTCGCCGTCCTAAATCCTCAAGAGGTGAGTCTCCCTTGTTCTCCCTCCGCTGCCATAAGCTGCATACAATCCCGCCTATTGTCGTCATCGACGATGCGACCGCACCTTGCCTTCCAACTCCAGAGCCACTCTCACCATATCCTCGTCGCCCCGGTCTGGAAATTCAATTGCCCCGAAGACCAGCGAAAGCCATGCAAGAAGCCTTCGTGTATCACAGAGCCCAAAGGCTGGACTAGGCTGCGCATCCACCCCACCGAGAGCGGGGAGCCTCTCCCTCTGCCCGCCTTAGTCGTGAAGTCGGGACGGCGCATGCGCGTCAGCACCAGCAGAGCTGTGGGAACGCGATCTGAATCATGGGCACAACAGTGTTGCTTCTTGCCCTTTGTTTTTATTCTGCTTTTGTTCTGTGTTTTGGTTTTGCCCGTACACGCTGAGCTCACCGACACGAAGAACCCCACCTGGTCCGTGATCTGCCGCTAACATCAGTCTCCCAGACACTCAGATCAGAAAAAATGGGCCACGAAGATGCTGTCTATCTGGCGAAGCTCGCCGAGCAGGCCGAGCGCTATGAGGGTATGTATACCTAGATTCCGAATATCTCCGTTTACTGATGCTGACGCGCCACTTCGCCCCACAGAAATGGTTGAGAACATGAAGATTGTCGCCTCCGAGGATCGTGATCTTACCGTCGAGGAGCGGAATCTTCTGTCTGTTGCCTACAAGAACGTCATTGGTGCCCGTCGCGCGTCGTGGAGAATTGTCACCTCGATCGAGCAGAAGGAGGAGTCCAAGGGCAACTCTACCCAGGTCGGCCTGATCAAGGAGTACCGCCAGAAGATCGAGGGCGAGCTCGCCAAGATCTGCGAGGATATCCTCACTGTTCTCGACAAGCACCTCATTCCCTCGGCTAAGAACGGGGAGTCCAAGGTGTTCTATCACAAGATGTTAGTGCCTTCCCTGCCATGTTTCATGATTCGTGACTGACATCCCCATAGGAAGGGTGACTACCACCGCTACCTCGCCGAGTTTGCCGTTGGCGACAAGCGCAAAGACTCGGCCGACAAGTCTCTTGAGGCTTACAAGGCTGCTACCGAGGTTGCGCAGACGGAGCTCCCGCCCACTCACCCTATCCGTCTTGGCCTTGCCCTCAACTTCTCCGTCTTCTACTACGAGATCCTCAACGCCCCTGACCAGGCCTGCCACCTGGCTAAGCAGGCGTTTGATGATGCCATTGCCGGTGAGTTATCCTCCACCGGTCTCAATGCATGAAACTGTTTGAAAGCGTTTCTAACACGGCGGAAACACAGAGCTCGACACATTGAGCGAGGAGAGCTACAAGGACAGCACATTGATCATGCAGCTGCTCCGTGACAACTTGGTACGTTTACGGTTCGGGAAGTTGGGTGTGGGGGATTGGTTTTTACTAACATGTCGTAGACTCTTTGGACCTCGTCCGAGGCTGAGCAGCCTGCTCCCACCGGTCACGCCGAGGCCCCTCAGCAGGAGGAGCCGAAGGCGGAGGGCACTGCGGAGGAGCCCAAGGCTGAGTAAGCGGCCTATTGCGTGTCTCATGGTCTCTTGATAGTGATAACCCTTGGTTTGGTAAATCCCTCGGTGGAAACGGTGTCTTTGGAGCGCGGACTGGAGATCCCCCTCGTACCTTTGCATGTTTACGGCAGATACACACAACCAGGACTTGTGGACTGTTTCTCGCGGCAGCTTGAGGGCTAGAGTGCAGCATTTTGGGGGGCTCTTTTTCTGTTCTCAGATTGCCTGCCTTTTAGACCCTTGACAGAGCGGTGAACGTCTGTACAAGGAAATGCAAAAAACTTTTTCACATGAAGTGTATCGGCCGGTGATTTGCGCTTGTCCCATTAAGGCATCTAGACCGGAAGCACAATTTTCCTGCCAGCACGCCATTCCCTTGGGCATTACAGCCCCAGATATTATTCGAGATGATAAGTATAAAAGTAGATGTTCTGGGGTATCTGTCTATCCAGGACGCTACAATGCAGTCGTAATCGAAATACAGCAATGCTGCTTTCAACTCGGTCGAGGCCACATATAAACACCACAAGGAAGCATAGAATCATCACTGTGCCCCTGCTTTCCAGCTGTTCGTCCTCCATCTCCCTCTCATTTGACGGCCCTCAACAACCCCCGGTCCCGTTCCCGTTCCCGTTCTCATTCCCAACATCCTGCTGCTGCTGCTGTTGATCGCCACCACTACCACCACCCTCGTTACCTTCGTCCTCCTCCTCGACAACAGCAAAGTGCACCCTCAACCAGAGACTGCAATCCGCGCAGCCAATCATCAGCTCGCCCACGTCGGCCGCCTCCTCCAGGTCGTCGGTGCTAAACAGGTACCCGCGCGGATTGCCGCACCGGCAGGCCCGGTAGTACCACCCCACTCCTCCTCCTCCTCCTCCTCCTCCTCCTCCTCCTCCTTCTTCTTCCGCTTCTTGGTCTCCTCGTTTACTGTCGTGATCCTCTTCGAAATAGGCGAGATCGTCCAGGTCGACTGTCTCGATCCCCGTTTGGAAATCCTGCCTGTGATGGCTCTGATTTTCGCTCTGGCTATGATGCCCTTGATTAGTGGTGGTGCCGTTGTCTGTGTTGCCGAGGAGGAGGGACTGGTCGTAGGCTGCGCGCTGGGAAGGGCGGGAGAGGGTTGCATAGGCGGTGGAGATTTGGTCGATTGTAAAGGTTGGTCTTGTGCTTGGAGCTGTTGCTGTTGCTGTTGCTGTTGATGTTGTGTTCTGGTGATGCTTGTTGGTCTTGTCTGGGTGGTGGGAGAGCAGGGCGCGACGGTAGGCCCGCTTGATTAGGCCGGCAGGGTCGTCTGCTGAGGAAACGGCTGCTTGGGAGAGTGAAAGGACCTCGTAGTGGGTTGGCATCGTTGTTTTTATGTCATTTCTCATGACAAGCTTTGAGGATGAAGGGGTTGTGTATAAATGGTCACGTGGAGTTGGTTGGGTTGATGGGTGTCTTAAGGGGGGGGAAATGCAGATAGAATCATGAGAGGCGAATAAGGTGAGATCGGAATGTAAAAAAGTCAAAGAATATGAGAATTGGGCCCGATCACGTGCCACAGTCTGCTCAAGAGCGCTGTGCTAGTGTTCAATCAGCCAAGGGGGTCAGATTTGTTGGTTCGTTTGAGAGTGAACTTGACGGATGAGCAAAAGGGGACTTGAAGGGAGACGTCGGGAACAGTGGCAGATCGACCGTATAGGAGTGGTCAGTTCTTGCCCACTTGGGCCATGTCCAGTTTAACCCTAATGATGGTGTAGCCTTGAACTAATAAGAGCATCACAGAGGGCCTAACTGAACAATGGCAGAAAAAGGGCGGTTCCCTCGCCATGTATCGCACAGGAAGATTCAGGCAGGCTCTGGCTGAGGAAAAAGTGTTGTACAGTATTGGTATGGTACAGTCTAGGTATATCCACGATCTCATAGACAGCTTTCCCCTGTTTATTTGGGGAACTTGAAGGTCTTTGTGAACTTCCATCTCGGCATCTATAATTTGGTTAGTATCATGCCAGGGAACCACAGAATATTCCACGTACACTTCTGTATTGCCTGATGAGCTCCGGCATCTTGAGCATAGCTTCTCTCCTCTTCTCCATCCTGTAGTGCAGCCAAGTCAGCAACATACTCTTGAAGAATCTGCCCACGCAGGCATGGACAACAGGCCGAACGTACTTTGCCTGGAGCTGCCTCTCGTGCTTGTGACCCTTGACCTTCTGCCCAACACCGGTACCCTTGACGCGCAAACCAAGCTCGACCCTCTTGCGTAACCTCTCCTCGGTGCCTTTGGGTGTAAAAGGCAGCAACTCCTCAACGTGGTGTTCTCGCGCCATCTTTACCAACTCAGCCTGTCGGCGCAAGGAGTACTTTGGGTTGTGCCACCTCCCGGTGACGGGGTGTTTGGTCGGCAGAAACGGGTTTGGCGTCTCTTCTTGATACGCTGTCTTGTGAGTTTCGGGGGTTGCGCCGTCGGGGAGGATTGCGGCCGGCGGATACCGCGCGAGGAAAGTTAGCAGCCGGGCCGGGAGCGCCTTGGCCAATTGCACGTTTTTTGATATTGTCGTCGCCATTGTTGAGGTTGGTCGGCGGTGCAGTGAGAAAGAACTGTCACGCGCGGGAGACGTCTCGATGTTCTCCCGTTTGTACAGACAGGCATCCCGATTCCCGACAAAAAAAGCACAGCTGGAGCCGAATGTTCTCTATTAACCCTAACCCTTATTGCATGGAGTCATATTTAACCTAGAGCCCGCCACTAAGCCATGCGTTCTTCGGTTAGGGTGTTATTCCTGCAACGTCAAGGTAACCTGCACCTTGAAGACCAACCTTTGCCCTCAACTTCAAAGCGCAGATTCTGCCGCGATACACAACTCCCGGGTTTTTCTAACAGATAATCACCCTTCCGAATCAACACCTTCCACCACTGCCAGACACTTCTTGGAGCATGGCAGCGAGACGGGTCCCGCTGGACGTGGAGGCGCTGCTTCAGAAGCGGAAAGCGGAAGAAGCGGCCGCATCCAAGCCTAGGTTCATTCCCAAAAAAGAGCGCGAGCGCTTGGAAGCAGAAAAGAAAGCAAAGGAAGAAGCGGAGCGAAGACGCCATGAAGAGCTCAAAAATAACCCTCCATTCGAGCGCGCGGGTACAAATGGCACAAACGGCACCAACGGTGTCAACGGCACCAACGGGGACTACAGATCAAGGCATCGTCCGACACAGCATGACATACCGACCGGTCCGAAGGCAATGCGCCCACATGTTGATGGCGGCGAGCATCGGCAAGGTGGAAAGCGCGGGCGACCGAACGACGAGGACCACAAGCGAGCAGAGATGGAGCGGAATGACGAGGCGGAACTCCGGGCGCGGTACATGGGCCCTGAAGTCAACCAGTCCACATTCTCGGCCAAAAAGAAGAGGAGGAGAACCGCGGCGAACAAGTTTAACTTCGACTGGGATCCGGATGACGATACTAGCAGGCCTTTCGACCCCATCTACGCCGAACGTCCAGACCCCCTTTTCAGGCTGGCGGGCTACGAACATTCGGACGAGCTTATTTTGCGCAAAGCAGAGGCTATACGGCGCGGCGACCCAGAGACCGGAGAGGAGCGCGCTAGGCAGTTGCTAGAGCAGCATGAGCGCATCAAGCAAGCGGCAGAGCGCAAGAACCTTGGCAAGCACTGGTCCGAGAAGAAGTTGGAGGATATGAAGGAGCGGGATTGGCGCATATTCAAGGAGAATTTTGGCATCGCCACCAAAGGCGGTGCCATTCCGAATCCAATGCGCAGCTGGCAGGAGTCCAACTTGCCTCGTCGTCTGCTTGAAATCGTTCACAATGTCGGTTACGACGAGCCGACGCCTATTCAACGAGCCGCCATACCCATTGCGCTCCAGGCGCGAGACTTGATCGGCGTTGCCGTCACAGGTTCCGGCAAGACTGCCGCATTCTTACTACCGCTACTTGTGTACATCTCAGAGCTGCCGCCTCTGAACGAGTACAACAAAAACGACGGACCGTATGCCCTAATCCTTGCACCCACCAGAGAATTGGTACAGCAGATCGAATCCGAGGCCAAGAAATTTGCCACGCCCCTGGGTTTCACGGTAGTCAGCATCGTTGGCGGTCATTCCCTGGAGGAGCAAGCATTTGCGCTTCGAAACGGCGCAGAGATCATTGTTGCAACACCAGGTCGTCTGGTAGATTGCCTTGAAAGGCGGCTGCTGGTGTTTTCCCAGTGCTGCTACATCATCATGGACGAAGCAGATCGCATGATCGATCAAGGCTTCGAGGAACCTTTGACCAAGATTCTCGATGCCCTACCTGTGACGAACGAAAAGCCGGATACGGAAGACGCCGAGAACCCACAGTTGATGAGCCGGTATCTTGGCGGCAAAGACCGGTATCGGCAAACCATGATGTACACGGCAACTATGCCGCCATTGGTGGAGAAGATTGCCAAGAAGTATCTCCGGCGGCCTGCCATAGTGACCATTGGTAATGCAGGCGAAGCAGTGGACACGGTCGAGCAACGGGTCGAATTCATCGCGGGCGAGGACAAGAGGAAGCGCAGGCTCCAGGAGATCCTGAATTCCGGGCAGTTCAAGCCGCCAATTATTGTCTTTGTCAACATCAAGCGGAACTGCGAGATGGTCGCCAAAGACATCAAATCATGGGGCTACTCGACCGTCACGCTACATGGTAGCAAGACGCAGGAGCAGCGTGAGGCATCGCTGGCGTCGCTGCGCAACGGCCAGTCGAGCATTCTGGTGGCGACGGACCTGGCAGGTCGTGGTATCGACGTGCCGGATGTCTCCTTGGTGGTCAACTTCAACATGCCGTCGAGCATTGAGGCCTACACGCACCGTATCGGCCGTACCGGTCGTGCGGGCAAGAGCGGTGTGGCCATCACATTCCTGGGCAACGAGGACGCGGACGTCATGTATGACTTGAGGCAGATTATATCCAAATCCTCAATATCAAAGGTGCCGGAGGAACTGCGGCGCCACGAAGCCGCCCAGTCGAAGCCCCAAAAGGGCGGCGGCGGGAAGAAGCTGGAGGAGAGTGGGGGTTTCGCTGGGAAGGGGGCCTCATGGCAGCAGTGAGTCATGTATGTATGGAGTTTGTTCAATACCTTATGTAATTGATTACATTGGGCCTACCGGGGGTGTCCCGCTCTATGGGTTGAATACGGGAGCTTGGCACTTCTTCTTATTTTTCTTCGCCAGTCGACGCGTGGACTTGGGGAGCTTTGGATCGGGTGGTTGGTCAATCTGATCTTATCAGATGATCAGATAAGATTTCTCCGGATCTAACATCCAGATCAGGCAATTCCAGATCTCCATGACCAATAGCAAATTTACGCAGCGGAGAATCCTCGAACCACTTCAACGACCTGGTGCAGGAGTTACGGGGTGAAGCAGGGGAAATGCTACCTACTGCGTACTGCGACCAAACGGCGCTCCCGCTCTGGAAGTCTGAGGTACATAGGCACTTACCTGTGGCATTTACGTTCCGCGGCGACACCTTAGAAAGGTACCTTAGGTTGCCAAGGTATAACCCACCATTGCGTACCTATTTGTGCTTCGTAGCACCAGTGACTTAATGAACACTACCGCCCATCAAGCCCGTAAATATTGCCGGCATTGTAATGCATTCTTATTGCCGCTGTCCTTACGCATGCTCCTGCCTGGTTCGCTAGAGAAACTGTCAACCGATTTGCTGTCGGATGAATTCTTGGCAGTTCAATCAAGTCGCAACACCTCCGAGACATACCCATCCTCGCTCCCGCGTCGCCGAGGTTTTCGAGACTCGCGGCAATCATCATAACCTCGCGCCAAGACCATGTCTCCCAGGTACTCGGTACTCGAACGCAAGCTGAGGAGCTGACGAGGAGCAGCTGAGGCAGGCGGGCGGGAACAGTTTGCCCCTCCTTGACCCCACCATGAAACCCTTGTCGCCAAGAAGCCGAGAGCTGTTTCCAAAATTTTTTGCACGTCGCTCTGCCGAAGGCACTGTAACTTTGACAGTGTGTGCCTTTGCCTCGAATGAACGGAACCTGATCATGTCCTTGCCCTGATTTCTACCCACCGGTTTTCCTGCCCAGGAGGCTTGCTCCAACCCTATGATGTGAGGTCTCTAGACCTTACGTGTACGGGGAGGTGCTGGTCTCCAGGAATTCCGCTCTCGCAAAACATCGAACATTTCATCCCAGACCGCCCCTCCCCCGCTCCGTCCATCGCTCCCATCAGGTGTCTTGCTGATGAGCGGTGACGGCCCTCGAACAGCGCATGTGAACCGATTGCTGATGAGATACGCCCTTCACTGAACGGCCGAACAATACCTTTCTTTCTATCTATCGATTCTTTGTTCATTCCATATCAGGACTGTTTGTTGTTGGTATCTTCTCCCAACGTGCAGTGTGCATAGTGCCCACTGCCTCTCAAATTAGGATTTAAACAGCTTCATCCATATTTGTTATCATGGAGCCAGCAACCACTCAGCAAGGCAGTCTCACAGCCGAAGCACCATTCTCAGACACAACAATATCTACCCCAGTACAAATCAAGCCCAGGACCGCGGTCATGGAGGCCGTCGAAGACATCACGTACGGCTCCGTTGCCGGCATCGTTGGCAAATACATTGAATACCCCTTCGACACGGTCAAGGTGCGGCTTCAGTCACAACCGGACCACCTCCCTCTGCGATACAAGGGACCGATCGATTGCTTTGCCCAGTCCATCCGGGCCGACGGCTTCCTCGGCCTCTACCGGGGCATCAGCGCTCCGCTGGTTGGCGCCGCCATCGAAAACAGCAGCCTCTTCTTCTGGGAGCGCATGGGCCGCGCGGTCGTCTATGCCTCGGGCTATACGCCCCGCGACCAGCCACTACCATTATCCGCCCTTTGGATGACAGGCGCCTTCTCAGGTGCCATGACCTCCTTCCTTTTGACCCCTATCGAGCTGGTCAAGTGCAAAATCCAAGTTCCCGAGGGCGGCACCGGCGGCACGGCGGCAACGACAGCGCTGAAACCGATCCCCGTCATCAAGGACATTTTCCGGCATCAAGGGCTGCGCGGATTCTGGCATGGCCAGCTGGGCACGCTGATCCGCGAGTCTGGGGGTTGCGCCGCCTGGTTCGGGTCCAAGGAGACCGTCACGGAACTGTTTCGCGAGTGGAACGGGCGGCGACAGCGACGTCTAGCGGCGGAAGCGGGCACGGCGGGGACAGAGATTCTGTTTCCCAGGGACGACAGCGACAGCCTCCCGCTCTGGCAGCAAGCAGTGGCGGGTGCTTCGGCAGGCATGTCATACAACTTCCTGTTCTTTCCTGCCGACACGATCAAGTCGCGCATGCAGACCACCCCGATCGGTCAGGCGCCCGGCCAGAAGACCACGTTTGCAGGCGAGGCGGCCGCCCTGTGGAAACAGGCGGGTCTAACGGGGTTCTACCGCGGCTGTGGGATTACCGTCCTCCGCTCGGTGCCTAGTTCGGCATTCATCTTCATGGTCTACGACGGACTCAAGAAATACTTCCCTATGCAGTGAGCAGTGAGGAGGAAGCGGTTAGAGGGTGTTAGGCCACCCATAATTCAGGCAGTTGGAGGAATGACATTTTCTTTTCTCTTTTCTTGGCAGATTCATAGACGTGAGGGACATGAGTGGATGACGATGTGGTGCTGAAGCAGGATAGATCGGGAACCATGTTTTCCTTTTGCCTTCGTATATCATGCAGCGGGGCGTTGGTGGTCTTCTGGCGGGTGACTGGATGGAGGGGTAGGAAACAGAGATGACTATTTCCATCTGTCTGTCCTTGGGCGAAAAAACTAGAGCACGGTGAAAAGACATGGCGATGTTAGATGTATATATTGGGTGACACTCTACCAGCGGGAAGAGGACACGCTGAATAGAGCGTATATGACCATTACACACACGTCCGGTGTGTAGCCTCTAATCTCTCTCCTTCAGAGACCCTTCGTGGCATTACTGTGACATAATAAACACTACCGTAACCACTACCCCAATCCCCCAAACTCCTTTTCCCACTTAGGTCCTACTACTACCAAACGAATAAGAAGTAGCATTCCTCACAAATCACAATTCCTTTTTCTTCCCCGGCCCAACCTCGTCACGGCCCCGGCTCAAGTCCCACCCGTTCAGGTACCCCGTGCCCGCAGACAGGTATGTCGCGAAGCCGAGCCAGGCGACGTAGGGCGCCAGCAGCCAGCCGGCCAGGCTGTCGACGTTGGTGCCCCACAGCCAGGCGAGATAGGCGTTGATGCCCAGCAGGGCGGCCGCGTCGGCCGTCGCCAGCACGGGCCGGTTCAGCCCGTAAAAGAGCGGCATCCACGCCAGGTTGAGACCCAATTGAATGGTGTACAGGGTTGCGCCCTGGCGGGCGGCGGAGATTGTTGCCTATGCCGTTCGTTGTTCTCCGGGTAAATATGTGCTTGAAGGGTATTTCATGTCCAAGGCTCTCCAAGGGAGGAAAGGGTTGATTAGTACTTACGCTGTTGTTGAAAGGAGAGGTGCCTAGGAACATGGCACGATGCGCGGCATAACCCATCAGCCCGTACAGCGCCGTCCAGACGGGAGGGAAGACGGCGGCTGGAGGCCGCAGAGGCGGTTGTTTTAGGGGAGGTTGTTGGCGTTCGGTCTTTTCGGCTGTTTTATTATCATTTCAGGAGAGAATTAGTTGAGCTGTGATGTGTAAGAGGGGGCATTGGGGCCCGTTGGAGGGTCATACGCCTTGTGCTCCAGCCTGCTGCCGAACCGAGGGCTATAGGGAGCAGGACAGAGCCGGGTAGGCTGCTAAACACGGCGTCGGGGAGGGTGAGCGAGGGTATGTAAGTCGTCATTTTGGGCGAGTTGTAAGAGGTGATGAGTGAAATGGCCCTAATGGAATCTCAGCACTCAAATGTTGCAATGGTTGTTCTCGGAGTTTGCTGAAGCTGAAGCTACGTTGAGAAGTATCGGGTCGAGGGACGGCAAAGTGGACTGAGGTATGACGACATCACGCCCTGTCCCTGGCTTGGCTGTGCAAGTTGCCGCTTCGAGGCTTTCATCAGAATATTTGATAGCAGCTTTTCATCGAATCTTACTACGAAACAGTCCTCTTCATTGTTACAGGGCCCTACGACAAGTTGTTCATCGAGTCTGGGGATAACTGTGTACCCGTGTTCCTTCGTTTTGAGGTGCTCACTGCTAAACACTGATAAGAATCATACGACTACGGATACGGTAAGTACGTAATTACATACATATCCGAACTTCCATCCCTCATATGGTTTTGGTTCTTCTCAAATGCACTGCACTGTACAATACACATAACTAACTGCAAACTTCGATTCTGGGCGACTTGCATCCAAACCCATCACGTTTCGCCGTTTTCGGCCGTTACTAACGTGTGTTGCGCCTTGAGTTTTCCGTCTTCCCTCACTGGCATTAGCGGCAACTAAAAATACCGTACAGTGGTGAACTGTGAAGCTGCAAGGCACAAGTTTCCGAGTCCACACCGCTTTTCCTTAACCGGAGAATTGCGGGGACCCACGTGATCCGTCACCCCAGATCAGCTGCTAGTGGGACTGTAGGGACGGGCAGTTGCCAACCTCCCAACAACTCCACGTCGTCGCGATTGCACGCCAGCATCGCACCTATCGCAACCATCATCCTTTGGTCGGCGAGCCATCACTGCTCCATCACCGACTCCATGTAATTGTTCGTTGGCCCCATTTCCTCTCTTCTGCCTCTTCTTGCTCAATCCCATCTCTTTCTTTTACCCCCGCCTTGGTTATCTGCTCCGCTTTTTGGAGCTACAGTTAGCACGGCGTTCACCTTTTGAGCACCTCTTGACTTCAGCTGTCAGCTTCTTCCTCTCCCGCCTCCATACCTCCTCGTCACGATCACCGGACTCCTCTGCCCGCAGCCCCTGCCCGATTCTCCTGCTTTGGCGGCTTCATGCGCCGATTTTTAATTTCCAATTGCCTCTCCCGCTGATCATCACCTGCTCGCTTCTCTTATCATTGCTGCATCTCAAATCACTTGGGCGGGAATTACACTTTCTAACCGCAAGCATGTCGGCCAACAGTAGTCGCCCGTGGCAATCAATTCCCTATGCCAAACAATCTGCCCAAGATCCTATAACATAGAGCAAGCGCCAAACACACTCTTCGAAAGCGCACCGACAAAAACGCCCTGCTGGGTGACACGACTGCATCCTCCTCTTCACTTCCTGTCCGCTCCCTCGACTCTCCGCGTAGCGCAGCATTCAACTGACCAGATTAATAGCCCATCTCATTGACTGCCATGGATTCTTTTCATTACCGCGATTCGGTACGCTCGCCCGGGGACCGCGGTTGGGGCGGTCGGGACGACCCAAGAATCAAAGACGAAAGAGGAGATAGCTTTTACCGGACCAGATCCCCTGGTGCGTCTCAAACTTCCTTGATCCGACTCCCTTCTGCCTTTTTGATTACCAGCCCTGAAACGCCACCTTTTCCATCTCATTCACTTACGCGCCTCTAGGTGCAGAGCGTAGCCGACGTCGGTCGCGATCGCCTGTCGCGGTGGATCGCTACGAGCCTCGGGGTCGGGGTCGCGATGAGTACGCCGGTACTCGGGACCGGGACGATCGCGCCCGCAGAATTGGATCCCCCCCTGCTAACATCGACCGTTACGTGCCGGGTCAGGATGGCCCTTCGCCCCAGCCATTGACCAATCCGATCCCGGATCCGATCAAATTGCCGTATCAGGTCGGCTTTTCGTACTTCGGCGAATGGTGGAGGGCGAACGAGAGAATTAAGGAGGAGAAGGAGCGACTAAGGACCGGCCGACGCCGCGAACCGGAGCGCGTCCGAGGTCCGCGCGAGGCCCAAGAGGACCGTGAAAAGGAAAAGGCCAAGATTCAGGCCGCTTATGACGCATACAAAGAGGACCTTCAGGCAAAGATGGCTCAGACCTTCGTCAAACAGCACAAAGATGAGCAGTGGTTTAGAGAGCGCTACGTTCCGGAGATTCGGGATGCCTTTCGGCAACAATTGAACGAATCACGCCGCGGCGCATATCTTCGGTGGGAACAAGACCTTGCTTCGGGCGTTTTTGACGAATTTTCTCTTGAAGGCATCCCGAAGAGCGAAAGCAACGGGGCTGGTGGCGTGATTGAGAAGGAAGAGGGAGAAGCAACCGCCGCAAATGAAGTGCTTGGCGTTGGTGATTTGGTCCCGGCCAACAGCAACGAGATCAGGGATGAAAGTCTCTTCCAACCCACGCTGCTTATCAAGACGATTGCGCCCTCTGTTAGCCGTCAGAATCTCGAGGCCTTCTGCAGGGAGCACCTCGGTGAGGGAGAGGGTGGCTTCAAGTGGCTATCTTTGAGCGACCCTAACCCCAGCAAACGATACCACCGGATCGGCTGGATTATGCTGCACCCCGCTCCTGAAGCCCCTACTGCTGCAGATGATGATGCCAAGGATGAAGAGGATGGCGAGTCCAAACCTGTCGCCCCCCGCTCGACCGCAGAGAGGGCCCTTGATGCCATCAACGGGAAAACCGTAAAGGATGAGCAGCGAGGCGATTTTACTTGCCACGTTGGCGTCCATAATCCGCCAGCGAACCCAAGGAAGAAGGCACTATGGGACCTCTTTTCAGCTCCAGATCGCGTCCGAAAGGACCTCCAACTCGCCACCGAATTGGTCAACAAGTTTGAGAGCGATTTCGGTTCGGAATTCAACGCTGCTCTCCAGATTGAAGAATATGTTGACCGGCTGCGTCTCGATGGGAAACTTCAGCCTGCAGTCCCAGTGTCTCCAGTCAAAACGTCAAAAAAGGACCGGGTTACCGGCATGGACGAGGCCCTGGATCAGGAGCGCGAGGAGGGGGAAGATACTATGGGCGCTGTGGACGACAACGAAGAGGATGAAGGGATGGTGGATGATGAGGTCGACGACATTGAACTGTTGCTCACGAAGAAGCGGCTGGATCTCACCATCGAGTACCTGCGCCGTGTCTTCAACTTTTGCTTTTTCTGCGTGTTTGAGAGCGACTCTATCCATGAGCTAACTCGCAAATGCCCTGGTGGTCATCTTCGTCGACCTAGGAGCACGCTCTCCTCAACTGCTAAAGCCGTGGCACGGGCTAGCGCCAACGGCGAGCCGTTTCCTTCCAAGAAGCGCAAGGATGCCGAGGATCTTGAAGAGGGAGAAGCGGCCGAAGGGGAGCGGAAGTTCCGCGCCTCGAGCAAAACCGAACAGCAGCTCCAAAGGGCCTACAATTGGGTCAAGACGTTTGAGGACAAGATTAACCAGATTTTGCACCCGGAGGCTGTTGACATTCGAAAACTTGGTGGAAAGCCCGTCGAGGATGCTGTAAACGAAGAGCTTGCGAAGCACGTCAAGCAGGAAGACGAGCACAAATGGCGCTGCAAGGTTCCAGAATGCACCAAGCTATTCAAGGAAGAGCACTTTTGGCGGAAGCACGTCGAGAAGCGTCATACAGAGTGGTTGGACAAGCTCAAGGAAGAGGTGAGACACCGCCCGTCGGATCCTTACCAAAGATTTGCCACTCTAACCATGTCCGCAGTTTGAGTTGATCAACGCCTATGTTATTGATCCTGCGCATATCGCGCCGTCTCGGACCGACGCGAATTCCAACGGACACTTCCCGCCCTCCAACGGTCAACAGCCAACGGGAACACCACGCGGTTTCAACCTCCAGACCTATACCATGAACAACATGCTCAATTTCCCCGGCTTCCCTATGGCCATGTTCGCGCCGAACGCGATGGGCGCCAACCCTCTCAGTGCAGCCCCAGGCTGGCACGCACCGGGCGGAGACGAGCGTGGGCCGGGTCCGATTCGCCGGGGCGGCGCGATGGGAGGGGGCAGCCGATTCCAGAACCGGCCCGGCCCCTATGACCGCCGCTCCAACCCGCGCCATGGCGCCGAAAGCGGCGGTGTGAATACCGCGATGGGTGGGCGTGGCCGTGGCGGCCCTACGAATAGATGGGGTGACGGCGCAGCCGGCGGTGCCGCCATGGGCCCCCGTGAGGCAGTGCAGGGGCGGACTATTAAGAGCTACGAGGATCTCGACCAAGTGTCGGGCGGTGGCGGTGGGGAACTGAACTATTGAGTTTCGGGGCTTGCGCGGACTGCCGTCTGGCTTGGCCGATATACATCAGCTGAGATAATATGGGGGACCGCTTGAGTGGAATCTAGTTGCTGCCGAAATGGCTCCACTGCCTGCTTGACCTCCACGGACGTGCAGTAGTAGGGGAAAGGGCTACGCTAATAGGATTCGAGGGGCGGCTTCTGCAAGGACTTGTTCACATTTTGTACAAATTTTACATGCGGTCGATTGATGGGATTCTGATTCGGGGGGTAGATCAATAGCAAGAACTGCCAATGAGTAGTCCTTTTCCCTCCTTGTTTCTGCCCTTTCACATATCTCGGGTGTGTGTGCTTGACACTTGCGGCCCCTGCTTTGCCTAGCGCTGTACCTCTGTGACATGGTCTCACCAGTCTGGGAAAGGGAAATGGAACTTGATCAAGTCAGCTCTGGCAGCCGATACCAGTACGTATCAAGCAAGCTAACCACAATTCGGTCAACTCTTGTCTACCTCGATTAGACAAGATGGACAACAGTACCGGCTCCCTCCCACGATGTGTTTCACTTCATTTCAATGACCAAGCCATGTATGGTTGGCCTAATTCTGGTATTTCCAGGCCTTATATTCTCTATGTCAACTCCTCCTGCACCCTCTCCCAGTGTTTTCACCTGCTCAGCGCGATATCGTCGATACGCAGAATCATCTTGACCGTCTCCGCAGCGAGCTCAATGGCGCTCGTGCTGACGAGCAGCGGCTGGAGCACGTTCTCCTTTGCAATGTTTGAGTTGACGCCGCCGCTCTTGATGCTGACGCCGGCGTTCTTCTCGCCCATCTCGTGGCGGTGGCGGAGCGCCGTAACCACCTTGATGCTGTTGAGCCCGGCGTTCTCGGCCAGCGTGGTGGGCACCACCTCCATGGCGTCGGCAAAGGCCTTCCAGCAGATGGCCTCGGTGCCCGTCAGCTCGCGCGCCTGCTTGCTGAGCTGGGCGGCAATCTCAATCTCGGGGGCGCCGCCGCCCGCAATAAGCGCCTTCTTCTTGACCAGGCAGCGCACCACGCACAGGGCGTCGTGCAGCGACCGCTCCGCCTCGTCCAGGATCAGGCTGTTGGCGCCGCGTACCACGACTGACACAGTCTTGCCCGCCGACTTGGTCCCCGTCACCTTGACCATGCGGCTGCCCGAGCTCTGGACCTCCTCGACGAGGTCGGCCGAGCCCAGCTTGTCCTCGGTGAAGCTGTCAATGTCGGCGATGGGCTTGCAGCCGGTGGATTTGCAGATGAACTCGACCTCGTCGCGCTCAATGTCCTTGACGGCGAGGATGCCTAGCCGTTGGAGGAAGTGCAGTGACAGGTCGTTGACGGCGTCGCGGAGGATCGACTTTTGGATGAGGAGAACGTTGCACTTAGCCTTCTTGATCTTTTTGACCATGTTGAGGAGGTACATGCGCTCTTCCTTGACGATCTTGTCCATTTGTCTGTAGTCGTTTACGGAGATGGTGTTTTCCATCTGTCAGACTGAAGGTTAGCAAGGTCAATCTAAGGGGAGAGCAGGTGAAGCATACGTCTGGCTTTGGCGGGCTCAGTTGGAACTGAATCAGGCCGATCTTGGCTTTCTCCATTCTTATGGGCCCACCTGCACTCTTGATGACGGGCTGTGTCAAGACCAAGCCGTCCACCAACTCGCTATCCTCTATCGTCCCGCCAACCTTCTTCACGATACGGATGTTTTTCAGGTCGACGTTGTCCGCTGTCTTCAGATCTATCGTCTTGGTTACGGCGTTGACGGCCATGGGTCCAAGTAGGTTCGCGTATTGGGAGACGATCTTGGAGGAGAGGGAGGTATTGGCTGCCTGCAGCAGGGCGGCAGTATCTGTGAGGGCGATCGGTTGTGACATGTCGTGTAGGACCTGTACGGCGGCGGCGGCGGCCCTCTGGAATGACTCGGAGATAACTGAAGGGTGAATGCCCTTGGACAGTAACCGGTCGGCAGCACCGAGCAGACTGCCGCAAATGACCACAACGGAGGTGGTGCCGTCGCCGGCCTCGACATCCTGGGCGTTTGACAGCTGTACTAGCATTTTTGCTGTGGGATGCATCACCGACATGCTCTTGAGCATTGTGCTACCGTCGTTGGTGATTATGGTCTCGCCCTTGCCGCTCCGAATCATCTTGTCCATGCCCCGCGGCCCCAGCGATGTCCTGATGGCGTCGGCAACAGCTGCGATAGATCAGCGCCATGATCGATGCTGAACAGCTTTCCTAAAATCATACGTACCTCGGGCGGCGACGATGTTTGCCGACCTGACGGCCACCGGCTTCTCCTTGTCCTATTACGAGGGGTCAGCCAGAGCTCACCGGACCGAGTGTACCAGCCAGAGGTAGGAGTTGTACCCTGAACGCCGCATTTGCACTCGCAGTGCTGGGCTGCGTGGCCGTCGCCATTTTCTAAGCTCCTTCTCGTTCTGTTTAGGGAAAATCAGGGAAAATAAGGGCGTCGTATTAGTTTTTTTTTGCGACAAGTTGTGTTGATCTCGCTCTGTTTCCTGGTAGGCAGCTCCCACTTCAACCGCAATACAGAAGTTACGCTTGCCGTCAAGGTGGGTCCGAAGTTTTTCTGTCGGGTGCTGGAGTTCTTCCCAGCCGTCTGTCAGTGGGGGGCACTTGCGCCTGCGGAGGGGCAATTTATGGTTGGTTCTAGCCACTTTTGGGTTAGCTTCGCCTTCACTGACCTCGCTAGAGCTCTGGATCCCAAGGCAGCATGGATTACGGAACAGCTTCCTCTTATTCATCCTAACCGCCTTCTACCATTATCAACTTAACAACTTGATATCCCTAGACTCTAGAGGTCGCAACATACAACACAGGCGAACCACGGAAATCTTCTGACCTGACAACGGCAATATTTATCGCTTGTCGACTCTTCGGCACGTTACTTCGTTCTAAACCACCAACATTTGTCCCTGCCGCAAGTCGTCATCATGGTGCGCCTAAACCATTCTCATAGACTATACTCGCGCTGCTGTCCCCAGTTCACTGACCTACGTGCAGCCTTCCGCCACTGGACAAAACTGGGAGAAGTACAGGAAAAACTTTGCCGACGACGAAATAGAAGAGAAGAAGATCACTCCCCTTTCAGATGAGTTAGTTGCCCCCAAGAACCGCCGCCCAGGCTCGAGCTGACGTCGCGAAGGGATATTCAGGTTCTCAAGACATATGGCGCCGCGCCGTACGGAGCCGCCATCAAGAAGCTGGAGCAGCAAATAAAGGAGAAGCAACAGAGCGTAGACGAGAAGATCGGCGTAAAGGTGTGTAGCGCCGCTGAACCGGCACACAGGTCCGCGCTGATGCATCTTTGCAGGAATCAGACACCGGTCTTGCCCCTCCTCACCTTTGGGATGTCGCCGCCGATCGTCAGCGAATGCAGGAAGAGCAGCCGCTGCAGGTAGCGCGGTGCACCAAGATCATTCCCGACGAAAAGGACGAATCCAAGAGCAAATATGTCATCAACGTCAAGCAGATCGCTAAGTTCGTGGTCCAGCTTGGCGAGCGTGTCAGTCCCACCGATATTGAGGAGGGGATGCGCGTTGGCGTCGACCGAAATAAGTACCAGATCCTCCTGCCGTTGCCGCCCAAAATCGACGCCAGCGTGACCATGATGACAGTGGAGGAGAAGCCCGACGTGACATATGGCGACGTTGGCGGTTGCAAGGAGCAGGTGGAGAAGCTGCGTGAGGTCGTCGAGATGCCGCTGCTATCACCAGAGCGGTTTGGTAATTTGGGCATCGACCCTCCGAAGGGCGCCCTTCTGTACGGGCCTCCCGGGACTGGCAAGACACTCTGCGCCCGTGCCGTAGCCAACCGGACAGACGCCACCTTCATTCGCGTCATCGGCAGCGAGCTCGTTCAGAAGTATGTTGGTGAGGGTGCCAGGATGGTTCGCGAGCTCTTTGAGATGGCGCGGACGAAGAAGGCGTGCATTATCTTTTTCGACGAGATTGACGCCATCGGTGGTGCCCGCTTTGATGACGGGGCTGGAGGCGACAACGAGGTGCAGAGAACCATGCTGGAACTCATCACCCAGCTGGACGGTTTCGACGCCCGTGGCAACATCAAGGTCATGTTCGCAACCAACAGGCCGTCGACGCTGGATCCCGCCCTTATGAGGCCAGGCCGCATCGACCGGAAGATTGAGTTTTCGCTTCCCGATCTCGAAGGCCGCGCCAACATTCTCAGAATTCACGCCAAGAGCATGTCAGTCGAGCGGGACATCCGGTGGGAGCTCATCTCTCGACTGTGCCCCAACGCGACTGGCGCCGAGTTGCGCAGCGTGTGCACCGAGGCGGGCATGTTCGCCATCCGCGCCAGGAGGAAGGTGGCTACCGAGAAGGATTTCCTGAGCGCTGTCGACAAGGTCATCAAGGGCAATCTCAAGTTCAACTCGACTGCTGCATACGCACAATACAACTAGAATGACGACTCGGGGTCTGACTGTGGGTTGGGTACTGCATGTAAGAATAGAAGCTCACTGTCTGTGAATATGTTGGCCAAGACCAAGGTGGCATCAAGCGCGGTCACGGTACTAGCGAAATGGACATGTTTCATAATTGCTCCCTATGTTCTTGGCCATGGAAATGCATCGAGGCCTCAATATTTATATTGTGAGGGGATATAGCTATGGGACCAAGTTCTTCTGGTGTGGGATCCATTCCCGAGAAGTGACCTAAATGTAGTGATATCGGTGATGCCGTTGTAGGAGTAATAGCCTTCCGTACCCCGATGCGGCTATCTGGCCCTAATGCCGCAATCAACTCCGTAAGGCGGTGCGACCAGACTGTGCTCCGACGAATACAGACTCTCCTGGCCTCGTGACCCCTGATAGTGACCTCCGCGAGCCGGAGCATCTCCACCGCTGAACTGGTCGGTTTCCTCCCCCACCCCCGCCAAAGCGTCCGAGAAGCGAGCCCCGTGAAGTCTCGGTATAAGCGTTGCGGACTCCAAGGGCCAGACGTCTCTTCTCCAATCCTATCCCTTTCCTTTCCACCTTCCTGATCCGGGGAGGGTCGCTAGGGCACCGAGATGTGGTGGTGGGCGTTGTCCGATACCTCGCCGAATAGATCCCAGCGTAGAGCCGGCGGGCCACGGGACTGATCCTTCCCATCCTTTGCATCCACCTCAAACAAACTGGCCCACTCAGAGACGCGCTTGCGCAGTGACCACCTGGGCCCTCATCATCAAATCTTAAAGCTCAGCTAGAGCGGGAAATATCTCAACCCTCCACGAACGGCAGGCACCCCAGACACACGACATCCCCGTCCTGGCCACGCTCGACACAGCACCGGCTACAAACCATCTGGCGATGTCCCCCCCCTCTGGCCCAGCCCTCATCTCCTCTACTTCCTCCTCTTTCTTCAATGGCACCATCACCACCTCCGTCCTCCCCAGCGATAACAACGGCGTCGGCGTCAAGCATGGTAAAAGAAGTCTCCTCCGTCCCGAGAAGCGTCCCCGCCGCAGTCATGGATAGCTGATCGTCAGCAGTCCGCAGGTGGTTGGGCGGCGGCGCCCCCCACCCGAGACACTCGCGCATGCAGACGTAGCACGTGCGCTGACCGCAGCCTTGGCAGTCGGCGAACGAGTCAAGGTCCGATTTCTTGGTTGGCTTGCGGAAGCAGATGTGGCAACGGCTCATAAGGGCCGTAGTGCTTCGCCGAGGAGTGGTTTTGGAATGCTGTTGTTGCTGTTGTTGTTTATGGGACGGAGAACTTAACGGCGACCGCTGCATTGGTTCCCCCTCCGCTGTCTCCCTTTCGACCGATGTGCGTCGGCGCTTAGCCGCTGGGAGCGGAATTATCTTTCGGCCTGCAAGCGGCGATGTGTGGTATTGATGCGGGAACAGCCCGTCGTGGTCAGGGCTCCTGTCGACAAATATACCGCTGTGCGAGCTGGGAATGGGATGGTGATTAGTGCCTGGAATTGCGGTCTTCGTGACGAGGCTGGCATACAGCTGGAGCTGATGGTGATGACTGCTATTGTTATCATCGCGCCTTCGCTTCTTGCCCGGCGGCACGGTCTGTGATTCCTGGGCTATTGATGGCATGGCGGATACTTTTATGTTGCCGAGACGTGTTGTATGGCAGTATGGGCCGGTCTATCCCAGAGCCAAAGTTGAGGACGGCGGGCGGGAAGGCTGGAGTCGAATGAAATGAAGCGCGAGAGAAGTTGTGGTAGACTGCGAGTCTTGGAGATGAGGTTGCCCGATTCCCAAGCCCAGGGGTCGAGTTAGTGCAGAGTGTCTGGTAACGAGCTGCCCGACGACGGGAGGGTCGCGTAAAGTGCCACAAGCCGAGAATTTGGAGACTGCCACTTGCTGGAAACCCCCGTGCAGCTGGCCCCAGCTTCACTCCACCGTGCCATGGAGCAGGGCATCAGTGAGGATGGACCCGCAAATGCGAAGCGACGTAGCGCCGCAGCGCGGAATCAATGGAAAGCCCAAAGTGCAGCGTCCAGTGTGTTTCGTCAGGCCGCTTGTCTTCCATATCAGACTAAGAGAGCTCGGGGATACACTAGGAACGGGTAACCAGAGCTGCAGCCAAGTTGGGATGGCACGGCCGCTGCTATGAGTAACGTAGGTACCGTAGGTAAGGAGCTTTCAGAGAGGAACCTACAGGACCCCAAACGGTCCAATCGCCCATCATCCCGTCCTCTTCGCTCCCGAGATCCGGCCTCACGCGGCCAACCTGACCCATGGTAGCGGTTGGAAAAGGTATTGTACTGTACTGTACATAGTCACAAACACGCAACTGCCATCAAAGTCCTGTGCTGCATAGGATAGAAATGAAGGCCATACTGGAACTACCATTCCAGCATTCCCCTGGGTAGGGGAAGCGGATCGGATCAATAGCCAGCTCGTCGGCCGATCACACTTTGTCAATTCGTTCCATCCGATCGACTTATCGCAAAAGATGGAGTGGTGTTCCACTGACGCATCCCACGGTGGCCCGCCAAGATTTACCCAATAAGATGCCTGTCACGTGGGGGACTAGCGCAGAAGCCCCACCTGACTGCCTTCCGCCTTCGAACTTCGTCTTCTCATCACTCCCGCGTCAGTCCATCCTCGAGCCTCAACTCCTCCCCCATTGCACCGTGACCCGTGCACCCCCATCGACATTAACCTATCGAACCATCGTGTCGAACCATCTCAGAATCGACATCGAGATATGAGTCGTGCCAACAAACTTGGCCCGGAGGTAAATCGGTAAGTTTTGCTTGCATCGCTTTCTGCGGCCGTTGCCTCTTGCGCTTCTCCACCGAGACGCCATCTGGCTTCCCGTCTCCCGCCGTTCCCGGCCCGCGTCACCGCATCCCGGACTCTCGGCTAACATCAGCAATCGCGAACAGAGCTTTGTTCGTAAAGAATCTAAGGTGTGTCTAAGATCGATCTTCACCATTTCTTCGTCTATATACTGATCCTCATCCAGCTACAACGTCACTCCAGAGGAGCTGTTTGACCTCTTTGGAAAGTACGGGCCAATCCGGTATGTCAGGCCCTCTTCTTCCACGCTGACACCCCTTGCTCACTCACTCTACAGTCAAGTTCGACAAGGCATTGCGAGCAACACAAAAGGCACCGCCTTCGTCGTCTATGAGGACGTAATGGATGCAAAGCAGGCGTGCGACAAGCTGAACGGTTACAATTTCCAGAATCGGTATCTTGTCGGTATGTTGCCTCTCCCAACTCTGCCAGCCGGCGTTTCTGTATCTGACTGGGTTTCGTACAGTGCTCTACCACCAGCCAGAGAAGATGATTCGCACAAAAGAGGACTTGGATGCCCGCAAGGAGAATTTAGAACGTCTCAAGAAGCAACACGGCATCGATTGACAGTTAGACGGGCCTGCAGACAGCCTTCAGAGTCAAACCAAAACGTCTGGAGGCCCGTCTTCTTCGACATCCACCTCCTCAAAGACAAAGGCGGCTTCGGCGCCCAACGCGCCGAAATCGATCCTCAAAAGGGGCAGGCCGGATATCGCCACGCACGCACGAAGAATGCCTCACTTTGTGCGGAAGCTACTTCCCACGGTGCCCGAGTGCGCCTAACACTACATCATTGCTACTACCTTATCACTCGCAACGACTTGATTGTACCAATGACGGTGTCCACGCGCAGAACCAAGTGGATCAGCTCTGGCTGGACCTGCCCCTTTATTTTACGACACTAGCAGAATTGGTTTGATATGGTTAGAGGTTCTTTATTTGGTACAGTATCCTTCAGCCATGCCTTGGGACTGCGAGGGATGGGTTTTATGATCGGAGGGCCCAGTAGTCATTGGAAAGAGGTGTGAGCGTGACGGCCCGGCGCTTTTTCTAAACTGCCACGCTTTCTCTCTCGGGGCTGCCATTCGTGATCTCTAGATTGAACAAAAGGCGCGGAGTTAGCCATCACGGGAACTGAAACGTGATGGCACAAAATGAGAATCAAGCAATTCCGGTTTGTGACATGATGGCTTTCTGTGACTGGTTGGTCGTTAAGGTGTCGATTGAGCCCAACTTGAGGCTGAAAAACGTTCGTCTGATTGAGCGACGTCCTGCCAAACACTTCCCTTCGCCTTGGAGTAGAAGGGAAGACACGCCAGTTACTTGGAGATAGCACATAGCCCCTATGCAACAGGTTCATACTACTCCCCACATCCGTTGTTTTCGCCCCTTTTCCAGAACCTAAAATTATGGGATATCTCATTGCCGGCAGTCATTAGCTAGCAGCACGCTCCAATTGCCCTCTAGGTATAACGTCTAGCGGAGGCTTGGGAGCCCGCTGTGGGGCCTCCATTAGTGGATAGTTACGGAGTACAGTACAGTACATACCTTACCTATACTTAGTGTGTAACGTTAAGGTTATAGCGCTTAAAGGGCCAAGGCCAACCGTTGAGTGGGCGGCCAATGGCAATGGCTCAAAGGTGTCGGCTGCTATGACCTCGTGCATTGCTTCTCGTTGCGCCGCCCACTTCCTCCAGCCTGTTCCAGGCACCACACTCACTGCAACCTCAGACCGTTTTCCTCTGTTTCACTTCTTCTTCCCTTCTTCTCCTCTCCTTGACACACGTTGAACAACATCACCCAAGGGCACTGATACCACCGAGAATCTGCCTATCAACGCTTGTATGTATTGTACATCCAAGCGAGACCTTGAAACTAAGTGGCAGTACCTGATTCACCAGACCCTATCCCTTTTCACCTGTGTCGATCAGAATCCACGCACGGGTTGAAGCGATACACTGTTTGATTCATCGGTCCCGATGCCACAAACCTCGAGCATCCACAGCTTGTAAATGTTACACCCGCCCGCCAATCTCCCGTCGCCATTCGCCCCCGGATTCGCCCGAGCCCCCGATGTCATCGCCCCCCAGTCCATCGCAGCGGTAGCAGGAACGAGTCTGCCCTACTTGCGCGACCACCCACCCTTCCGAGTCGGCGTTGACCACCCGGCCCCCGACCCGGCAGCGGCGGCGGCGGCAGCCAAAGAAGCTGCCACAACAGCAGCAGAACTCACCTTTACCACCCCGACCCCCACCTCACTCACCTCTACCCTCCCCGTAGTAGTATCCGTAACCATGACGCCACCACCACCACCTCCTCCCCCTCCGCCCCCAGGTTCCCTAGGCCCGGAACACGGCCCGATGGGCTCGCAGGACAACAACCCGACCGAGTGCCGGCTGCTGGGATCCTTTGCGATCCTGGTGCAGCTCGGGCTCGGCGCGCTCGCGCTGCTCTCGCTCGTCTACAAGCGCTGGCGCGAGCGGCCCCAGCGGCCCCTCCGCGTCTGGTCCTTTGACGTCTCCAAGCAGGTCGTCGGCAGCGTCCTCGTGCACGCCGCAAACGTCTTCATGTCCCTCCTGACCAGCGGGCGGTTTTCCATAAAGCCTGCTGTCGTTGTCGGTGGTGGTGGTGAGGCTGGTGCTGCGGTGGTTAGGCGGGCGGTTCGGTTCGCGGTTGGCGGGGTTATGGGCTTGCTTGTTGGTAGGGCGGATGGCGGGGAGCATGCGGATTCTGGCGGTGGCGGGGGGGAGTATGTACCGAATCCGTGCTCGTTTTATTTGTTGAATTTGGCTATTGATGTGAGTTCCCCTTCTTATTCTTCTTGACTCTGGTTTTGTCTCTGATTGGGTTATGTTGCTGACGTTTTGGGTTTTCCCCCGTAGACGACCATCGGCATCCCGATCTTGATTGTGATTATCCGGGTCATCACCCGCCTCGTAACCTTCACACCCCTCGGCCAGCCGCCGGAGTCGGTCCAGAGCGGCCATTATGGCAACCCGCCGAATGCGTGGTGGTGGGTCAAGCAGAGCGTCATCTACTTTTGCGGGCTGATGGGCATGAAGTTCTGCGTGCTAATCATATTCATGATGCTACCATGGCTGCCTCACGTGGGCGACTGGGCGCTGGGCTGGACCGAGGGCAACGAGAAGCTGCAGATTGTCTTCGTCATGATGCTGTTCCCTCTCATCATGAACGCCATGCAGTACTACATCATCGATTCCTACATCAAGAAGCAGGAGGCACAGGTTGATGGGGAAGCCGGCGCGGGCACGAATGAGGCCGTGGTCTATGAAGAGCTCTCATCGTCGGAGGCTGACGAGAGCGATGAGGACGCGGACGAGGACGCGGACGAGGACGCGGCAAAGACTCCGGGCAGCGGTTCCCACGTGCGCATGGCGAGGAGAGACAGCGCGACGGAGCGCCCCAGTCGTGACTTCGAGTACGACCCGGCCGTTGATGGCGATAGCCAAACCGTCATTGGCAGCAACTCGAGCCGGACCTCGAATAGAGGGGTGCTACCCAAGGAACTGCTCCCCCCGGAGTGAGTGTGGGCAGATGGTACATTCTACCATATTGAAGGGCCTGGGATGAGGGATCACATATCTTGGACTGACATCACTATGGATTGCATTGCATTTTTGTTTCGGCGAACGTAACTATCTTATTTCCTTTATTGTCTTCTATACAATTACAGGCAGGCGTCTGGGCTTGATATCTTGGATACAGATATGGGTATAATCTCTCATGCTAGCGGGGCTGATTGGTCTGGGTCTGGTTCATAGCGGCTTTGGTTAGACTTCACTATACATACAATTCCTGGCTTTGCTGCTCCACCCGGGTGGTTGAGGAGATAGCGGATCATTCTCAAAGTAAACGTGGATTCGCTTGTGTCTTTTAACCTACCTATGAGGATACGTACCATTCGGTCTCCCGCTCCTAGTACGATTCCTATCGTCCAGTGTGTATCTAAGAAACTAGGCTTGCTTGGTGTAAAAGGGCTGCTAACATCAATGAAACGCAGTGACTACCAACCCTTCCCTACTACTACGTAGTAGGCAGGCGACAATGTGGCATATCTATCTACATCCACATTTACTCCTAGGCATATTTGCCGTGATGCACCTGTGCCAACAATCTGATCCGACCCCACCAACAGCCAGCATGCTGGACAACGGTCCATGAATGAGGTGTGACATCCAGTTGCGGGTAAGGTCTATTGTTAGGCTAATCAAAGTCCATATCACCCCCGTTTTCACTAAAGCAAACCGCTTGGACGACCTTCGCAGCTCGCGGAGGGATCGCCCTATTATCACAAATCAAAATGCACAATTGTGCTCGCTCTCACGGGTAGCTCCTCCTCGCGGGACGGCGCCTTGACCAGTGAGCTAACAATCTGTATTTTCAGCCCCTTCACCTTGTCGGCATCCCACACTCGCCCGCCGGGCCCGAGGACCCTCTTCTCCAGCTTCATTTTCAGGTAGAATTCCACCTCATTGGGTTCCAAACTCGCCAGCTCACCGGCAGCAATCTTTTGGACCAGCGCAGCGGTCAGGGGCACCGTGCCCGAGACGTACAGGCCGTCCATCGCCATCTGCCCGTTTTCACCGTGGTCTTGCTTTCCGGCCGTCCACACGCCCATGGTGCCGATGTGGCTCGGGGACGACATCCAATCGAGCGGATCGTCGGGCGGGCAGCCTAGGAAGATCAAGATGGAGAAAGGTCCGTCGCAGGCCTGTTTCTCGACGCGGATGTTGGCCGTCCACTCGTGGTAGCGGTTGCTCCCATGGAAGATTCTCTCGTTGGTTGTACGAGAGAGGCTGGCCATCTCCAAACTGGTGGCATCACCTCCCAATCTGCCGCTTCTGGCCCGCTGGGACGCAAGGTTGGTGCTGCTAAGAAAGAGGACCGCCGGACTCTGCCTCCCGTATAGCCGGTTAACTGCCCGCCGAACAGCAGCCTGCCTCTCCTCGGTTCTGGACGCTGACTCGCTCAGGAGCTCGGGGTAGGTATATCCGAATCGTGTGTGGTCACGGACCCCGTCAGAGGTCCAGAACGTGCCGTTATCGCTCGAGTAGAAAGGTGTGAGCGCTGTTTGGGAATCTTGAATCTCGCCTCTGCTGGTTGTGTGTGTACTCTGGAGCGCCCGGTGCGGCGTAATCCATGTTTCAGGATGGAGCGTCTGCCAGAGGGCAAAGATTCGGTCCACCATGCAGTGATGTAGCCAGAATATGGGGTCAAAAGCAGCGTAGGGCGGGTAGGACATGTGGCCCATACGCGCATTTTGGCCTCCGGTGAGGAGGTGGATTGTGTCGTGCAGCGACTCGAGAGACTCGAGCGACCCATTGGAGAGTTGTGGAGTCCACTCTTCGTTGGCGAGGTAAATATAGTCGTTATAGTAAGAGAATAGGTTGTATAGCCGTTGCATCTGTGAAACCCGATTCCGATCTAAATCACTTGCCACCAAGGCGTTGTCGGACTGAGCATTTGGGCCCCGGTTAGTCGGGGCTCTGAGGGTCGTAGGCCATTGATTCCACTACAGTCACAAGTTAGATGAATCAAACTTTGTTGCGAAGCATGCTACCGACCGGAGGCTGGGTGAATCCAGTGGCACTAAGAGGGTTAAAGCTGAAACTGAACAATGGATTTGCGATCCTCTGGCGCCCGTTTGGTCCGTCGACATCAACAAACGGACTGCCGGCGACACTCTGAGGGAGGACACTCTGTCCGGAGGGCGGATCGGCTGCCCAGTCCCAGTAAGGGATTCGGAATCTAAGAGCCGCCTCCTGGAAACGCTGCCTCTCCCCATCCGGCCATAGCGACGCAATGAATTGGATCAGACCTTGCAGGATTTGCTGTAGTAGTTACAGGTCAGCCGCATAGGGCAAGCGCAACGGATCGCGAGGACTCGGAGCAGTCATACCTCGTACAACACCAGATAGGGGCGATGCCACGTCGGAAACAGAATCGAAAAATGGGTGCAGTACCCCGTGTTCTCGTTGCCAGGCGTTGGGCCCACGCCACCCCATGATTTGTGAGGCATACCGTGAATCCCTAAGGCGAGGATGTCAGAAAAGAGCTACAACCGTGTAGACGGGAGGCGTAACACAGACCTGAGATGCCAAACCACGATGTATCCAGCGACATGTCGGCATACTGCATCATGCTAAGCCCCAGGATGTAGAGCGTCCACACATCGCTGTCCTGCTCGAGCTGCCGTATCTCCAGACGTACGCGGACGTCGCTATTCTCCCTCACCACCTCCCTCCGAGGTTGTGAAATCTGGCGTCTGATGCGGATAGTGGCGTCGGGTCCGTAGTTGTAACCTGCGAACTGGCCGAGGGCCAGGTGTTGCACAAGGCAAAGAAGAGGGACGACGAGAGACAGCCGGGGTCGGCCCATTGTGGTCGGGGATCGGACCTCCAGAGCTCGTCTCTCAACCTCCGAACGATGATGGGCGGGGCTAGGATTAACGAAGATGGGGGATAGTACTGCACCCGACAGCCGTAACGATAGCAAAGGCGAGCAGGCTGGGCCCGGCGGTATATTCGATACTGAAAAGTGTGAAGAGTTATGGGAGTCGATGAGAAGGACCGGTTCAAACAGGGGCTACCTACTAAGGCATGGGCATAATACCACGGATCCCTTACCTTAGAGGGTATACTGAAAATAGGCTAGGCCTACGCGGAATCCACTGTGAAGCCTTCTTTCCAGGTTCTGCATGGTTTGGCGCTCAACATCAGTCAGAGCCCCATCCGAGAGAAGGAGTAGCCCGCATACCGTGGACCTCTGCTGTGGGTGGGACGGGGCAGGCAGACGAGCCTAACGCTTGTGGCCGGATCACGCCTTCCAAGTTTAGAAGCGTCGGGGAAACAGGGGAAGCCAGGGTGGTGTGTGACTTGCAGGCAGCCGGAACGCCGGACGCTGTTCGCCGCTCGCAACACATCCTAGGTAACAGCGGCATTCTCGCTCAATACTGCGCTAGGGCTTGTAGCAAACATGCCGATATGAAGGCCGCCAAGGTCTAATACGACGGGTGATTGCATCCCGGATGGGTCACCGTGTTCCATCCTTGGCCGTAGGGAGATTAGCTTTTATGTAAGGTTTGGTTCATTGCAGCGACCTGTCGTTGATTACCCCGTGCTTCACCGTTGTTGGGCAAAGTATGCGAGCTGAGGCTTGGAAAAACCTCTAGATTTTCAACAAGCTATTTACCTTCCGACAACTCATCATCCCAGTCCCTCAGGCCGCCACCGTCCCGCTCGGCAGTGCTTTCGGCGCCGTTGGCCTCAGGGGTCCTCTCCGGATCGCGTCCTTGGTGTCAACTCTGTATTTCAACTTTACACCCATCGCCGCCAGTTCGACATCGAGGAACTTCAGAGCTCCAGGCACAACCACCATGGTTGTGTTCTCGCCGCCTATCCACTGTACACCCTGACCATCCTCCCATATTTCGCCGTCCAGCTTCATGAGATCCAGGTCCTCTATTTGATCCAAGCGCTGGGCACAATTGCGGCAACGCACCGCGCCGACCTGCTTCCGTTTCCCGATGAACGGCGATACAGTTGGCTGCACGGCCAGAAAAGAGCCGCAGTCCCGGCATATCCACGACTTGGAATAATCCGAACAATTCAGTAGCCGGTCCTGGAGCAGGAAGGCTGTTCCGTGCGCCAGCAGCGCGTCGCGCTCCATTTCGCCCACACGGATACCACCGCCCTTCTTGCGGCCCTTGATCGGCTGGCCAGTCGTCGGAACCACCGGGCCTGTGGTACGAACCTGGTACTTGTCGTTGACCATGTGCCTCAGTCTCTGGTAGTAGACTACGCCGATGTAGATGTCAGCCTGAAACTCTTCGCCCGTAATTCCAGAATACAGCGGCTCGTTGCCGTGATAGTTGTAGCCAGCCTTCATCAGCTGGTGTCCAAAGTAATCCGCCGCCGTGTTCTCCTCGTCAAACTTGAACGGCGTCGAATCCTGGGCCAGTCCGTGCAGCGCACCGGCCTTGCCCGCCAGGGACTCGACGAACATGCCGATTGTCATTCGGGATGGGAACGCGTGGGGGTTAATGATGACATCGGGCTGGATACCCGACTCGGAGAAGGGCATGTCCACCGCCGGCCATTTTTGGGAGCAGACGCCCTTCTGACCATGACGCGACGAAAATTTGTCGCCAATGACGGGTGACCTGGGAATGCGAAGCTTTATGGAGATGGTCTGAAGAGGTTCGTTACCCGTGTCGCTGCCAATCACACGCACTTCTTCAATGAACGCGTCTTCCGAATCCTTGTATCTCTCCCAGTGAGTGATCCCGTCCCGGTTAATCAGCTGACCACTATAGTCGGCCGAGACTGTATGCCACGCGCAGAGGATGTCGCCCTCTCTGACCAGTCGGCCCACATAAGGTAGGCCATCGGCGTCAAGCATTTCCCGGTCCGACGCCCGGATTGCGCTGCCGGGAGCAAACCCAAACATCTTGGTGATGGATTTGGAGCCGCGCGTCCTAGAGTCGTCTTTGAGGCTGACCTTCTTGGTTTTGTAAATCGTCCCGTGGCCAAAACCTCGCTCATGAGCTGACTTGTTGATGATCATAGCATCATCCATGTCGTAGCCCGTGTACGAAATCACGGCAACCACCGCGTTCGTGCCATTGGGAAAGTTATCGAATCCATACGTGTTATGCAGCGGGGCGCGCACTATCGGCGTCTGACCCGTCTGGAGGCGGTACATCTTGTTGTCTGTCCGATACCGCAGGGCGGTTCCAGGCGTACCCATGGTTTGCTTACCCATCTGGCACTGATACATGTTGCGGGGAGACTGATTGAAGTCGGAAAAGGGAGTCATGTTAGCCAAAATAGAAAGGATGTTGGTAGGGTCAAATTCGACGTGGGTCGAGTCGCCCGGAATCACCTCGCTCTCCGTACAGGCGATCGACATGTAGGGCTGCTCGTGCGGACCAACAAAGTCTTCTTTCCCCAGGGGGAGATACTTGACAGGGCGGACCATCCTAGACGGCTGCGAAGCCATATAAATACCCGGGTAAGACCCGCCCTTGGATGGAGGTACGTAGCCGATCTCCAGGTGTAGAGGAATCCCATGGCCCCCTTCTGCCTTCCAGTGCCGGAGCGTATCGGCAACCGTCTTGGAGTTCTTAGGAGTACACCAGCCAATGATCTTTCCATCGAGCATCACTACGACGCTCTCGCTGGTGGCCGCCGAGGAGTAGTCGTTCACTCCCAGCTCCATGGCAATGCCCGGAACGGCCGAGGTGTCGACTGAATCCGTCATAATCTTGCACTTGTGGGCCAAGTGGTTCAACAAACCGCACGGGGAGCCATCGGGAGTGTGCACAGGGCAGAGAAACCCCCAGGACTCTGGAAGCAGCTTTCTCACCGTTGTCGTTTTTAACTGCGCAAAGAAGCTGCCACGGTGAACCATGCGGAAATGGCTGATGAAGCGCAAGAAGTTGAGCTTCTCTGCTACAACCGTGAAGCCCGAGGTTTGCTGCAGGTCGAGGCCCGAGGGACTCTGAAGATTGCCCGTCGACAGGAAATACTCCAGTGCGTTACCAATGTTCTCATTCGTCCGCCGGAAGATGGCAATGGGGAAGTCCTTTGCAAATGCCGCAGATGTGAATGACACGGTGGGATTCCTCCTGAGGTAATCGCGCAACGCAGCTCTGAGCGAAACGGATAGCAACTCTTCGAGCCGCTCTTTTAAGATCTGACCGTACAAGAAGCCGCCCAGGAGAATTTCTTGGTTTTGCACAGCGTCGGGATTGTCGACGGCGCAGTCCCCGGCCACAAGTGCGTAGAGCTTCCGACACATGAAGAGTAGCATCTTGAACTTGTCCAGATCCTGCTCCTCGGTGACATTGACGCAACCAATGTGGACAAGCACAATCTTGCGAAGAAATTCCGTACCAACTTCGTAGTCTGACATGGTATCGGGTACGCCGAGCACGACCCGAAATTTCTCTCCGAGGTAGGCTCGGGTTTGTGCCTTGGTGTAAAGGCCGTATGTTTTGTAGGTCCGGAGAAGCAGTTCCACGCGGTCTGTCAGAAACGTGTTCTCAATTCCTTTCGAATTGGGCGGGCCGACCAAGCCCTCAAAGATTTCCCGGTCGTTGGTCTCAACAAGGGCTTTGAGAATCATCATGACGGGCACTAGATACTCGTTCTTCCTCCAGGAGAACCGGAATGTGACATTCCCGTCGCTCAAATAATGAAGCACATTGGTCTGTGAGGTCTCATCCGGCCGAACAGACCGTACTATGATGCCGTGCGGTGTATATGAGGGGCCTCGGTTTGTGAAACTCGGGCGCGTAATAGCCAACGGAAAGTTCCTTCGATTGACGAGCAAGAGACGTATGATTTTTTCGATGCCATTGACAATAAAGTATCCACCCAGTTCCTCTGACTCTTCCTTTCGCTGTACAAGGAGAGCTGGGGGATTGTTCTCTAGGTGGCATTTGTTGGACTTGAAGAGGGAGGTCAGAGAGGCTGGACGTCCGTTGGTAGGTGTGATCGCATTCGACATACCTTAACCATGATGGGCATCTGCCCAAGCTCTCGCACAAACTCTTGCGGCTCGCCATTGTTGATACGGTATTCAAGAACTGCCGTGAGTTTGCCCCGATACGACACGTGCCGTTCCCTGCACTCAGCCGGGAAGATCTCGCGCCGTTTGGCAAACTTGTTTGACGGCGGAACCTGGGATTTCTGAAGCGTGACACTCTTGTATCGGATTGTCAGCCGGTTTTTGCCCGCGGGTGCTGCCCTCTCATCTCCGTCAAGAAACGTCTTGGTCCCGATCTCGGCGAGGGCGTGGTCGAGGAGGCTGGGCTTCCCATCGCTCCGGAAGAGGGCATTGAAGGATTCGATATGCGGGTCAACGGCCAACTGTAGAGCAGGATAGGCGGTCCGGTCGGTTGGAGGATTTCTAAACAGTTTCTCGCGGCGGATTGTGTGGTATTCGTGGTCCCACGAGGTATCAGTGCGTTCGGGTGCCATTTCCACTGCTTTGTATCAGAAGCAAAGTCACTAGCAGTTTGCTGAGCTTCGCGATCAGGATGACCCGCGGTCTGGCGCCAACCCCGGCTCTGGTCCGATGGCAGAGTCCTTATTCGCTCATTAGGGTAACTGTACTGGCCGCAAGTCGGTGATTCTGGAGTAGTGACAGTTCTGGTATTGTTGTATTGGAATTGACCTTTGAAGTGTATGCTGGGCGGCGTGAGTGTTTGCGTTGATGCACTTTTTTTTCTTTTCTCCCCGACTTCCCACCTCCTTATCGCTTATCGGTACCTAGTACAAATACAGTGTAACACTAACGCCAAGGCTACTGATCGGCATCGTGCGTACCTCCGTATCCGTATCTGCACTCCAACTTGAATGATTCCATATCCGTATCGTTACCCCAAAACACAATCGTTTGGGGTTCTCGAAATGACACTCATCCGAGCTGGTGTGATACATGGGCACAGTGCTGGTCGGGTGAGAAATTGCTTTGCAGTCTTATGCTCAAGCGACCGTCCCATCATGACGGGATAGTATGGGCCTCTTACTTTCTCAAAAGATCTGACCTCATAGTGCATCGAGCATTCAACACCGAGGGCTGATCGTTCCCGTTCACACATTGCAAGACGGCGTATCACGAAGGCGCTGAAACTGGATTAACGTTGACCCAGAAACTTTGTGAAGTCTTGGATAAATTGATGAGGAGGCTGAATTTGGCTGACGGCGGTCTAGACATTGGAGACCCATGTTCCCCGTGAAGACTCTCAAAGCATCCGCATTGTGCGGCTTAATGTTAGCATCGTTCTCGTACGAGTTGGGGTTCGGCCGACCTGCCGGCCAGCGTACCTTACAGTGGAGACGCTGGTGCTAGGTAAGCCTGGGCCCGCGGAGTCACAGACCAGCTGTGTCTCAGCTTCGTGCATTGCAGGAGGGCTACCGTAGCACTTCTTTGGGTGTCTGTATTCTTTAGCCAAAGCTCATGTTTTTATCTCGCTGGGCCTCGAGGTCGCCAACCGGCCGGGTGGGCATCTTGGGTTTCTGCGGTAGTTACACTGCTCCGAACTCCTTGGTCCGTGGGGCTCCGCTTTGTGGTAGAAGGGCTACCCCGAAGCCGGCCAGCTCGGCCGGGTGCTGCAGCCCTGTGCGGGTTTTGGCCCTGCTCAATTCTTGTCCAGTAGAATCGCTACTGAAATCAAGAACCAAATCATTCCAGCCCCAAACAGCGGCCGCTGGACTGGAACCGCCAACCAGCTGGATTCGAGCTGCTCCGAAAAGACAACATGCATTTTGGATGGCCAAAAGTCGAAGCCCAACCTGTATGTCCCCCGCCCTGTGCCTTCCCTAACTCTGCGAAAGATTGCGGAGAATTGGGAAGTTCCACCAGGATAGGCAAGGGGCATGCACCCCAGGATGACATTGCGTAGCCCTGTCCGATCTGGCTGCCTGGGCAGCAAGGGCATTTGCATCCATGAAAGGTGCAGGTGGTTTCATGGATACCTAGGTACCTATTCGTATCCATGATTCTATCTCGCAGAGCATATCATCCATCTGTAGTATAGACAGGCCTGCTCCCTTTCAAAGTAAGGTACTGCAGTGTGTGCTGTTGCGGTCTGCCACCGCCATTGGCCTTCTCGGCGTGGGGAAACCTGAGGACTGACCACCCAATCGCTTCGGCCTGCGACCCCGCGCTGTTGGTGGTGACCTTAAGCATTTCCCTCGCCCTATGCTAAAAGCTATCCCGAGAATCCCTAATAAAATTATGTACCAAAAGGCTGTGCGCTTCGTCCAGACTCCAGATAAGTAGCAGGCATCCGCCGCACCGAGGGTTGAGATATAACAGCAGCCTGGCTCAGCGGTCCGGAAGAGCGACAATTCCTCGTCGGCCATACCTAATTCTTCGACCGATAATCACCTTCAGGGCTGGCAGGGAAAGCTAGAGACAACATCCGCCGTCGTTCTTCAACGTCCCATCCCAAATAGCTTTGGCCACCGCCTAGAAGCCTCCACGTCCCTGCAGCCCAGCACGTCCACAGCGGCAACTTCCCGCAGCACTCCTTGCAGTTCCTGGCACCGTGAGCCTTTGCCCTTCTATTCCTGCTCTCTTCCCAAGGTCCGCCTTATTGTTTCATGCAAACACGTCGACCTTCAGAGTACGTCGCTCTGCCACTACCTGTCAAGTACCAATATCTTGACGACTCCCGAGGTGCCGTTGACGCCATCCCCCTGTCGTGTGCCGTCTCGCTCATCCCCGCGCTACCCTTACCGCTGCCGCCGCCGCCGCCGAGCCCCAAGGCCTCAGCACCGAGAGTGACTGCAACCCAGAACAATCGAAACAGCCGCCTTCGCCCATGGTCACAAGAGATCGTTTCGCACCATCGAAATCTCCCATCTACCCTCGTCATCTGGCTGCGCCCCACCCGAGCCGTGCAAACGAATGAAACCCTGATTCTAGCCGCTCTCGTTCAACATCGTCACCGTCCTCACCACGAAGCACGGACCACAACTCAACTTGCACAACGGCAACCTAGATTTGTGTTCCCTGGTGGCATCTTTGCTTGGTGGACCTGATCGTTCGCTTGTCCGCGCTGTTTCGCATCTGCTTCACACCGATCACAAAAGGAACTCAATCTGGCTCCGGTCTGTCCACGAAACTACAGAGGCCTGACCTCGGTCATACGAGACATTTATTCCTACCTGGGTTTTGCGCCGCCTAGGAGTCTGAGCGCAAAATACTTAAACTTACCAGCTTGGTCTTGGTCTGTCATCACCTGTCATCGTAACCTCTACATCTGCCACCCAATTCCTACGCTACTTCTGTTGCCGGTAACCCTCACCTGGGTTTCGACTCGGCATCCTCCCACATCCTCAATTCATCCATAGTGACAGTGTGGCCCTCACCTTGACGACCATGGCCGGGTTATTCAGGCGAGTGTATGACTGGCTGTTGCGGACCTTTTGGTAAGCTCGTGCTCCATCTCTGAAGATTCCCCGCTCCGGATTGCGGGGCATTGCCGGGCGCAAGCCGCCAGCGACGAGCAGCGCGGCGACAGCTCAGGCCGGCGCTAATCCGACGCAGGGCAACCGAGATGGACGTGACTATGGTCGGATTGCAGAATGCTGGCAAGACATCGCTTCTTCGTGTGCTCTCGGTGAGTTGACAGGTCGCTCGATCGGATGTGGACCGCGATGCTAACAACGCCTTTCCCGATATTCAGGGCGGAGAGTTCGCTATCGAGTAAGCATCGCGGTTCCATGCTGCACCTTCCCGATTCCCGTTCGCCGGCTGACCACCTGCAGCTCGATCCCTACGGTTGGCTTCAACATGAAGCGGGTGCAACGAGGCCATGTGACACTCAAGTGCTGGGACTTGGGGGGTCAGCCCCGCTTCCGGCAAATGTGGGAGAGGTATTGCCGGAATGTTAACGCCATCGTCTTTATCGTCGATATTGCCGACCTGAACCTGCTTCCCGCCGCCCGCGACGAGCTGCACTCCTTGATGAGCCACCCGACTCTTGACGGCATCCCTCTTCTCGTGCTAGGGAACAAATCGGACCTTCCCAACAAGCTCACGGTGGATGAGCTTATCGATGCGATGGACCTCAAGAACATTGCGCACCGCGAGGTGTCGTGCTATGGCATCTCGGCGAAGGAAGAGACAAACCTCGAGGCCGTCATTCAATGGTTGATGAAGTTCGCCAACAGGTGAGACATCTCGCCGTGAGCTGTCGCGTCTGTTTAGCTACCCATTTTTTGGCGAATCTCGGCCGTATTATTCAGGAAGTGGGTCGGACCGTTTTGTGATGCAGTGTCGTTGGAGTTTGTTATCTCGTTTTCTTTTTTCTGGTGTCGCTGCGGTTCCTCGGGGAAAGACATTTGATATATCGGCCGGCGACGACCAAATGCTCTCAGCAATTCTCCTTTGTCGTAGTGGAACCCCGGGATGCTGTCCAGGTTTTCATGAACTGACGATCTTCTGCACTGTCTCATGAGCAAAATGACCCATCTTTGGATGCGAGACAGACAATTTTCCGGCACTTAGACGGGCTCGGACTAGAGCCGCAAGGCCGGCGACATGACGAATAACATCTAACAAGTGGCGCTTGCCACTGGCAGCAATGGGGAAGAATAAGCACCTTTCTGATATGGCGGGATATGGCAAGGGCGCGATGCTTTCGAGAGTGATGAATGGGCAGTCTGATGTAGTTATCTCGAAACGCAACCCCCTATTAATCTTTTGTTTTCTTTCAACGAAATGACTCAGATGATGAGTTCATGACAACTGGGTGAACTGAAGCCCAACTTGAGCAATCAACCCCAATTTGTCGTGTGCACTTTCGACCGTGCGCGCTTTGGTCGAAAGTGCGCGAGAACCGCGGGGTGCCAGCTGCCAAGCCTTCCGGCGCGTATATAAGCAGGTAAGGCTTGGTGCGAAGGTCTAGCAGAACGCGGTGCAATGGAAGGAAAGGAAAACTGGGAATTGACGACAAATGAATAGCTCATGGAAGAACTGATTCTGGGATGGAGAAAGGAAAATGGAAGAGATGCAAGACCAGCAGCCAAGTCACGGATGAAGGTGAAGTAAAATAGCGACCTTGAGACTTACACACGGACCATTTCTCGACCTATTGACGTGTGAAGGTATCATTGGCTGCTTGCTCTCTGGGGAATCCATCGACATGATCCAAGACGCAAGACCCAAGACACGCACGCGCCGCCCCAAGCCCGTATCACCTCCCTGGGAGGGGTAAAGATGATGATGATGAAGCATTCATCCAATATGCATGAGAACGGCGACAGTACGGAGTAGCTCGTACTGTTGTTCAGAAACCGCGGAGCGAACAGCGAAAGGACATCAGCGACGGTCGGCGTGTTAGTTGGCGGGCTTCCTATCCTGGAAGCTTAGTCCTTAGTGGTTGGCGAGATCTGTGTCGTATGAAATTATCGACATACATACATACGGGATAGGAAAGGGGGCTCTTGGATCGACTTATGTACAGTACCTGAGTCGTGAGGTATTCGTACATGCGGCTGCCATAACTTCTTAGGTTGTCTCCTTCTCTCTTCATCTATCTTTCTCGACAATACGGCGCTCGTTTTCTTGACATATAAGAACAGAGCATGGAAAGCTCGGTCGCTCGCCGAGTTTCATTATCCGTACTTAGTCAGTCTTGAACACCTTGACTCCTAGAATGCCGGCCGCCGCAACCATTCGGCCACATCGATTCCGAGGATCGCGAGACGATGTTTGGGCTGCGAATTTCAACCCCTATGTGAGTCGTCGCAGCAGTGCAAAACGGGTGAATCGTGCGCCTTTGGTTCAATATAGCCGTGTAACTTCCTCGCTTCAGGGTTGGGACTGGAAAATACGAGCGCCTTCATCACATTCTCTTCCGCAATCGATGTTTGCCGTCTTGGGGTTGTCATAACTCCCTTCGTAGCTCGGCCTCGGAAAATAATGATGTCGACTGTTGAGAACCTCCTATTTGGAATGTGGCTCGTTCAGGCTTGTGTTAATGAGACGAGTGTTCCAATAAGCCTGTGACCGGTCAGTGAGACTCCTCCATTGCCATGCTTAATCTTCTCAGTCTCCAGTTAGATCCGTCAATGGAAATTCGGGTTGGAAGAACGCAGATCGCATTGGACTATGGCTTCGGTAGTACCATGCAGACACTCGAAGTGCTCCTATCGCTGCCAGGATGCCCGTCCACTCCCGGACAGAAAGGTAATCCCCGATTCACATGATTCCGTATACAGACCCTCCAGGAGCATGGTAAGGGGCCAAGTAGACTCGAGTCTTATTCCTATCTTGCCAAGGTGCGTTTGAGCAGCACCTTGGCAGGCCGTCACCCGAGGCCGAATATCGACTCGTAGCAGAACAATGCAATGCCGAACGCCGACCGTGCCCACGCAAAGTCCCCCGCTTCCAAACCGACCCAAAAACCGATCAACGATAGGACTTCTGGAACCTCGCACGAGCACCACGTCCACCAAACTTCTTGGGCTCGCAACGCCGAGGGTCGGCGACTAGCAGGCTGCGGTCGAACTGAATGAGGGCGGACTTGAGAAGGTTCTTGGAGTGCTCATCGATGTACTTGGCGTAGTAAGCGACCTACAATGGTGTGGCGCGTTAGTGTTCCGTCTCTCTTTCGAAATCAGATGGCTTCGGGTACTAACGATCGCCTTTGCAATCTGTCAAAGGAAGCATATTAGCATTCGTCTCCAAAATCTCCTCTGCACAGGTCACCCCGGGAAACATACAGCCTGGCGCGTCGCATAAACCTGGGAAGTGTGACCACCACCAGCGACCTTGACGCGAATATCGACCTCGGCAAACTTATCGGTGCCGAGAATGAGGATGGGCTCATAGAGCTTCGCACGGAGGATCTCAGGAGCGAACAGCTTGAGCGGCTTGCCGTTCACCCTGATCAAGCCCTTGCCCTGCACACAGCGCGCGACGGCTGCGACACGCAATCAGAAAGACGCCAATTTGAGTCGCTCAAAGCAAAGAATCCATACCTGTGGCATTCTTCTTCTTGCCAAACACTTGGACAGCTTGGGTCGCCATTGTGAGTTGCTGGCAAGATACCTTCCTGTTGGTTCGGTCGGCTGGATTTTTTGTCGGTAAATTTTGTGTGTGGAGGGGAAATCGGGATGGGGCTAGCGGCATCACGTGGCTTTGATTTTGTGGCTTGGTCCAGTTTTGTGGCTGAAGGACCTCGCAAGCCGTTCCAGAACTTCCGACGGGCAACTGCCCAATCGGCCGGCCGCCCCGGTGCAGCAGGCTCGCCGGCATTCGAGTGGGTCATGACGGCGAAATACACCGGAGGGAGATTCCGGGCCTACCAAGACGAAGCACAGAAATCTGGGGATGTTGACATCTCCATCGCATATTTACCTACTTGGGTATCCGACTTCCATGATAAAAAGATCCTTAAAGACGTACCTCCGTACTCATAATAGACAGTCATTCCTGCCTCCATCTCCCAGCACCCAGGCTCGTCAGGCATGTAGATCATCGTCTTTAAGTCAAGCCCGTTAGGTATACCGGTAACGCACGAAAGTGGTTAAATGGCACTAAAACACCGTTCAAGGAGTTAGGTAAGTTGACCGCCCCCGGGCCTGAGCCATCGCTTGGCTAGTATCTAGGTTCGTGCTTTGAGGAGGATCATCTCGAAGGGATGGGTAAGCATGGCTGGCCCCTTTATGGTGATGTTGGCGGGCTGAGAATTCCATTCCGTGGTAGCGAAGATGCTTGTTTGAGATAGTGAATTCGTCACGTAGCCGCTGGTGCACAGTCGGATTCACGGCAATCTGAACAGTTTCTTCTACTCCGTACTTCGTCTGGAGAACCAAGGTGCGGAACTCTCGAAGATCGCCGGATGGGGAGAGCCCAGCTTACGTCGTCCCAAGGACCGTCGTCGCCAAGCTATGTACATACCTAACGGACCTGAACACTTAATCGCGCAGGCTTGGCGGGCTGCCTCAATGAAATCATTGGCACACGGATTCCAAAGCACCACCTCACTTGTTGGCTAAGCCACACAAATGTCGACGCACCGTCCGCTGCAGTCAGTGCATGAGACTGGTGCCACCGTGCGCTGAGCCTCAAAACACTACGGTGTTGGCCCTGCTGGGCTCAGCGATCTCATCCATTTGCCACAGTGCCGAAACGCTGGGCCGGGACGTCACTCATCCGTCGGCTTTGTCGCATTACACAACACATTTCGCCCGCCACTTTCCTTACTTGCCTTTTCCAATTCTCTTTTCTTCGCCATCACCGGATTCTTCAAACTGCCAAAATCACCATCCAACATTTCTGGATTCTTGTCTCACGAGAGTTGCACTGAGACTTTCGGCAAGTGAATCGACTCGACAAGATAACATCATGGCGCCTGTTATTGAGGGGGAGACTGGCATGATGAAGCGCGACGTGTATGCGTGGTGCCCCTTCAACGACCAGTGATTCAATCGGCTAACGGTATCTCCAGTTGCGGGTATGGCTGGTATCTAGGACGCGACGGGTACTGCCATGCATATTCGGGTTGGTACTGGTGGGGAAGATGGGTGTTTGCGGGACTGGCGATTCTCTTCGTCATCCTCGTCTTTCTCCTTCTATTGTAAGGCAGGCTCCTTATCGCACCTTTGTGGATTAACTGATTGACCTTGTTTCGAAACAGCCGCAACTCTCGCCGCCGCAGAAGGCAAGGCCAACAGCCCCTCTATGGCACGGGCTGGATGGCGCCTGCGCCGCCTTACTATCCTCCTCCTCCACAGTATACTCCTCAGGACAACAACCCGCTGCCACCTGGCTACAAGCCCAACCAGAATGATGGGTACTATGGCCAACAGCAGGAAGGTATTCAACTACAGCCGCCGGCGAGCGCCTACCACCGGGCCACAGACAACACCGATTACGCTCCTCCCCCTGGACCGCCACCGAACGCGACGAAGCCGAACTGAAGGAGGAAGTGTCGGTTCGAGTTGGGATCAATGGTTGGCGTTACGGGTGCTTCGTGACATTTGACAGTGAGTTGAAGGCGGGCACCTGCAGAAACTAAGTTTGCAGGAAATTAGGTCTAGTTACTGTTATGTTCTATTCTCTAATTCTATCTTAGCATGCTTTTGGCGTGAATTTCCTTGACGTTCAGATATATTCCCTTCATAATGAATCGCAGATTTGCACCCATTGCAGGAGATACTGCGACGTGTGAGCATTAGCCTTGTGTTTGCTTCTCTCGCTTGACCAGTTGAGCGAGGTCTTGTCTTGAACGAAGCTCTCGAGCTGGCGCTATGACTATTCCGACAGGGCCCTCACGAAAGCTTCCCGCATTTGTGACAAGCTTGTGGACGAACGAAACACCATCGGCTGATGCCATCGAGCTGGTGTGTTGAAGCTCATCCGGGATCATCTCCAGTGGCATGCTCGTGTAATGCGCTGGGCAGAGTTATAAAGGGACCGGGAGGCAGAAATCCTCGGTAAATTCCACTCGAAAGCTAACCAGCTGTCTGGAATTCAGACATACAATACCTTTTGATATCCATGTCATACTGAAGCCTGAGAAGTTATGGCCGCTAAGAGTGTCAATCAAGACTGCTTATTCGGGTCACTTTATCGTTGTCCTGTCCACAAAACTGTCGTTACCTTTGTCCCGTTTCTGTCCCCGTTTTCTTTTCTGGTTTGCAGAAGGGAAGCCGGCAATGGCCAAGGTAAAAGGGGGAAATGAGGATGGGAATGGTGATCACCCCACAGCTTTCTGCAACAAGTTGTGCCAGACTCGGAGTTGATGCTCAACAGAAGGCTCTGTATATCTCTCAAACTTTGTCCATGAGAGCTCCTGAACAGAATTGAACTCGATGCATTTGTTTAGCTTACAGGCTGGAGTTGCATGGAGTCTTGTGAAGCTCGCTGGTATGCGATTCAAGGTGGTTATGTCATGGCGAAGTTGGCCGAAAACAGGGTGCGGAAAGGGTGGGTGGGATTGTGGCCAAGCGAGCCTAGAATTCAAAGCCCCGCCTTCCTCATCCTCATGCTACAATCCTCTTCCGGTTGCATTCTCGACAGAATCTTTCAAAGGGCCTTGTTGGCGAGTGAAAGCAATTCACAAGATTCCTTAAGGAGGTCAAAAGATATTGACTGGCGCAGGAGCAAGGCTGCAAGGTACTTGTGCAATACATTCAGCCCATTCAATACCCAACCCCACAGCCATTGAGGCAGGACAGGAACTACTCGTCAGGAGCTTCATAATCGCATCTGACCCACTACTTCGTAGAGGGTCAGGACCTTTAACTCGCGAAAAGTCAGTTAACTCGCGAAAATATGCCACTATATACACTACTATACAAATTTGTTAGTAAACCAATGTTATCCCGTCTTCTTGTATATATCGCTTGCATATATACCTATCAATTTGAGCTATACTAGGACTATATAAAATTGAACCTATATTCAATGTTAAAACTATATGTAATTGAGCCTCTTCAATTCTAAAGCTGTATTTTCAGTCTTTAGTTGTATTCCAACCTATATTCGTCGCCTATATACTAGGTGGTAGCGATAGAGCGATATCTACAATGGTATTAAGGTTAGTAGATACAACTAATTGAGCATTGCTGTATGATAAATCACTATATTATAGACTTTAACAGTATAGTGTACGAAAAATTGTATACTTGGATTTGTATGGGGATGTACCATTAAGTGGAAGTACCTGATTTTCGCGAGTTAAAGGACCTGACCAACTACGAAGTAGTGGGGCAGGAGGCGATTATGAAGCCCTGACGAGTAATTTGAGCCTCTCCAGCTTCCGGGAAATAGGATGATTGGACCCCAATGCAAGGATTAGAAACAGATCGGTACCTTGCAGGGAGTTAAGACGAACGAAGGGGATAAGGCGGACCAATGCACTGCAACTGCTCCCCTCAGCCTTCGCACTTCTTCTCGAGCACCGCGCACTCTTGATTCCCACCAGGATTCACAGCGCCCGGGCAGTTTCACCTCCTTCCCGCATCTAAGACAGAGCAGAACCACTCCCTTGGTCGTAGACGATCGCAGCCTTCTGCCTTGTCGCATTGTCGCCTCTTCATCCCTTCGTTCCCTGCGCAACCCATAAGTTGCATCCCAGCCCGACGTTCATTTCCGCCATTCGTTACCCTGCCGTGTCCGTCGTCGCCATCTGACGTGGCTTCTCATTCGAGGAAACAAAAATCCTTTGACGTTCGTTTCGCACTTGCGTTTAAAGAAACCAGGCGATCTCAAGCGACCATCGAGATCTACGAGTCACTTGGCGATCCGAGACCGACGCCCAGGTTTACCCGCGCTTAAGCCTGCCTCTGTCTGGCCGGCCTGTGGGAGCGGAACGGTGTCATTTTCGCTAGACGATCACACACAGGCAACAACAAGCTGCACAATGGGGTTGTAGCACTTGCAGACGTTTTCGCGTTGGACTTCATTCGACAGAATATCGCGTTTGCGAGTTTCCTGCGAACCTCGGTGCTGTTCCCCCTTCAGTCTCCGATCGCCTCTTGAGCAGAAGGGGAAGCTTTTCGAGGTCAGGATGCCGGCGGTCGATGTCGCGATGGAGCGGAGTCTGAGGGGAGGATTTTTAGATTTACTGGCCGCTAGTTTGCGACCGGCGCTCCACCGGAGAGATCTCGCGGGACAGATTACAGACGTCAGGTTGGCCTTCTCAAGTTGGGACAACTGCATGCAGGCCACATTTTGCAAGTACGTCGGTTCCCGTTTTACCGTCTTCGGCAGCGATGGCTGCGATACTTACTTGAACAATTTAGGTGGCCTGTCATTGCCGTCATTATTGTCGGCGGCTTGATCCTCATCTCCGTGGTGGTGTGTATTGTTCGGTGTGCTTGCTGCGGCCGTTCTTGCTGCTGCTCTTGCTTCTCATGCCTCAGATGCTGCGGTAACTGCTGCGGCTGCTGCGACCCGCCGAGAGGCAGCCGGCGCAAGTATCTCGATGAGCCATACATCCCGCCGGATCAAGGGTACAAGTCTCAGGCGCCGATGCACGCCGGTTTCACTGGACCAACAGCGCCGGTAACGAAGGGGCCAGACTATCCCCAATATGCCGAATTCGATGTTGGGGCCAAGAGGAACGAGGATGCTTTACCCGAGATGCCCAGTTGGGAAGGCGCCGCCAGCAAGAAGGTCCCCCTTGAGGAAGAGGCTGTTGAAATGAACGCGCTGAAGAAGCCTGACCCTGCCGTTCAAGTCGGCAACAGTACGGGCTCAGCTACCGCGGTGTCTTCGAACTCCTCTAGATCTCCGGTAAACCGAAGCCCGTATAGGGCGCCGAACGCCAACCCTGGACCCAACGATTATTTCAACCACGAGGCAGTCGGCAACGATCCATACGCGCAGGCTGCGCCAGCATATAACCAACCAGACCTAGCTTACGGTCAGTCAGACCATGGGTACGGAATGGCGGGGGCTGCAATTGGCCCAAGTCCGCGTTCGCCGCATGCCTATGACAACGGGTATAGCAACGAGGGGTATGGTCAAGCCGTTGGCTATACTTCACCCACAGGTCAGGAAACCTACGGTGGCTACAGCGCGGCGGGGCGGCAGCCGTACGACAACTACAACAGCTATGGCTCCCAAGGCAACCCGGGCTACGGCATAAGCCGCCATCAATCTCCGCATGAAATGGACGCGGGTAACGGCTACCCCCAAGACGCTCGGCATTCGCCCGCCCCGCATGGCCCATACAGCGCCGCTGGGCGCTACAGTCCTGACTCGCGACGGTCGCCCGCTCCACAGGGAGATTATACCCGCCGATCTCCAGCTCCTGGGACAGAGTACGGCAGCGGGTACGACAACCGCCCCGGGTATGCGACGCGGGGGTACTCGTCCGAGTCGACGCGGCCCCTGCGAGCCCCACCCCAGCGCCAGTACACATCCAACTCCATCAACGACGTCACGAGTCCCAGCGGATCGCAGAACAATATCAACGGCTTTGACTTCTCCACGTCGGGGTACAGCCGCCCCCCGGCTATTGGCGGCGGCGTGAATAGTGGCGGGTATCGCCTGCCGAGTCCGGGTCCAGCTGTGGAGCGGGGGACGGCTTATCCGGGCTATAAGCCTTACCAGCCCGCTGCATAGCCCTGAAACGAGATAAAAGGGGCGGGATGGAAGATGGGATGTAATGACCAAGGAGTCGGTGATCTTCGTTTTCATTTGCGCTTGCTTGCCTGATTTGTTCGCGTCGCGTCATATAGATGGTGCTTCTTCTTTTCTTTCTCCCATCCTGATGAGTTTGGGCCGTCAGGGATACCCGGAAAAGCGGGCGGCGCGAGGACGTCTTTCTCCCATGCTGGCGACATTTACATTGCGTTGTATTTTGTGGTGGGCTGGTGATGATGCCTAGTTTCAATTCGTTTCATTTCTTCTTCTATTTTCGCCCGGCCGGGGACAGAAGGTCTCCCTAGGTTTACTGCCTCTTTTGGCAGGAGCCGACATTACACTGGCGACCCAACACCCGCCTTGATCGTGATCGGGTATCAGGGAGGTCTGAGCTGCCAGCACCGCACAGAGAGTGGGCAGGCCACCCTCTCCTCCCCAGTTGGGTGGCCGCTGCCCGCTGAACCGAGCGAAACGGTCTGCTGCCGAGTTCGTGTAACATTTGGGCATTTCGGTCCCGCTGGTTGAAGGCCGTATTTTGATCTTCTCTTCTTCTTTGGCGATGAGGATGTGGCTATGGGGCAGGTATGAACATCCGACAGATGTGTTAGTGTTGGATGGACGACTACTTTTCCCAGCCCGGCGGTGCTTGGGCTTAATGGGCTTGATTGTATCATCACATATTACATGTGGGGGGTGACGGTTGGTCAAGGTAGCTCGGATCGTTCGCTGCAAAGCAGCACTTACAAAGAACAGAAGCCGGCGGGCCTTTTTATACGCGTCTTACCTCTGCACCCCGATTGGGCCTTTGCAGGACTTAGTCGGGCTGTGATCGGCTGCTGATGTTGGCGTACCCCTCCTGTCTCATGTGTGTGTGCCCCGATGATCAGGGAGCCAGTTTGTTGGTCCTGCTATCTACTATTACCGTCTCTCTTGCCGGGAAAGGAGGCGGGCAAACATGAATGGGCCTATGGTCAACAATGGGGAACGAGCCCGCTCACAGGTTCAGTAAGCACAACATCGCCGAGCAAGCGTTACGATACATATACCAAAGGGTAAGGGCAGGCCAATAGTAATCAAAGGTCCAAGCCTGCCTTAGTCTATGAGCCGCATGTTTTTAGCTTCGAGTCTAGGGCAGTAGATGGTAAAAGGTGCGAGATCGATGTGGGGTGGCCGTCTTAATAGGCCAGGATTCGAGCTTCAGGCTGAGATACACAGTATGTGCTAGAGCCTAGCCCAGTGGCTGGGCGGGACGCATGAACCCAAGGAACAGATGTTTTCTCTCCGACGAACTGGCTCGGACTGGAAAGCTAGTGTACGTGTAGCTTCTCGCTTTTTAAAGCTGCAAGTGACGTGGTTCCGTGGCAGTGCTCCCAAGTACGAAGTTCGCTAGACCATGGACCCTTAGCTTCCCGTAGTACTTCGTACAGCAGAGAGGGCTCTAAATCCGCGGACTTGCGTAATCCATAGCGGATGCTATATCAGATGGCATGTGCTTGAAACTTGATGTTTGCGAGATGGACAGTATTGTTCTAGGATGAAAGGCACGTCTTCTGATGAATCGTCCCTTTTGGATGGTAATTTTGAGTTGCCAAGGGTTTCAGTTCTCTCGTCGCATCCCCAATCCAAGATCCGAAAAGGGGAAAGCTTGCACGGTATCGAGGGTATGGAGGAAGCGAGACCAGGGGTTGTGCGCTTACACACTGAACAGGAAGGACCCCTGCAGCTGCGAGGAACCAGGTCATTGGAAATGACGTTGATCGTCTCTTCCCAATGTCACCGAATCCCCAAGAAGTTTTGGGTTCTCTTTTGTTCCAGCACATCTTCGGCGTCCCTTCGACATCGGGTGAAGAGGAGACTCACAGCAGGCCAGCCTTGTTCATTTGAGTACTGTACACGTACACTTTCTGACTAGGGACTGTCGTGCATGTGCGGCCATTCGCAGCCAGCCGACCCCGGATGGCGTGCAGGACTAAGAGAATCTGGCCATTCAACATCAACGTGGCTGAGGAACCGACGAAAAGAATTAATAGACAGTGCGGCTACTGCGGAAAACGGCAGCCTGCGGAAGACGTGCTTGATTTATTGGCCCAGGCATGCCAGGGTTCATTAAGAGCACCAGATCCTGGTGCTTCTGGTCCGTCAGACCTGGGGGGCGACTTGTGTTGTTGCACTGCCGAATTCCTCGATCCTGTTTTTATACCCTACGTCGCCTTAGGCCCCTGGTGTGAGCTTCTGTCGACAGAGAACGCCATCCTACAACTATGATGAGATTACGGATCTTCAGATCATTGAATGATATTCGCATGTCCCTCCACCGCTGAAGCGCAAGTCTGAAGTTTCCATCCTCAAAGCCCGGCTCGACTCCACAGCCTATACAGCCTGAGACCCGCTGTGTGCGCGTCGCCACACGACTCCCCTCCACTTTGAGGAAGCCAACATCGGCTTTTTGGGACCACGATCATCCCGAGACCGACAATCTGGAAGGTATAAGGCCTGTCGGAAACCGTCTTTCGCGGACGGCCAAAACCGAGACACGCTGCGCCCGATAACATGTCGGGTAAGTCTCCATCACTTCCTGAGCCCGCATTTCCATTGCAGGTCCTACCGTCCCACCTCCAAGGCTGGAAAGAGCAAGTAGACAGCATCGAAATGAAAAGGCGGACGGAAGAAGAGGGTATCATTTGCTCTTGCAAGCCAAAAAATGCGGGCGCGCGGCCTGTCAAACCGTTGCACCCGGAGACGGGAAGCAGCGGTGTCGGTGGCATGGAACGTGGCCTGGCTGGGTTGAAGAGTGATGACAAAATCGCAGACAACACGATGAGGCAGCGGTTATCTCTGCTTGGGCTTGGTCTATTTACCTCCCTCCTACCAATGCTCACATCTAGTGCAGATTCACGGACGACACCCGATATCCATCGAAAACCAGCCTCGGGAGCCCATATCAGCCATAGCTCCCTTGCAACAATAGCTACGGCCAGGACCAGCGAAGACACCAAATCTGACAGTACCTCCTCGTATCTTCACCGCGGTACAGGATCTACTACCCCTCTGTCGTCTGACCAGACTTCCCCATTCTCTGAGACCACGCCCTACGAGTTCCCGAGCCGGGATGAGCTAGGCAAGGTGTCGGCAATGCCCTCGTCTCCCCCCCCTCCGCCACGTCCAACAGTCCTTAGAAAGACCTCCACACCGCCCCGCATACCTGCAGTCACAGCGACGCAAGCCACGCCACGGGCTGGCACGAGATCTCGTGACAGGAGTCCGGCAGCTGAGCGCCCCCCATCGAGGGCCAACAAACCACAGCCCAACCGTCTGCAGCCGCTTCATGGACCTCCAACTCACAATGCCCATGGGCGCAGTGTCTCGGTCCAACAGTCAACAACCCGTGGGGCCTCAGCGGATAGCCCACGAGTGGTATCTAATCCTATTGACAGCCGGCTGCAGTCGATGCAGTCAGGCGAAGGCAACTCCCTTGGCACCGCAGAGAAGAAAAAGGTGAAAAAGAGCTGGTTTCCCGGGGGTCGGTCAAAACACAGCCCGGACGAATTGGCGAAGACGCATGACACTGGGGCCTGGCTTATATCTCCGGATAATCGAGCGGATTACAGCACGGTTCCTTTGCTGAATGGAGACCCTGTATGTTCTCTGCACGGATTTTAACATGGCAGCTGTGCTAACCTCGTATAGGTTCCAGAGTTGTGGAACGAACAAGGGAACGTCTTTGTTTATTTACATCCCAAAGGGAGCGGCCGCGGCCCATCCTTCAAGGTCGCTGACCATGTCTTCAGCACCTCGGTAACCCTGAACGAGTTACTGGTGGCAGAGATGATGGCTGCCGCTCAGTATCTCGGGGTCGAACAGGCCGAAAGACCTGTGATTGAAGGCCACCTGTACCTTCCCAGTGGCAGCAGCGACCTGCAAAGCCTCGTCTCTGCCAGGAATCTATTCGCCTTCCTAACTCACCAGCCTCTCGTGGGTACGAAAGAAACTCCCAGTCTATTTTCCGCCATTCTGCAGCTTTCATCGTTGCTTCGAGAATTCAACTTCAGTAACTACGACGGCAGTTCATTCGGGGAATCAGTTGATGTAGCCTTCGACCAACTCGTGGACCAGTTCGGCCTCGCAGATGTGCGGCACAGTGGGGAGAAGACACTGGAGGCGCTTGTCTTAGCAGAACAAATGAAGTCTTGGAATTTGTACAACGAGGCTTTTGCTCATGCTGTGGGCAAATACGAATCTCTGCTGGACCTGAGATCACCCATCTATCCCAGAATCTCTACCAATACCCGCAAGCGACTGGAGCGCGCCCATCTGGACCTGGTAAACCGCCAGGCCAATGTCAACGCTCGGATCGAGTCATTCGAGTTCCCCTCCCTCTTTGCGGGCATCGCCAGCTCAACCTCGACAGAAGAGTACAGGAATGTGAAGTTCAAAGAATGGAAGAACAACTTTGGCAAAATGAGGAGCTTCGTTCTCAACTACTACAAGGGGCTTTTCGGCAGCTGGCCGCCCAAAGCCAGGAGCAGAAAGAATCACTTCTCTCAGAGCGGCCTAAACCGTCAGTGCCTGAAAATCCTTTATTCGGACCTGTGTGCACTCTATGACCTCTTGGTCGATCGCAAGTCCATTACACCCCGTGTCATCGCCGAGGCCGACGGCCCCTCGGATGATGCCAAAGAGAAGAATGGTGCCGACCCTTCCATATCCGCGCTGCGGAAGATCCTGAGTGAGTTCGAGAAGTCGTCTCCTCCAGTGCTGCCGCCAATCCCATACGATATCCCCAAAATTCCGAGCATGACTGCAATTTACGAAAACTACAACGAGCTGCCGGCGAAGAAGCAGGCCAAGTACAACAAGAGCCTCCAGTCACACGAGCTCCAGCTGATCCTCATAAAGTCCCGCAACATGGACACGGACGCGTTGCAGATGCCGTTTCTGGCCGCCTTCAAGGACTTTGAGCTCCGAGAGGCGAGAGGTGTCCAACCTCAGGACCTAGCCGACCAGCGTATCGGCTTCTGGTTGTTCCTGTACGTCGTCCTCCAATCTCTCCCGATGCTAGTGGTCGACGCTCCGGGGCTCCAATTCACCGAGGGTGTCGAGGACTTTCTCTGCGAAGCACCACAGGGCAACCCCCCGTGGACGGAAGACGCCGGCGAGGTACGCAAGATGTGGTACCAGACCGCCGACCAGAACTTCGTGGAACTATCCGCGGATGTCCTCGTGTTCAGTGTCGAAGGGATCTACACGCGGAGCCACTGCTGGCTGGTTGCCAAGGAGTGGGAAGCAGCTGCCTCTCCCGCTCTAGCTCCGGCCGCCGGTTCCCTACGCCCGTCATCCCCGACTTCTCTGCAGCCCCCGCACACCCTCTTCCCTGAATTGGATCCCTTTGCAACCGGCATCAGCACAAACCACAACCTGAACATCCCCAACCAAGTGGGAAGCGGCGGGGGTCTGTCGGCACCCAACTCCCCGCATCTGCGCCCTCGCAGCGGCTCCCACGACCACCGTGCGCGTCACGCCTTGCGCGCGAGCATGGCCATCGGATTGGAACCCTTGCCTATCCCGGCCGTCGGCGCCGGCGATCGAACTTCGCGTATCGTCAGCGCCGGCTCCGGACTCTTTCCGTCTGCGGGGGGCGGTTATGGGCCTGGCGGTGGCCCGGGGGATATGTACCAGCTTGGTCTAAGGACTAGCCGGTCGGCGGTCAATCTCAACCAATTTGGGGAGTTGGGCCCCCCGGGCGAGGAGGCAGGACAGTTGGGATTCGCACCGAGAAGAAGTGTCTATGGTGGCCTACCACCCCCGGCTGCTCTCGGTGGTGGACACGTCCGGGGTGCTTCTCATGGTGGGGTTGGTGGTGGAGCCGGAGGAGGGAGTACCTTCGACGATATACTCAAGGGGATGGATAATGGGAAGAAGGCAAAAAAGAAGCTTTTCTTCTAATCTTGATTAATTGTGATCTGATCTCATCTGATGTCGGGCCAGGGGTGGTGTGGGTTTTGCTCATGGAGGGATTTGTGGATGTTTTACAGGTGTGGTTGGGCTTCGTTGGCTGTTTACTGGACTAGTTCTGTCCGTCTGTCTGTTTGTCTATCTGGCGTGCCATGTTGTACGGATATTGAAAAGCGATTCGGGGTGTTTTGGCTGTCTGCTGTGCGTTCTTGTATCTCTCTCTTAGATGTTTCTCTTCGCCCGCCCTGACCATATACCATTGGCTGAGGCTTCATGGCATCTTCATGGATGATACCCTAATCTTGAATCGTTTCTATTAATCCGTGATTCGTCCACAATCTTCTCTATTGTATTTGTAGGTATTGTACATACAAGTGCCGTATTAGATGGTTCGAGCAGCTGCGGCAGCGGAACAATTCCGTTGTTTCCGGTCTTGCTGTCAAAACTCTGGACCCTGAATCAGGTCGATGGGTGTTGCTTTGATTACGATATGTATGTACAATACATGCATAGGCCAGCATCTTCCTGGGTTTGGGTTGGATACTAGGTACCCTAGTAGTAACGCAAGGCAGACACAGCAAGCAAGTAAGTACCTTAACACGGGAGATGGGAGGTTGGTTGAGGGCGCGGAACTGTCCTGTGCATATGTGCGTACATAGGTACATACATAGGTACCAATCTAGATTGAAATATGCATACTATTTGGTAGTTCTCGGAGTGCTCCCAGTTGATAGGGAAATGGGTTGGCATGGCGTTAGTTCAATTAGTAACTGGGAAGTCTAACTCTCCTTCAACATTGAATTTTCCATCTGTCTGCAGGTGCCTTTGTCAATGGCCAGTTTCTAGTTTTGACCGGGTTATTTCTAACGAAATGGAAATCTTCGTTTGGTTGCTTTTGCCACTTACCGGTATTATGCCTTGACGTGGTACGCAAGTTGTTGTGCCTCTCAAGGAGTAAGGTATGTACATACCTACCTCAGTTTCTCTGCTGTACGGGTATACGAATGTACTTCACAATGAATTGTACTTTACCAAGGTCTGCAGGGAGTCCACCGTAGGCTCCTGCGGGCATCCCGGATTCTTCAAGAACCAAACCGTCATCACGGATGCGCACTGCAGTCCATGAAAGAATTCCATCTACTCTGGCGTATCGGCCGAGCTTATTTCGCGCCTTAGGTATGATACTGTACCCCAATCAATCGAACCGGGTGCTGTACCGAAACACCTTTGAATTTACGTTTTGCGGGATTGCGCAAACCCGGCGACTCGGCACGGCACTTACATTGAATGACATGCTCAGTCCAGACTCCGAGGTGTGTTTACCATCTCAGGTGTAGCTTCGCGCAACTCGAATAGCATGGCGGGCCTCATTCGACAACGCACCACATCTTGGCCTCGACAGCGGGCGCGCGCCGTCGCGCGGGCGCAAAGCAACAAACGTCTTTCGTTGTCGACCCTCTGCGACTGGCATCCCAATCTCAACCCGCCTCTGTCCTGTCAACAGCATTGTGTCGCAACCCATGTCACTTCCTAAAGTTCCGGCACTCGAACCCACGACACTCCAACGCCCGCGCAATTGTGTGCGCTGCGCGCCTAGCAGCCACAACATGCTCGCTTGGCCGGTTCAGTTGCACCTTGGCCTCAGCAGACGTAGGTAGGTTTTTCGTGCGCAGTGACATATACCTTACCATGCATACAACAGCGCTGCGCTGGGTCCTTTTTGCTTCTGGGCTGGTCTCGAGCACTGGCGTACGACATGCCAGTGCGCAACTCACCATTTTGCCCACACAAACGTGGCCCGCTGCTGATGATGATGGGGAAATGGGGCAGCGGGAGGTTTTCGAGCAGAGGTGCGGTTGCACAACCCAGCTGTTGGACTAAATGTCGTGCTTGGCGAACCTTCCCAACAAGGCTGATTCAGGCTTGACAAGAAACGGATATGTACAATACCGTCGTGCACCGCTCTGGAAGTGTGCGAAGCTGCTGTGGGGGATGGCATTTGGGTTGAACAGACCTTGTTTTGGCAATTCGCACATTTGCGCAGTTTCCTCTGACCTCTCGTGCAAACATAGGGCCTGACGGAGAAGGATATCGTCAGATGAATGGTTTCGAGCAATTGACATCCTGCTTGGTGGCAGATGGAACGTAGACTCCTTCACCATCTCCACAGCTTTTTCCTTTCGATGGTCTGGGAAGATGCCAAAAGGAGAAGAAAGGGAACGCTTCGGCAGTTCACAAGGCGTCTCATCATGTCATTGCCGAATTGGGGAATTGTTCAAGGACAGGGAATCGACTCTACACTTGCGATTCCCATCAACTCTTTAAAACAGATCTCTCCCGGTGGCGTCACCGTGAAAGTGAGAACGCCTTGTCTGCGCAGTGGCGTAGGCAATTGGTGTGGTTTAGACTGAGTGCAGTTCACCACGGCCCCGCCAGTGCTCCCGCGATGCGATCCTGGTTTCCGGAGAGACAAGGTTCTCCCATTGGCTCGATTCTGCCAGGTCCAGAGAGTCATTGACCAATCACACACCCCTGCTACTCCGGTTAGGGAAAGTTGGTGAAGGCTGCCTTTGGTGTAAGAGGAGTGAAGAGGGTGGGAAGGAGGCTCATGGAGGCGCCTTGCGAAGCACAGAAAACTCGACGAGAGGAAGCTTCATCTGCCTAGCCCGAATCTCCCCTTTCCTTCGAGCAGTAGTATACCATCACGGTGTTTCTCGGTTTGCCGGACCTATTGGACTACCTCGGTTGCCTTGACTTGTGCTGGTTCGACCCGGTTCGTGTTGCTTTGTTGTCCCATCTGTCCCGCAAGCCCACACAGGCGTTGGCACCAGAGATAGCAGGCGGCGGACCAACCATGTCATACATGCTAGACCGCCCTGCCCCCAGCATGACCAGCTCGGCTTTTGGGCGCCAGTACGGCGGGTCCCCTGCACCTCCCCGCAGCGTTTCGTCCGGGGTCGGAGACACTACCGGCAGCTCATCTTACACAGATGATGAGTCCGAGTTCTTTGACTTCGATCTGTGGGACAAGAATACCCGCGGCGTAGGAACGGATGCAACCACACCGTCGAGCATCCCTCCGGAAGAGAGCCTCGCGCCTAGTCCCCCGCTTCTGGGCCCGGGAAGTTCCATTGCCACGCCTCCCAGCCACGGAGAGGATGTCCCAATGTTGGATGTTGATTCCCACGAGACCCAACCGCCCCACGTGTGGCCGGGAATCTCGGGCCCTCACCCCCCAAGAGATGGCGCCATTCACTTCGAACAGTCAACCGAGACACAGCGTGGCATGTCTCGACCGCCTAGCAGCCCAAATAGCTCTGATATGCCCTTTCTCGGCCAGTTACAGGCCATCTTGCCTCCAGGCCAGAAGAAAACCCGAACGGTTAGGAACCCAGTGGAGACAAGCCAAGTGCGGAATATCAAGGCTTGTTATTGTTGCAAAATAAGCAAAAGCAAGGTAGACCTTCCCCAAGTCGTTCAGGTTCCGTTGAACTGGTGAGCTGACCGACGCGCCCAGTGTGACACGGCCCTGGTTTGTGAGCAGTGCAACAAAGGACCGTTGCCTGAGCAAGCATGTATCCGCAAAACATTGTGCGAAACACTTGGAAGCGCGTACGGTGTGTTCCCTAAGTGTTGCCTCTCGGGAGGGAGGGAACTAACTTTATGAAGCGCGTTGGAACTGGAATGACGCAGATATATTGTTGCCAGGCCGCGCACAATTCGTCGAGGATCACCCACTTCGCCTCTTGATCTCCTTATCCGACAGTGTCGATGGTCCCTTTCTGGATCTAGTGGCTCACCCCTTCAATCTGCCGAACCAGAAGGATCGGGGCATTCTCCGATGGGGCATCATACGCGATCGGTCGCCTGGCCTAGAGGGGATGATTTGCGAATGGATGAAGTCCCAGATCCTCAATGAGAAAAGCACAGGCTTTGAAGCTCAAATAGATAAGCTCCTATGCTTGTCAGTGTCTCGGCAGGAAGCACTTAGCCAAACAGAGGGACATACTCAGGCCTGGATGACGCTGTTGCGCGAGCTTCTCGAGATGAAATGCATGCTAAAGATTTGGAGTTGCAAGCAACTGTTTTTCGCTCTGAAACGGGGGTCTCCACCAATTCCGTTTGACCCGCGATTGGCGTCAATCCAAGACTCTCTTCGTGTGCTTGCCGCCGAGAAGATATCGGAGCTCGAGCGGACTGTCGTCAAACAGATCCAAGAGAACTTCGTTCTCAAGAAAGACACCGCTAAGGAGCCAGGCGCCTCGCCGACCAAGCGCGCCAGCTTCGACGGCATCAGGTGGCTAGTGTTATGGCAGATGATCCTCATCTACCGCAAGTCGCTGGGATGGATGCTGGAACAACAACAGACAAATGCTGCTCCAATACCGATAGCAGGTCAGTTCACCAGACCCTGAGACGAACCCATCAAACGCTGACCTAGAAAGCAGTGGCGGGAATCGAGAAAAGACACAACTTCCGTGAGACAACTAAGCAGTTGTTGAATGCCATCACAATAACCTACTCGGCGTTCTTCCACAAGAAGAAGGTGCAGAAGCTCAAAGCCGCCGGAACTCACGAGTTCTCAAAAGACCCCGAGACACAGGAAGCCTTTGCACGAGCGTGGCAAGGACTGCCTGAGTTCTGTAAGTCAACAGAGGCCGCCACCACGTGTGAACTCATTCAATACTAACCTTTCTATCAGTTGAGCAAGTGCGGGGGCAGGTCGCGCCCACCGATGAGCTTTTCAAAGCGTACATCGTCGAGAACGAAGCAGACATCTTGACGAAAGGAATCAATACTCGAAAGTGAGAGCGGTGATGGAGCTTATAGCGCCAAGCACTCGCTATTACATTGCCGATGCACGGTGAGATTCACTGTATGCTCGGCCGACTTTGGGATACCGCAGGTGTTATGAGGCGTTTGGGGGTTTAAAAAAAGGGGAGGCATTACCCACACGGGAATATCTGGGTCTGGCGATGAATGGCAGATTGAGTCTCGAAGCCAGCTCGGGCAGCATGGCTATGAATGATGACTTTTGCGTTTTGATTACCGAACGAACTGTTATATATCCGGGGCGTACTGAAGCCGGGCGATAACAATGGTGTTGAACCGAGGAAAGTTGACGATATAGCCCACCAATGTCAGATTGTTGTTCACGGCTAGTGGCTGAGATTATGGCAAGTCGCATGTTGATTCGGGCTTCAGCGGAGGGGGCCAACTGTAACGGTGACGATGACTTTAGGCCCATCATGTTGCTGCTTCCCAAGCTTCTTGAAGAGACCAAGAAGGTTGTCCGGATCCAGCCCCCTTGCAGCACCCTCAGCAATCAAGATCTCCAAAAGGATCTTGACCCTTTTGCCATGTTCAGCGGTAGACCGGAATCTGCGATTCGAGTCAGCATCCCGGCAAGTAAGGTGTTCTTAGTACTCTCCCCTACCTGATATTGTCTTGAATGCTCCGCCGCGTCCTTGGCCATTTCCTTAGAACCATTGCCAATGCTGCAGTTACCGCTCCCGTAAAGTCAGCCCAAAATGTCGCGCCCGGATCTGCTGCTTCCATAATCGCTTTGAGGTTTTGGTGTAGCTGTTGATCAATGAGCGCTAGATTCGCTCCCCATCGTGCGCAGAGCGTAACACCCAATACGGCACGGGCTAGATGCGTCAGTCCGGGTTGGTCAGGGCAGTTAACCGCGTGGTGCAAAGCGGCAGAGGCATTGCAATCAGCATCCTCCCCTAAGCGGTTCCAGATCTGACTAGCGTACATAGCACCAAGCTGTAAGCTGAAGACGGTGACTACCGTGCTCAAATCTAGGTTCGTTGGGAAGGCCGACCGCAGGGTGTCGAGGACGTCTTGAACGCATCCCAACTCGTCGCCGGGGATTGAAGGAGCTGGGAGGCCTGCGAGGGCCACTGAAAAGTCTAGCGGATTGCTCTCTCGAAGCTCTGGAGGCAGCCTCATCATCAAGGCGCCTTCTCGGTTCCCTCCGGCACAAAACGTGACGGAACGGATGGGTGGAATGGCAGCAACGAGCGCGTCAACTACTTCGACTATGGCGGGGAACTGGGCGCGCCGGCGATTCGACATACCGAAAATCTTGCCATCAAACGACGTGTTGACTTTGAGCATGTCATTGGTTCTGCCAAACAGCTTGCCCGAGACGGTGAAGGACGCGACTGACGGAATCGGGTATGGCCGGATCGGGTTGTTGTGCATCAGCATGCTTCCGTAGCCCCTGAATCCTCCTCCACAAAGATAGACATCGATTCCCGAGACTCTACTGCTCCTAGACAACTCATCCTCATGGACCTCGGCGGCGGCTGCGGCAAGAGAAGGGAAGCTGGCACACAGGGTCCGGAAAGCCTCGCTGAGGCCGTTCCGGAGCTGTGATTTCTCGGCAGCTTGTACTTCAGCATTGGAGCTCTCGAGAACTTTGATAAGGCGAGCTGCACCAAAGGGCAGGCTTTGCCCTGCTAGCGCCGCAAGGACCTCATAGCCAGGACTATCCTCCGAAGTGCCAGCCCTGGCAGCGTAGGTGTCCAAGTACGTCATCTGCACACTACCTCCGCCGAGGTCAAGAAAGAGCCCTTTCACGTTGATGAAACCAGAACGGGCTCCCACGGCACCGAAGAGCGTCTCAACCTGCGGCGTGAGGACATGAACGCGTAAGCCCGGGACTGCAGCCTGGATCGCTTCAAGCATCGCGGCAGCATTCTGAGCCCGACGCATTGCCTCCGTGGCAAACACGGTCACCTGATCAGCGGGAACACCGTAGTCGTCAACGGCAATGGCTCTGAAGCGGGCTAGGGTCTGCGAAACCCGTCGTATGGTTTCCTCGGGGAAAAGGAGGGGACCAGAGGAGGTTGCGGATGGCGACGAGCCGCTCAGAGCATCAAACAATGAGATGGCTGCCCGCTCTCGGTATATGCATTTCAGGAGCCGGGTGTTTGGCGGGGAGAGGTCTGAGATGGAGAAGCGGATGCCGTTGCTTGGAGAATCGTCAGACCAGCGGGTTCTCTCTGCGGCCCTTAGGCGGCAGAGGATATGACCCATGGCCATGGCGACAAGAGGCAGGCTTACCTTCCCATGTCAACCAGGGCATAGAGCTGATTGGGACTGTCGGGGTTCCAACGCGACATCTTTTGCTCCAAGTTTTCGATCGTGATGACGTCGACGACGCCCTTCTCCATCTTGGTCGGTTTGAACGTGAAAGGAACTGAGCAGATAATGTCGAGAAAACAGCGCTGTGCTTCGTTACGGGACGTAAAATCGCGGTTTAAAATCGGAGTTGGTTGCTTTCATGCAAGGTACGAGTGGAAGTTCTGTACTTGTGCATCGACTGACAAGGCTGGCCAAGACGAGGAACAGAGGAAGCTCCTAGATGTGGGGAAGGCAGTGGAAAGTGGAGAGGAGTTAACTCATTTTGCCGTTGCACCTGCCTCACGCAGACAGAGAAGGGAGAGAAGAAAAGGATAAAAATAAGAATGGAAAGTGGAAACATCACAGAAGTTTGCGTTTAGGACTTCTTGGGCTTCTGGGGAGTGACGCATATAAGTCTCGCATGTGGTCTGACAATTGCTGCGGCTGTAGGTTTTGCTGTTGGAAACGTGTGAAACCTCGACTGGGCAGAGCTCTGCAATTGTAATTGCTCAAGGAACGCTGTTATCCGGGCATCCCTCAGGGTCCGTGATTAGCCGTGGAGTTGTTAGGCCACTAGCAGACCCAGCGAGCAGGTGAGGTCATCAACAGTTTAACACAAAGGATGTAAATCAGGTAGGTTACCATTTTCCTTGATTGCTAGACTCTTGAATTGATGCCCAGTTTCCAACGGGTTCCGTCGTTGGGTATCTATATCCATACTCGGGCTGCCAGGAATGTCAATAACGGCAACGCTTGACAGCCAGAGCCCGCAGTGCTGCCATTTTCAGATGAAAGCTGTCAAACTGCTCTAGAGCCTCAGACGCGGGGAAATGCGAGAGACTTTTGACAAGCTCATCATCATCAGATCCCAATCAAGCTCGCTTATTACACTCAAGCTACAGTAGCCGAATGCTGGTACATTACATACATACACTAGACCTAGACCAGTGCGGCATTGGGCATCCAGACCGTTAAACGTGATGTTGGTCTCTCCCAGTCGACAGGAGACCACCAGCTTCATGCTGGGCCTGCTACCAATGGAGACGCACCCTTCAGGGGAGACGGGCAGATGCGTCACGCACGCTCATGTACCTATGTATGGAGTACTGTATGTACATACATAAGCTACCTAACGCGGTCTCTCAGGGGAATTCACCCTTTGGATTGCTCTGATGTTGACTCCCTGACGGTCTGGCCTTTCCTGTCTTAGAAAACTCGGTGTAGTTACTTCGTGCGAGGTAAATTGAAACAGGGCTTTTGAAAATTCCTCTCAACTAACTAGGGCCTACATGTTCGTTGTTCCTAGGAGCGGTGTGGTGTTGGAAATCTGTACGTATACCTTCGTAGTGTAGTCCCGTGTAGTAGGTAGTAGTGTACAGGTGCAGCCGTTACTACAGTCTACGGATCTGTATGTAACGTTGGCTAGAACGAGAACGAGAACGAGCAATGGGATCTCGACGTCGTGCTGTGTCCCGGCCACATCCGCAATCGGTGGACACTGGAAGATCCTGTTAAAGCGCACAGACAAAAGCGTGCTTGACGTTCGACCTGGTTTTTCAAGATCTTGGCCGAGCACAGAACCTCATATATATTGGTTTCTGCGACCTTCGTTCCAAATGGGATACTGTAACACATTCAACGAACGCACCAGATTAATCCTAATCATTCAGAAACCCAAAAGACTGCGTTTTTCGGCAACCTGACAATGTGTATGTCCGCCTCGTAACTATGTCTTGGGATGGTGGGAGGTGGCTGTTCTCTGTGATGGGAGGAACCGCTTAAACTCGCGTCTTCGACGCGTCTACAAAACGCGAAAAAACACGCACAGCACCCCTGTTTGATATTGAACCCCTCCCTCACACACCGGGGCTTGGCCTCAAGCGGCATGAACATCTCGATTGACTCGATCCTGTCATTCAAAAACTCTTTTGCGGTCTAATGCGTCTAAAGCAGTGTTTATGGAAAAGTATCAGGCATTTTTCACCATAAAATTCATATCAATCTGGTTGAATTCTGTAGTGATCTCGCTGGTATTACCGTGTTCCGGGACCTGGCGTTTGGAATTCTGACGGAGCGGTTCATCCAGATCGGGCTTCGTGTTCCCACCATTTCTCTTGCAGGCTGCAGGTCTCCGTGTCACGAACATTTACCAGCCTCTCGATTTTCCCCTCGCGCCTTGATCTGGACAAGCAGCAGCCATTCGACCTCATAGCACCGTCCAAGCACCTCTTTTCCTACATACACAAACAAGGGCTTTCGCTCAACAAAAGAAGGATTCACGAATTGCAATTCACTATCGCCCAAGTCTCCCCTGTCTCGGTCCCCACCCCCCACCGCTACAGTACCCTCATCGCATCACCTCACTGGTGACGAGACTGACGACTCCACATTGCCCTTGCCCAAGCTGCTCTCTGGGAACTCTGGGGTTCATTGTCTAGCTGGACCTTCCGTCGCACACAATAGCAGCCGGTGGCTCTATGTAGCGTGCATCAAGCACGGTTGGGCCATTTCGGGCCACAGCTCGCAGACTAGAAGCCCAGTGGCAAGGGATCTCGTCTTGGACTCATTCGACTGGCGCACTCAGGGTTCCAAGAGCAACGCGCCATCACTTCCACTGACCAACCAGCCAAAGTCGGTCGCGATCCTCGACGCGTTGCTGCCAGCCCAATCCACAGCTGCCCTGTCCGACTGGGTGGCCGGAAGCCGGTGAGGCTTCCCAGTTGCTGCTCGCTTATTGTCAGTCAGTCCACGAATTCACAAATCAGCGAATCCACGACAGCTTGCAGCCTGTACCGTCCTTCCTGTTAGGCTTCTGCTGTTGGTACATCTCTAAGGTGTACATATACAAAACCGTCTCAAGCTCCATTCTTTGCCAGACAAAAGCACCTAGGTATCGATCTTCGCCCGCCCAGCCACGGCAGCGAAACCCCCAATTGCTTCCCGGGCCGCTACACTAGGAGACTAGGTGCAGCTGTCGACCTAACTTAGTTGCGGTTAACGTGCGTGGTAAAAAGAGCAAGATTGGGACCCTGGATTTCTGCCAACTCGAATCAAACTGCCAGACTGTCTTCGATAAGGGTTCACTTACAGGGCTCCTGTCGGTTGTATCCACTCGAATTGAACACCACCTGGTTCTGTGGCTGTCGCTCACTGGCTGGTCTGCACCTGGCTCCCGTCAGGTTGTGGTGCTTGCGGCGAGGGGCGGGGGTTCGAATTGGGGGAAAAGGGCCAGGTCGTTGTCCTCTGGGCGATCCAGCCCGCATCCAGCTCCTCGTTCCGCCCACTGTCCCCTCAGATCCCGGGCCTCGCCCACTCACTCTTGCAGCAGCCGACACCGTTACATATTCCCGAAGCACCCCGTCCTCGTAGATTCAGACCCCCCTTCCCCTTTTCCTCTCTTCGCAGTCACTCCTTTGCGACCCAATTGACGGCCGGTCGCGCTCGGCGCAGGCTCTCCCAGGTGCTTCATGATATCAGCACAATAGCACCGTCGACGCGGAGAACGCTGCGCTCACGACCCTATCCGGTCTCTGGAACCTGATTAGACGACCAGTGTTTGATTTTCTCTTTTTCCTCCGTTTTTCGTCTTTCATCACATCACCACCCCTAACGACGATTTCCTTTTTCGATTACGATCTGAAGAGTATCAAAGGGGGCCAGGACTACAACTGTAGCCGATGCTTGTGCCTGGACGTCACTCGCCTGTCAACCCAGCCATCCGATTTAACAAGCACTCACATGAGCACCGACAACCCCTTGAAAGCTCGATAAAAACAAGCTTTCCTCAAGCGATTGACATCGGTGCCATCCTATAATCTGCAGGGTCCGGCTGCGCGTCAAAACTACCTTAGCTCGCTGTCATAGCAATCTGCCCTCACAATCGCATACTGGCTTCGTCGCAGCCCTTTGGTCCTGACCCTGCGGTTTGGAAACAGTGGGATCCGGCTGCCGGACGTGTCGCGACTTTATCGATTTGCTTATCCCTTGCGCAGCGTCTCTCGGTTTCTTTCATGACGCGCAAACATTCCTCATCCAACACAAGATGGATCAACATTCCGGCTCCGCGACCCTTCCGCGGGGTTTCCGGTATTCCGGCTGCGAGGCACCCAAGACGCCCGAGCCCTCTCTTCAGTCTGACGATGCTCGAATCCCTTCCCCCCCAAGGCCGCGCTTGAAGCTAAGACGACGAGTCGTCTCTCAACTGTCTGCGCCAACACAGCAATTTCTAGCCTCAGTTGCTGCCGCCGACGTGCCGATACCAAGCATCGAGGAGCCCGAGATCGTTGCGCACGACTTTGCCATGTCCGGTTCTGAAGCCTTTCCGGGTCGTCACCAAGGCCACGGAGGAGATGTGCATTTGCTCCAGCCTCCCTCGCGACTCTTCTCTCCACCAAAGACACCGGCGCCCGAGCTTCTTCCGTCTCAACCACTAACTCAGTATCCCGATTGGACCGTTAGCACTGCTGTCAGCAGTGCCGAGTCCACGCCAGAACCCGACTACGAGTCCAGCAGGCCATCAACGTCAAGGTCAACGCAGACCAGCGCGTCTTTGTTTAGCCATTTATCAAATTTGTCGGATGATGATCATTGTGAGATCTTCGCCGACGAGCAGAAGAGCACTGATGTTGTCGTCCCAGGCGATAATGTAACGTCTCACCGGCCAATGGACCCCAAAGGAAAAGCGAGGAAAGCGCCATGGACGAAGGCTATGAGCGACCATTTGTGGTCGACTTTTGTGCTGTATCTTCAGGATCCCAAGGTTACTCCCTTCCGAATGGGCAAGTCGTGCATCCCCCCCCATGGCGTGTGTCACCGCGTTGCGCGTGAGGCCAAGCGAAGCTGGAAAGGCTCCAAGGCCCTGGCCAAGGCAGCCAATCCTGTTGAAGACGGGAAGAGCGGTAGTACAACCCCAACGGCCGGCAGCTCGGGCACCTTCATCCAGTGGCCGCACACTTGCGCGGCTACCCGCGCACACCTGCGTGAGCTCTGCAGGTTGAAAGCCAGCACCCCGGGTAACAACCACCGCTTCAAATCCCGAAGCAACACCCCCTTTACCCAATCCGCAGCCCGACACTGGAATAGGCGCTCGACGCCAGCTCGTTCTCCAGGCCCGTTCGCGACACAAGATATGAACGTGTCACTCACCTTGAGCACATCGGAGAGCATGCAACCGAGCGGTCCTTTAGCCCAGCTCGCAGTGTCAGGTTCAGAACCCACTGAGCAAAGCCGTTCACCCATTCCCATACATCAAGACCTCGGCACTGCTGAGGATGAGCTCTCCTTCGCCGAACGACGCCGGCTAGCGTCTCCGTTTGGCGCAAGCAGTTATGGGCCAAGCTCGTCGGGCTCCTTAGCCGCGGTGCTCGGCCTGAGCGATTCCACACCACGCAGGCAATCGCATACTGTCGGACCGCGGCGGACGCTCCAATCACCTGTTCGTCTCAGCAGATCGGGTACACAGAAGCGTCGTCACACCCAGTCTGGTGTTCCCCGCAAGCGTCCTAGTATAGGGTCCGATTTGTGGCTCAAACCCAGCCTCGGCGCAGGACCGGCAGCAGACACAATCTCCACCGAGGAACTCAGCCCCCGCACATCAAATAACAACGACGGCCTATTTACCCCGAGACTCCCAGCAATGCCCGCTCTGACTTCGTCTGCCAGCATGCCAAGCGTTGGAGCGCAGCTTGAGGCGGCCGACTTAGCGCCGCCACCGCCGCGACTAGGCTCCCCGTTTTCCGGCGCCAGCTCCAGCTTCAGCTTCCCCCATCGAGTTCATCGCATGCAGGGCGGAAGTGTCGATTTGGGTGTTCTTGGGCGGCCCTTCGCCACGATCCAGCAGTTCGCAAACGAATCGACGGCGCCGCCGTCACGCCACAACCTCGCTGGCCGCCTGGCCTACATCGACCAACGCCTCAAGGAGCTCCGGCAGCGCGACGCCAATCGCCGCTCCGAGTCTCCCTTGTAAAAACACCGGTGTGCTTTCCCTTCGACTCGCGGTCCTTGCTCTTTTGGGACCTTTTAACTGTCTGACTATCTTTTCATGATACTCTGGGATATCTTCCCACTCTTTTTTTTTTTTTTTTTTTTTTTTTTTTTTTTTTTTTTTTTTTTTTTTTTTTTTTTTTTTTTTTTTTTTTTTTTTTTTCGGGACGGCATAATGCTGTTATGATGTTGACGACGTCCACATGAATGAAGGACCGTTTGGACGGTTGTTTGATGGCACGAAACTCACCTTATGCTGGATGTGGAAGGAAATACCCCGCTGAAGGAGTGAACATATATCAGTTTGGAGCGTGTTCATATCTCGGTGGGAATTTGCTGGTTTTCTACGGCTACTGATTCTTCCCCGCACTTTGTTGCGGGCGGTTGATGGGAGTTGCAAACTTGGTGGTTTTCATTCCCTTGGCCATCCTCTCCTTTTTTTTTCGTTCTTATTTTCCTTTTATCGTTGTTAACATCATGAGGGACGGCTACATGATGAAAAGCTCACGACTGACATAATGATGGGATGAAATGACTTTGCTTTCTCTTTTTCTCTTCTTCGTTTCTTGACACCCTCTTATTTACTTTAGCTCCTTTCCGTACGGGAAGGGGCAGTCGATCATGTTGCTCCTCGGAAAAGAGGCAGCGGACAAGTTCGCCTTTTTTTGGCTCCGGATAGATTGGAGTTGGGCCCGAAGACAAAACGAAAGTCATGCATGACGTTGATGATGAATGCTGATGCGGACTCAAGTACATACATAGCATGCTAGCTACATGTCACGACTTGGCTGCCTACATACCTTACCTAGGTAGCTGTTTATTGATGGATTGATCATCAAGCTATACCTGCCTACATAGTTGTAGAGTCAAATCTAGAGGATAGGTGGAGCATTCTTGGGTTCCAACTTTCAAGAGGCCCTGCAGTTTGCGTGATAAGCGATGTTGGGTCTTGGGCACGTGCGAAGCGGGCATTCGCGTAGCTTCTGCATAGAACATGCAATGTCGGCAGTAGGTCGTTTTGAATGACGGGAGTGCCAGCGCCTGGTGTGCGTTGCCGTTTTTCTTCCTGCATCTCCAGGAGTCCAGGTTCCCCGGGGACAAGAAGTCGGGGGCACTGCGGGACGGCAGTGGGGGTAAGGTAGCTAACGGGACGCCTACACTAGGGGGACTAAGGTAGTTGCGGATCGTCCCTTTATTACACCGGACCCGCCCAATCAGCGTTTAAAATAGCCCGGTAGTTACGGTAATTTTACGTCGAACAACAGTGTTCACCTCACTGCGACAAGATCGCGTGGTCGCGTCTTCATAATCCGCCGTCTCCCACCCAACTCATAGATTTTCCTTTTTTTGTTTTTCACGTTGCCAGATGCCCTCGCCATGGTGAGCTATTTAGGTGGCCACCATGGGCGCACTGCCCTAGCGCATCTGTTTCTTTTATCTTGTCTTTTGCTTGCCGGTCCGACATGGGCGTCGATTGGCGACCGACTGCCTGAGTTTCAAGACTGTGTCGAGGTTCGACATCAAACTCATCCATCCTCCTGCTGCTCACCTAGCCGAGCCGAACTAACAGAGATGATAGATTTGTAAACAAGAAAACTGCGGCGCCGACGCAGCTCACCAAACCCACATCCGTAATACCTTACCCTCCTTTCACCATGCACTGCCGGCACAGAGATGGAGGCCGTAACACTAACCAAATGAATGACCAAGCCCTCCACCGCCGCCTGCTCCTCTGGACCTGCCCGCAGGAATGCGACTACACCTGCCAGCACATCATCACGGCGCAGCGGCAGGCGGCCGACCCGCCGCGGCCCGTGGTGCAGTTCCACGGGAAATGGCCGTTCCGGCGCGTTTTGGGCATGCAGGAGCCGCTCAGCGTGCTCTTCTCGCTGGGGAACCTCGGCGCGCACTACTACGGGCTCCACGCGTGCGTGCTGCCACACATCCCCGCCCGGTACTCGCTGCGGCCCTTTTACGTCTTCCTCGCCCGCCTGGGCATGGCGACGTGGCTGTTCAGCGCCGTTTTTCACACGCGCGACTTCCCCCTGACGGAGCAGCTCGACTACTTCGCCGCGGGCGCCTCGGTGCTCTATGGGTTGTACTACACTGTTGTGCGTGTTTTTCGGCTTGATCTCCGGGATGGTGGTGGTGGTGGTGGTGGTGAGTATGCCGGGGGCGGGGGCGGGGGCG